AAAGAATCGTGCCTGCGCAGTACTACACAGGCGTGATTATCCCTTGTCACGACGGTGAGACAGAGAAAGGTAGTCTTCTTAAATCTTCTCTGTCTCTCCCTTCACAAGCTTCAGCTTATTCAATGGCACGCTCAGTCTATATTTACTATGTCTGTGATTCTCGACTTGCAGAATTGTTTTTCAACTTTTAATTTAACGTCTGAAATTTCCCATTTATACTTTCAATAATACGGATGCGCGATATATTATAATTACAGCGAGCATATTATATGAATAATGTAAAATTGTAAATGAGGATCATAATATAAATAGATATTGACACTTTCGATTATCGGACAGAATTTTAATGCTTAACGATAGCTTCTGTGAGTTTCGTAGGTTTCGCCTTCATGCCTTTGAACCACTCGCCGATTATTAAGCCAACGGCACACGATACTATTTTTCCTACTGGATTGCTTATATATGCGGGGTCTACGATGCGAGTCTCAGGCCCGGTTTCACCAAACGGTTTCGCTTAACTTTAATCTTAGTTTAATTCATGCTTGTCTCTTTCTAAAGTAACAGTTGCGAAGAGACAAAGAACGAATTAAGCTAAGCTTCAAGTTAAACAACGTTGGTGAAACCGGACCTCATAGTCGCAGTGGTAAGAATAATCGACTGTAATCGGTCAATTCAGTCAGACACATAAGAATTGACCAATCATAGTCGACTATTCTTAGGACTACGACTCTGAGACTTGCATTCTAGATTCCATATTACGAGAACCAATAATGTAGGGCCTATGATGCACGTCTCAGAGTCGTAGTCCTAAGAATAGTCGACTATGATTGGCCAAATTCTTATGTGTCTGATTGAATTGACCGATTGCAGTCGATTAGGCCCGGTCTACAATAAGTCGTTAGTCGTTAGTCAGAAGTCGGAACTATATGTTGATCCTTTTCCTTTCTGGGTGGAAGAAAAAGGACCGACATATAGTTCTGACTTCTGACTAACAACTCATTGTAGACCGGGCCTTATTCTTACGACTGCGACTCTGAGACTCGCATTGCAGACCCCGCATTAGGATGCAGAGTTTTAGATCAGGTGACTTAAAGCTAAATCCTGATTGGCTCTCGTAAGCAATCCAGTAGGGAAAATAGTATCGTGTGCCGTTGGCTTTAATCAATCTTTAAACGTAGCTTTCTCAAAGCTATAGGTACGCAATTGTACATTATTAAATTGATAAATAATTTAATATTTCTGACGGTAGAAAGCATTTTACAAATACAAGGAATTTATTGCGAAGAGTTTCTCATTCCAGCCGAGTTTCGAGATCTTGGAATTCCCGACCGTTTGGGACAGATATTTTACCAATTCGACCACCGGAGGATCGATGCGATATTTATCGCGATACGCAATAAACGCGAAGAGGGACGTCATTTTTCACTCGGCGTATGATTGAAGGTAAATGATAAAAATCGCCGTTAAATGCCACGGCAACGTGCGCGCCCGGCGCATAAAACCGCATGTAAAAAGGAAGGGTATTGACTGGGAATTGTGTCACCCGATGTGCACCGTGTTGTCGCACCGGCCAGCCCAGACGTAACACGAGACTGACCATGCGAGGCGACCACTTGCTTAGTGTATACATACCATCTCTACCAACACCGATTTGAGAGCACCATAACACCGTGGTCACCATGATCTTCAGCTCGAGCCGCACGAAACACGAGGGACGCGCAAGCGAGAGAGAACAGACGCCCGGCAGGAGTCTTGCCCCTCTTTCTCTCCCTTTTCCTTTTTGCCATCCCGGCCTCTTCCCTTCGTGCCCATCCTTCACGAGCTGTGTGTGACCAACGGTGTGACTGACACATCGCCCGTGCTTATCGATGACCGTGACACTAATGACAGTGCCACCTAGGCCGCCGAAGAACTTGCGCACAGTGCCGGGGCTGAAAATGCATTTTTAAATATCTATTAACAGCATTTAACGTATTCTGCGAATCTAAATATACGATCTTAAATAAAACGGAATAAAAAGTACGTACATGTATGAACGACGTCGAAGGACGTTGTAGACGTCTTTCAAAAACGCGTGCTGTCTGCAAAACGTCACGAACGTCAAATTAAATAATATAACTATAAATTCTGGCTTTTTATATAAATGAACCCTTGACTTTGAAACGTTAGAGAAAACTTCCTACCTTTCTAACAAGGACTTTGTGCGGCGCATATTGTTTAAACTTTACAAAATTTAGCCATTTCGAATATCGATGATACGATAAACGTTCGAAATAGTTTAACTTTGTGGAACACGTGCGAAATATTTAATCTAATCAAGTGTTGTTCAGATTTGTTACATGTGACTGATTGCATCAACGTCATTTATCACAACAGTATAATTAATTTTACTTTCAAACGTTTATTTTGCCGTACAGCGATAAGTTAGATCGCAAATGAGACGAGAAAATACTTCTAGCGCAATCTTCCGGAAGTTACAGCAATCTTTCCGATCCTTTCCGCAACGATATCGATGTGGAAGAGATTTACAGCTTTCACATAATTATTTTATATAATTATTTAACATAATTATTTTATATAATTATGTCATATGAGTTAACATTTTAGATTACAATTATTGGGCTACCGACATCTAGCTCGGACCTCGCTCGTCTGATTTATATCGTAATGGTCCTATTTAACTCTATTTATTTTATATGTATAAAATGTACACATACATGTATAACACATTATATACATTGATATATGTATATGTACATACAATAAAAATAAAATAAAATAATATAATGGATTATTTTATATAAGAATACGTATACAAATGCATTATACTATACATATACTATTATAATGTAATAATAAATATATAATGTAATAATACATAATATTTTCATCCCCCATAATTAACTTGACACGATTAAAAATTAAGTACGTAAACGTTATTTTATTCTTGCGGCATTTCGTGCCTGGATTATCAAACATTACGTGCATGAAGTAATTTAAACTGCCAATGACGGGCATGGCAAGATATTTTCAAAATGTAGCAAAGTTAATTTTAAAGAGAGGTTATTGATTCCATCGATATCCGAAAGGCAAATAGTCCTTGTTTATAAGCACGTTGTTTTGAAAATCGCAAACGTGGCATGACGCCAGTACCGATTAATCGCTCAGATCACGAAAGCTTTGATTCAACATTCTATTAATAAGAGTCTCCCCAGCATTTATGACTTTCATGAAATTTTGCGATTATTCATGTGAAACTGTACAGGTTTCACATGAATAATCGCAATCTCGAGGTGCCTTAGAACGTTTCAAGAAAATTCTAATACAAATGACAGAGCTGCGCGGTCAAGCGAAGTAACATTAAATGATAAAATTGCTCCAACGAACACCTCTTTTCGATATTATCATACAAAGCCTGATTATTCATGTGAAACCTGCACAGCTGTCATTACGTTTGTCATGCTAATGAATGAATTTAGAAGCTTCTAGTTAACATAAAAGAAAACACTTGGTTTGTGTGAGCAAATTTTCTCAATACCTCTCTTTTTCCATTCTATTGTACTTTCATTTTTCTCTTTTTCTATTCGCGTTACAAAATATTCTTTGTATAAAGACTTTTTTAAATAAAATTGTCTGGAAAAATGAGAAGTCTTGAAAATTCTCGTATATCTTAACATTCATATTGTTCATTAAATTGCTGGTTCTGTTTTAATCGCGAGTAACACTTCCTCTCTTGCAAATCCCTAGCGGAAAAAATTCTATTATATAACTACAAAAAATTTACTTGAAATAGAAATTTATAGAAATTTTTATATCTTCGTTGAAACATTAATTTTTGTGTAAAAATATCTACGAAATAGTACCACAAATCACAATGTTCTCAAATCAAGAATAATATTGCAAGTAGTATTTCACGAAAATGTACAATTTTGTAAAAATTAGTACAAAACTTTACTAGTTTCAAAAATTTGAGAAACAAAATCTTAAAGAATTAAAACATCTGCTTGTAGAATATTACAAAAATTAACAAAAGTGTTCAAATCCTAGTTTTCCACTTTCATGTTGATTTTTATAACACACTTTTCAAATTTCTTTCTTCAATTCTTCAAATCACTCGTAAAATTTCTTAGATTCTGGCAGTTATATTGAATTTTCTTTTGCAGAATTTTGTATAATTATTTCCAGCAGGGATGGGCGTGTATTATTTTTATTTGTAACACAGGACACTTAAATGTGTGCCTAGGAAGCACTTTACATACGTAAGTAGAAAGAGTCGTTCGCGAGTGTAGCTAAAGCAACTTTCAGAATTATCATTCAATTATGTCACGGTACTTTCCATATGTAATTCAGCAGATCTATACCGCTGATCATACTAAGGTATACTTACCTCTTGGCTTCGATCTTTTTCGTCCTTAGCTAAACTAGACCTTTTAAAGAGTTATAAAAGGAGATGTTAAAAAAGTTTTCTATTTCTATTTCATATCTTACAATTAGATGGAAAATAATTACAAAAGCACCTTGGTTTCGAGGGTATTATTATGTTAACTCATAAAATGCGACATTTTTGTTTTTTTTATATAAAGTGTACAATATATCTACGCCGTTGTGCACACTTGTCCATGAGAAACTCGATATAGCGGTTTAATTTGCATTACGCGTGTTTAATTGACGACATTTATATTGGACCATGCAGGTTAATTCATTTGACTTGGTAAACGTATCGACCTTATACAAAAATTAAACACAACCGTTCGACATTATGGAAATCTACAGCGAGTCCGTGCTTTGAAACTTAAGTTAAAACTTTCGAAGACGCGAAGTGGATGCAATCCCGACACGACCGGTCGTCTCTACGTCTTCTTCTTGGTTGCCTTTGAGGATGAAGCTTTCTTCTTCGTTGGTTTTTCGGCCTTCTTCGCGTACTTGTCAATCAGAGAGTCGAAGAAACTGTCCGACTGATTGGCGCGAGCCTTATTGCGATTCTGTATCACCAGCGCGAGATCGTTCGTGGCTGCGTTTTCCTCGTTCTCGATCTTCAGCATCCTCTCCAGATGTTCGGCTTCCGCCGCTTCCTTGGCCCACTGTAATCAGAGAAGCCGATCGGGACCAATTAACACGAGAAGTCGATCGCTGTTTACTGTCGGACTGGAGAGCAGTTTAGTCAGCGCGTTTAGTTCTAAATTGATAATTCGATCCAGACTCGCCGCGGTGAGGAATAGATTTTTCAGAATAGATAACAGTCGATTCGCGCGAGACGCACAAGCGCGTTCTCTGTTAACGAGATTGATTGCAGCCTCGCAACAGGAGCGAGAGACGCGAACTCCATGTATTTCTATTTCCGAAACGCGCCACGCGCCACCGGACCCTCGATAGTGTTAGGCGCACGCGACTTCGCGTCCGAGCGACGAGAAGCGGGGATCTCTTCTTTCTCCTTCAGGGGAACGGCGCAGTTTCGTTTCAAGGGGATCGTCGCTTTTACCGATGGACGAATCAGCGTAAGACGCTGTACGCGGTCTGCAGCATCGAGCCTACACAGAAAGAATTTTCTCACAAAGTTTACCCTGAAAATATCATGTAATCGTGGGACAGCACCTCAAAGAATTTTGAAATTTTACTAGTAAAATGTACGGTAAAATTTCGAAAAACTTTCATAACATTCTTCGAAATGTCATGTTGAAATTTTACCATACATTTCACTAGTAAAATTTCAATATGGTATTTTGAAGAATGTTTTGAAATTCCACCATACATTTTATGAGTAAAATGTAAGGTGAAATTTCAAAATCTTATCCCACGATTTCGTGATATTCGGGTAAATTTTAAGAAAAAAATTTCTCTCCGTGTACTTGAACCGCGAGACCGCGGATCCTAAGACCGCAGAGCGTCGCGAGTCCAGCATCCGAGACACTCGCGCTTTTCAAAGTTTCCGCGGCTTCCCCTTCGGCAATGCCGCGGGCCACCTCCGGGGAGCATAAGCGTCGATGACGCTTCGTATCGCGCGTGACCTACTCCATAATCCGCTGCACAAGAAATTCCGTTATTTATAATTTCTGGCAAGTACGTCTAACGCTGGCTGCCTAATGCTGGTGCATTGCACAACGCCGCACGGAATCCTGACTGTACCGCGAGTCGCGAGAGACCGCAGATTCGTCAGCGGTTAAAAACGAAGATCTTACGTTACTTTATGCCGAGTCAATGGCAGTCGTTGTAACGAGCCGAGGGATCTTATTCATCGACTCTCCCGATCGCGAAAATGCGCGGGCGACGAGTAGCAAGATACACTTTGGCTAAACAATACTTTCCCGCCTCACGGTCGCTTCTCAAAAATCACGTCAATCGCGAGATAACAGAATTATTGCTCCAACTCGGACGAGGAGAGCGCTGCTCTTTGCGCAAGTACAATATTTTGAGACAGATCTCCCTCGGATCGTGCCAAGTAACCGCGAGGCCGTCAACGTGTCAACACACGTATCTGCCCGCGAGTATCGAAGGCGAGAACCTTCGGCAGAGAACCTGATGGCAGAGAACGATCCGTAAGAGCTTAGACTGTCCTGAGTCGTAGACGTAAGGCAAGGCAAAGAAAAACTTCAGTCGTATACAAGAGAATTTTGAGCCTGAGTAGAATATGGCTGTCTTGTACTCTTAAGACAACGTTCCATGTTTAAAATCTTTGTCTTAAAGTAACACAATAACAGTTTTGTGACTTAAGAATATAAGACAGCCATTCTGCTCAGGCCCTTTCGTTTACGGATCGTTCTCTGCCATCAGTCTTCCTAAGGCCTGTGCCCGTGATGCTAGAACCTGGTCCAAGTTCTAGCATCGCAGGCACAGGCTGGATCTACGCAGCAAGTTGCAAGCCGCAAGAAATCGGCCAGTGACGGTCGATTGTTCTTCTCATATTTGGCCGTGATTGGTCGATTTCTTGCGGCTTGCAACTTGCTGTATCCATTGTAGATCCAACCTTACCGCGGCCTTGCAGCGCGGTCCGAGGTCTACATTGATCGGAATATCGCGACGTGTCTCGGCCGAAGGAAATGGGCGTTAAATAATTGACAGCTATCGAAGCACTAACGGCGCGAAGTAATATGTAACACGATCGTGTCATCGGTATGGAATCCCACGGAGGAATTGACTGCGCGGCCCTCAGGCTCCCTCCACGGATCGACCGAGCCAGGGGGGAGGCTCTTGGGGAAAACATGCGTGCGGAAATGCGTTTGCCCGATGATGAACATCATTTTATGGAGATAAACGCCGCTTCTCGTTATAACGGGACGCTTTATTAACGCTTTATTCAAGGCCGCCCGACGATTTCTACGCGTTCTCTCTCTCTCTTTCTCGTTCCGTCCTCAGTCTCTGGCGCGAGAGCGACCTCGGCGGATTCTCCGCGGAGATGCACCTGTTGCATGAGGAATGACGGAAGCTGCCGTGCGAACTTGACTCCCAACAGCGACGCCTTTGAGCGTATATTTAACGCGTTTGTGCCGGAGCGGTGCCGGCCGAGTCGTCACAAGGTCGTTACGTAACGCCCGAGCGCGCGATTGGACGATGACACTTAATAATTATTTCATTACCACGACCGGAGTCGCCGCTTAATTGCAATTAAAATCGTTTCTCGACACGACGCGCCGACACAGCCCGCCCCGGCCGCTCTTCTCTACTTGGCAAACGTTTCACTGTGCTGCATGTTGCCGCGCCCCGAGTCTTGATTCCGAGAAACGAAACCGCGCTCGACTCGCGAGATCAAACGACTCGCTAAGTTTAGTAGTAGCTGAACTTCAGCAACGACTTTTCGGTTTTCTTTGGGTTTACATTAAATCGGGATGTATCGAATCGATGGGTTTGCGCCAATCGGAAAAGTTTACAGAACTCGCGTTTCGCATGTACTTTGAGCACGAGCGCGAAGGTCGAGCTTAGAAAAGAGCTTTTCGTGTACATGAACATTTCAACGAGTTGCCTGGACTTGGCAATAAAGTGCAGAGATGTGAGACTGAATCGTTCCTAGTATCCCTTTAATATCTACACGGTGAGAATTTTCTCTTACGATTTATCCTGAAAGTCATGTGATCGTGGGACAACACGGTATTTCGAAGAACTGTACGAGCGTTTGTTGAAATTTTACCATACATTTCACTGGTAATTATACATTTTTACTAGTAAAATGTACGGTAAAATTTCAAAAACTTGTAAAGTTGTTCAAAGTGTTGTTCCCACGATCACACAATTTTCAGGATAAATCGTAAGAGAAAGTCCCCTCCGTGCACACGATACCTACGCATCAAGTTTAGCTGGCTCTGCCGTTTCCGGAGAACGAGATTTTCGATCCCGAAGAGAAAGTCCCACCCATCTCGACTCTCGCTAATTATCTGCGTCTGGTTAATAATCCTATGAAGCGTCTTTGGGGGAAATACTCGGTGACTATGAGGAGACGTTACAATGTTAAATATATAAATGCGCGCGATTCAAAGTCCAGGTCATCCGGTCACAACGGTGTACGGATGCGTTCCTTGGACCGGCGGGAGCTCAGTTCGGATTCTCTCCTGCCGAATTGGACGACGAGGGAGGCGCGCTCGAGACTAAAACCTCTCCCCGACGGCGCGACCGAGGACGGCGACGACGACGAGCGTCAGCAGTGCGGCGGCCGGTCGGGCGTTCGGTGCCGAATTCTCCGGGCATTCGGGAAGTGGCTTGTCCGTCGTCGTCTCTATCGGGCGAACGCCGCCCTCCTGATAATTCTGCAACGGCGGATGCACGGTGACCGTCGACTCGTAATACGGAGCTTGATAGAACTCGTCCGTCGACAGCGGGTATATCAGTTCCGGTGGCGAGGGTCTGACGTAATGTAGGTCGGGTGTCGTCGTGGTCCGCGATCGATCCGTGGCGACGAAGAGGTCGTCGCCGGTCTCGGACGACGAGTCTTCGACGATCATCTTACTCGGGTCTTGTCCGTAATACGGCGTTCTCGTTGACCACATCGCCTTGTCGTCGTCGCCGCCGGCGGGAGGACGGCGAGACTGTCCGTGACGTTCCCGCGTCCAGGACGGGTCGGCCTCGACCGAGTCGTCCGTGGACCAAGTCCCGAGGGTGACCATGTCCGAGTTACCGGACGATGGGCGCGTCACTTGAATGGACCCATGCGGCGTTCTCTCCAGACCGCCAGACGTAGTGACGTACAGCGGGTACGTCACGGTGTTTCCCGCCTGCGACGGTAGTCGCCCGGACTCTCCTGTCGTTTCGTCGTCCGAGGGTCCTGATACTCGCGACCTCTCCGATGTGGGATACGACGGATAGGGCATCGTTTCGCGCGTTGGAATGTACGGCGGGTACGTAAGCATGCGTTCCGCTTGCGGCGGCCTGTCGGTTCCCGCTACCCTGGTGTCCTCCGACAACGACGTCACGGGCGGTACTCGAGATCTCTCCGGCGTTGGATATGACCAGTGGGGCGTCGTCTCGCGCGTTGGATATGACCAGTGGGGCGTCGTCTCGCGCGTTGGATATGACCAGTGGGGCGTCGTCTCGCGTGTTGGATACGACGGATACGTCAAGGTGTGCTCCGCTCGCGATGACTCATCGATTCTCGACAACCTGATGTCTTCCGGGGGCGGCGTTTCCGGCGTTGGGTACGGGTAAGACACTACCTGATGCGACGACTCCGACGGTGCGTGCGGGGGTTGCGCGTCCGGAAATCTCGGTTCCACTCGCGGCACGGGAAATTCCTCCTGTTTGGGCCGCACAGTGGTCGTGGTCGTCGGTTTCCTGTGGCGCGGGCGATGCGCCTCCGCATGGTCCGGATGAAACATCCTGTCTCTCGTCCCGTAAGGTACTTCCGACTCCTCCGGAGGTGGCCTCCTGTCGGGGTGCAACCTCTCGCGATGCGCCGGCACGGTTTCCCTGCCCTCCTGCACGCTCGGCGGGACGTGAACGTCGATCGTGTCACTGGCGAGTCTCCTCCACTCGGGGTCTTGCTCGAAGGCAACGCCCTGATTCTCGAGGAATTTGCTGACGGCGTGCGGGCAGGCGAAGTCGGAGTTCTCGCTGAGGAACATACGCTTCAGCTCCCTCAAGCGTGACATCTCGTCGAGATTCAGGCATCGCAGTCGGTTCCCCGAGACCCTCAGGTCCACGAGACTGGGTAGATTCTTGTAGACGCCGTCCTCGATGTCACGTATGTCGTTGTAGTTGAGATCGAGATACGTCAGGTAGTTGAGGCCTTCGAACCACGACGCTCGAACGGTCGTCAGGCGGTTGCTGTCCAAGCTGAGCTGCTGAAGACTGGCGAGGCGCCGAAAGCCGTCCGCATCGATGTCTGTGATCTCGCAGTGCGAGCAGCTCAGCACCCAAAGGTTCCTGCCGAATCTCGCGAACGTGTCGGCGGTTATTCGGCCGAGCGGCATCCTGATGATCCGCAATTTCTCGGTTGTCTCGGGCACGGTGGCCAAATCAGCGGGCTGGCCGCCCTCGCAGAAGTACTCCAGCATCTCCTCGTTCGCCATCTTCCTGCACGATGCCGCGGCATCGCCGGCGAACGCGATCAGCAGGCCGAATAACACTAAAGTTGCGGCACTATCCATCTCTTGAACTGACGTGCAAAGGGATTACAGGGCGAAACGATGCAGTTTCGTTGCGATTAATGGTGTGGACGAACGTCGTGAAGGAAACAGGCCTGCGTTGTACTCATTTCGACGATCAGACGGAACGAAGTGCGACGGTCATCGCGCGAGGGATTTTTCGTGCGAGCTGTTATGATTAACGGTAAACGGTCGAACTAATTGTAACGCGGACTGAAGCAGTTCTCGCATTCGTAGGTTACTTATTTACTAGACCTTCCCCTCCTAGCGGTGCTTCTATTTCTCCTACTACCTTCCACCCGTCAAGCTATACAGCCGATCGGTAAAAATAGAGAAGGTTGAAAATAGAGCGGCGCGGGGCGTTAAAAGACTGTTGAAGTGACATTTAGCAAGAATGTGCTAACGTGATTTAAAATTCGCGGTACTATTGCACGCGGTCGATCGCGGTCGGGGATCGATACACGGAGTGGTGAACGCGCGACAAATCGCCACGTAGGACGAAACAACATTTCGCAACAGTGTTTCTCTTACATCCTAAGTTTCAGCAATTCTTTTTTTTCGTTTGAATGCTATAGAAAGCTTCAAAATCAATAGAAATGCAACAGAAACACGCAATCGAATTAAGAGTAGCCATTGCGATTTCATTTAATGTCAACAAAATAAAAAAATTACTGAAACAGGGCTCTTAAACATTCGAAAAATATTGCAGGGGCAAACTATAGATTCGGTGATGAGAGACAATAGGATTTGCAAAAGGTACATTTTGCAAACGCATCAGGAATTCCAAACCCTTCGAAGAGTCAAGGCTGTTTCAATTACATAAAAATTTGGAAGATGGAATGCTATTTTTACATCCACTTGATCTTTTGCGCCTTACCGCAGTTTCAGAGGCTCTTTTCTCGCAGTCCTTTCAACACAGTTTCACACTGGGCTGTACAAAGGGAACTTGATACCTCACCTTTCTTTTCCTGCGCTGCTTTTTCTTATCATTTTCATTAGTGAAAGACGTATATTCGGGGACCTCGCCTCTCTCTATTAGATCTTCAATTATGGCATGCAGTCTAGGTTCTTCATCACAGTTTGTAAATGGAACAGCTTCCAAAATATAGTCCATATCTCCCTTACCTTTAAAAAAATATAAATATATATAAATAAAATGTATATTAGTTGATATACGTGCGATATAAAAAAATGGCTCTAATTTCGATTGGTTTTAAACAATCTGTATCGGCTCTTATTTTTGCGCCAATAAAATTATCTTCCGGATAATCAACGAGTTCGAAAAGAATTGAGAGTTTCAAAGGATTATCTGCACAAAAATAGACTTCTCTCTTTACAGAAATGTATCTTTTCGAACTCGTTGATTATTTGGAAGATAATTTTATCGGCTCTAATTTGCGCCAATAAAATTGTCTTCCAGATAATCAACGAGTTCGAGAAGAATTGGGAGTTTCTATGGATTATCTGTGCGAAAAAGACTTTTCTCTTTACAGAAATGTATCGGCTCTTATTTGCGCCAATTATCTTCGACCCGAGGAAATATGAAAAGTTACGGTGACGTCAATTTGATGTCATATTGACCAAAATATGACATAAACTTGGTCAATGCGACATCAAATTGACATCATATTGACTTTTTATTTTCCTTGGGGCGATAAACGAGTTCGAGAAGAATTGAGAGCTTCAAAGGATTAGCTGTACAAAAAAAGACTTCTCTTTCTTTACAGAAATGTACCAGTTCTTATTTGCACCAATGATCTTCGAGCTAATCAACGAGTTCAAGAAGAATTGAGATCTTCTAAGGATTATCTGTACGAAAAGACTTATCTCTTTAACAGAAATGTATCGGCTCCTATTTGCGCCAATAAAATCATCTTCGAGACAATCAGCGAGTTCGAGAAGAATCGAGAGTCTCCAAGGATTATCTGTAAAAAAAACAACTCACTGTCCGTGTACGCTCTCTTGAGATCCTTGATCTCAGTCTCCGAACCCTTGTAATTCTTCTCGTAATTATTGATGTCTTCAACGGTGATTTGTTTGAACAAGGACCGCCAGTAATCCGCCCAGTTGCGCATCACGACCTCCTCGCTCTCTTCGTCGTACTCGCCGGACTCATCGTAAATCTTGCGCTTCTCCGTGTCACTGAGGATCGAGTGTATTCTGCCGAGTACCTTGAACTTCTCCGTCGCCTCCACCTTGATGGCCTCCTCGACGCGATCCGGATGCACGAGCAGCGACAGCTTGTGATAAGCCTTCTTAACTGGTGGCAAAAGTAACGAGCGGTATTGTTACAATAAAAAGTAGCGAGCGGTGTTGTACAATAAAAAAGTGCGAAAGTCACAGCGAGCGAAGAGGTTAGCCGCGCGGCCCACCAGCGCTCGCTCACCTTGCTTGTCGTTCGCGGTCCTCGATATTTTTAACACGTCGTAGAAGTTACGGGCGCCGAAGTACTGCTCGCACAGGTCCAGTAGGCTCGCCATGCTGCCGGGTCTTCCAAGAGGATACTGGAAATTTTAGTTTCCGCGGGCCGGAGGTACGGAACGAACGATTTGACAACCGACGCGGTCAGCTGCTGCCCGCCCGCCACATTTCACCGTTCAAATTGACGCGAGCCGCCGCGGGCGCCATCTACGCCCCGGCGCACCGACGGGACGAGCTCTCCGTCGGTAACAGCGCCCACGTTACGTACCGACCGCGTCGCCCCGCTGAGAGAGCAGCGGCCGCGTCCTCTATCGTTTCCGGCCGCACGACTTCTTCTCGCGTGGTCTCTCGGTTTCTTTTCCGGTTTGTCAAAATGGTAAGAGGTGCTGTGGTATCCGATTCCGCTGAGAAATCGGGCAATATTACGCCGCCGCTCGTCGATCGCGATAAACGAACGTGACCGTAAGGTATTGAATTGTTTGGTCTCGATTAATGATGGGTATTTCTCTTCGCAGGGTATCGACATAAACCATAAGCACGATCGGAAGGTTCGGAGGACCGAGCCAAAGTCCCAAGATGTCTATTTACGACTACTTGTAAAGGTAAGCGCCCGTTGCCTTTAGCCTCGTCTACGCGACAAGGCGTAAGGCGCAAGAGCTCAGGCGTAGGCGTTGGTAATAAAATTAGTTTATTTCGCTTGCGCCGCTGCGCCACGACCCGACGATCGGGAAAAATCCCCTTGCGCCTGTGCTCGCGCCTTACGCCTTGTCTAGACGAGCCTTTTCGTATCTTTCGCCAGCGAGTGCGATCTCGCGAAGCAGATTGCACGTCCAAGTGTCACTTGGAGATTTTCGATTCCGTTCTACTCGGAATTTAAGAAATACCGCACGCCTGTCCCTCGTGACTGTGTCTCATTGAGGTTAGTTTTCACGTGTGGCTACGTGTGAAGAGTTTCGCGTCGCACCTCTCTTCGAGTCTTACCTTCGTCAATCGAGTGAGATCGAGTGAGATTTGGCGATTTGTCTACCTCACTTTTCAAGATTGCGAGCTGCACTCTGTGTCAGGCCTCGCATGGGTCTGATCCAATTTGAAAGTTCGCTAGAGAAACGCTCGTGTCAACTATCCTATCTCGCTTATTTGCAACATAGAAGGGCGATTATTATAGTTGATACATGATGTTCCGAATAATCCTGTATAATCGTAGACCTAGTTTACATCGTGCGCTTGATACGCGTGTCGAATAGTAATGAGTAGTAAATGGCTAGTAAATTTATTTAAGGCCAGTTTCACGGATGTCGGTTAACTGCCAACCAAAAGTTAATTGGTTCTTTCGCGCTTCTCAGGCAACAAGATAGAAAAAGATACGGAGTCGATACTGTTAACTCGGGTTAACAGTTAACCAACGTTTGTGAAACTAGCCCTTAGGCCCGGTTCCATCGACGTCGCTTAACCTTAAGCTTAATTCGTTCTTTGTCTCTTTCCAACTGTTACTTTAGAAAGAGACAAGCGTGAATTCAACCAAGATTAAAGTTAAACGACGTTTGGTAAAGCTGGGCCTTAGTGATTGGCTGATCACTTCAAATATGCCATTTCTGGGTGTCCAGTGTTCAGGGAAATCTGGAAAACTGGGAAAAGTCAGGGAATTTTACGATTTATCTGGATTTTTTACATTGTTTCACATTTTTTCTGAATAATTTAAAGTTTTTAGAAAATAAATTTTTCTCTAGCTCTCAGTACGCTAATTTTCTGACTTGCTAGACGTCAATTTATTTATAAGCGTGGTCGATAATTTATATTTTCATCGTCGTGTTATTTTATTTCGATGTGATCAACTGAGACAAAACTAAAAAGAGATGAATTACGGTATTATCTAAGTAAGTTACTATCTAGTAAGTTGCAGACAAAATGCACTTGAGCAAAATGAAAGCATATATGATTACGTACAGTATCACAAATGGTTCGACCGATTTGTAACGATATGTTCGTTTCTATTGCACTTTGTATACATAGATGGTATAATTGCTTTAATTTAAATTTTTATCTTTTCAAATCCCGGACTTTTGTTTCCCCGAGAAAAATATTTCAAGGACTTCGTCGTTTAACATTTACTTGATTTACCGTACAGATGTACGCAAATTATGCATCGTGAAAAAAGTTACACTAAACGGTCAGGGAAAAATTAATTCCGACTCCTGGAAAAAAAACCTGAAAAAGTCAAGGAATTGTTTTCACAGAGTTTGCTGGACACCCTGCATTTGATACGCGCATCAAGCGCACGATGCAAACTAGGTCATGGTTCTCGAACCTTTTAATCGTGCCGCTTCTCTTATAAGATTAAAACTTGATAGAATGTTCACGGGACGCTTGTACATATTTTCTGCGATGAATTTCTTCGTACGAGTTTGTGGTGAATTGTGCATTTTCGTCAGGTCCCCAAAAAGACCGCAGGTTGAGAACTTGGGGGCTTGGAATCGCAGTTGAATAACGGACGCTTTGTTGCAGCTGTACCGGTTCTTGGCGAGAAGAACAAATTCGAAGTTCAACAAAATAATCCTTAAACGCTTGTTTATGAGTAAGATACATCGACCACCGATCTCGTTGGCGCGCGTGGTCCGTTTTATGAAGAAACCTGGGAGGGCGAGTTGCATCGCCGTAATTGTCGGCACCGTCACTGACGATGCCAGGATCTTCGAGATCCCAAAATTGACGGTAAACGACTATTGGCGCTCTGACGCCTAAAGCCAGCAGCTTTTTTGCTTGCTGGTTTGCCTGCGTGCACCTTTACTAGCTGGTGCAACCCAATCAGGACGCAATCTTAACTAATCTGACCTATCACGTGGAATCCTGATTGGCTCTCACTAGCCAGCAAAGGTGCGCGCGAGTAAACCAGTCGACAAAAAAGCATCGTGTGCCACTGGCTTAAGACTGGACTTTCATTTGTCATGCTACATTTTAAGTGTGTTAATTGCATAGAACTTATAGACATGGAAGGGGGGGGGAATAGCATGTAAAGTTGTATGGTTAATTGGCTGGATGGACAATGTGTAGATGCTCGAGAATCTTACTGTTCTGTGCCTAATCAACGCGCTTAAAAAACTTGTGCGACAAATGAAATGGTACTGTTAAGACAGCGGCACACGATACTTTTTTGCTTGCTGGTTTACTTGCGTGCATCTTCGCTAGCTGATGAGAGCCAATCAGGATGCAATCTTAAGGTAGTTCTTTGCCAACTATGCAAGTCAAAATGAGACTTGATCAATAAGGTTCAATAGACAATGAATTCTTTTATATTAAATTCAAGAAGAGACTTTTAAACACTATTGCTTCTCTTAAACTCATCTCACCTACACTGAAGAAAAATTCTAGATAAACTTGCGAGGTGCATGTAGTAATACATTTTCGAAAAATTCGATCATTACTGAATTTGACATTAACAGCAAAACGTTTGGTAATATGTAATTGTGAACACTTTGAAAGAGTAAATTTTGCATTTAGTGGAGCCAACTAAATTCTGCAATGTTTCAACTTCCAACCAACTTTTATCATAACGACCTGTGCGTTTAGTTGAAACTATCTCACCATAGACCTAGGTAACGTCAACCAAGCTTGAATTATTATAACCAAGCCTGTTTTTTCAGTGTATCGCGTGGAATCCTGATTGGCTTTCGCTAGCCAGCGAAGATGCGCGCGAGCAAAAAAAGCGTCGTGTGCCGCTGGCTTTAGATTCGTGTTACATCGTGTGACAACTTTTTTTGTATTATTTTTTTAGGTGTGCGCTTTACGCGTAACCGAGAAGGCCAGGGCACGCATCTTGAAGGCCGGCGGCGAGATTATCACATTCGATCAGCTGGCGTTGCGCGCCCCGACCGGAAAGCGTACGGTCCTGATGCAAGGACCGCGCAACGCTCGCGAGAGCGTCAAGCACTTCGGCCTGGCGCCCGGCGTGCCCCACTCGCACTCGAAGCCATATGTCAGGTCGAAAGGCCGAAAGTTTGAGCGGGCCAGAGGCCGTAGGCGCAGCTGCGGTTATAAAAAATAAGTTTGATACAACGCGCATCCGACGGATTGTCCCGTCGGGTGTAATCCTTTTTTTCTCATTTGGTTAAGTGAAAAATAAACTAGCTTCACCACAACGTCCTGTTCTCCTTTTCTCGTAGTATCGCACACTTCTGAATGTTCTAGTTTAGAAGCTTCCGTCTTCGGGATTTACACGGTGTTGTTTCCGTTCGTTTGTGTTGGCGGTTGCCGCATATGCATCGCTACATTCGATATCTGATGGACAATGGGGACAGCACGGCGCGTTCAGCGGAAGAAGCTACGTCGCAATACTTGTAAAATTTGTAGATTTGACTGGAGTGTGCTCTTAGATTCTGCCATAATTAAAAGCACGCGCCGGCAGATCGTTACAGCAGTTGGAAAGCAACTTTTTTTTCCGCTTAACGCGGCCAATGATCCGCGTCGGTCGCTAAACGTGTGCACATTCAGTTTGTGGATTAACACGCGAAACCTATTGCTCGCCGTTCTTCATTTTAATTTCTACTAACGTGTAAATACGCGTCAAACGTTACATATAAAATTAAAGAATAACTAACACGTTGCAAGGAGATGTTTAAATTACCAACAAAGACGTTATTTCGCTTGCCAACAATCGCGACGAAAGAGCGATCAGACGCGCGCGCTCGCTCGTTTCAACTCGAATCGAACTCCGCGGGAACAATCGACCCCCCGCCGGCCTGAAGTTGGCGGCGGGTCGAGGTACCCGCGCATCCCGCCGCGCGGCGAGGCGCGGTTGCTTGCGGGCGCTATCAGTCGCCATCTTAGCGGCCGCGATCGGTTCGTTCTCCGTGTCCTCGGGGCTCCCCGTCGTATGTTCGGCGCGACTGTGCGCAGCGTCGTCACGGCAGGCAGCTGGCCCCGTCGTCGATAGTCAGCGCGGCGCACCGGGAAGCGAGCGGAGCTTGCTAGCGGCGGCGGCGGCGGCGGTGACGACGACGGTTTGCCGGTGCACGAGAACGGCCGGCGGCGCGGCGCGACGGCGACGGGAGAGCGGGTCATTGACGGCGGCGGCAGCGAAGCAGCAGCGCGCCGAAGGTGGGCGGCGGTACGACGCGTTCCTCTCCTGGCCCCGGGCCTGGCTTTAAAGCCCAGCTCCGGCTCTAGCCTAAGCCCCCCGTTCGCTGCTCGCTCCGCGACGCTCCCGCGCGCGCGGTCACCCTCCGCGAGAACGCGTCCGTGACGTAGGACGTAAGAGCGCGACAACTCGGCCGCGAGAGGTGCGGAAGCTCGGGGCGGTCTCCCCCCTCTTCCCTCCCCCCCCCTCGTCGAACCCGAAATCCCGCGGCTGAATAAAGGAAAGGGGGAGGGACGGAGAGAGGATATTCCTCGCTCGGCGGCGGCGGCAGCGGCGGCGGCGGCTGCGACTGGCGATCGTCTCTGGGACGGGAAGATGAGCTGCCAACGTAACGCCGGCAAGATCACGGTGCCGGACGATCTGCGCGACGTCCTGCTGGAGTTCACCATCAGCTACCTGCTGGAGCAGCCCGGCGACATCATCGACTACGCCGTGGACTTCTTCACGCGGCTACGCGACGCGAGGCGTACGCAGCTGATCCAGGCGGACGGTCAGACCTGCTCGTCCACGCCGGACGAGTCCGTCGACGAGGGTGAGTCTCTCGGGAGGGAGAGCGAGGTCTTTCCTCTCCGCCACTTTCTCTCCGTCTATCCCCGTCTCGCGGCGTCTCAGGGCGATTCCTCTGTCGGTTGACGCTCGTCTGCTCGAGCTGGCCGAGTCCGGGAGCTTTGTAAGCAAGATGGATAAGTCACGATTAAGGGTCCATTCTGAATGCAGCTCTTGCGAATCGAGGCGGATCTCACGACTTGTGGCCTTGTTAAATTTTTCAGGCGGGAGACCCGCGGGCCCTTAGTACTCCGCGCGGGAGGATAATTCGCTCCGAAAAATCCGTCGAGGAGTCCGAAACGAAAGGGATGCGTCGTCGCGTATGTTACAGTCGGTATTGCGCTTCGCGCAAGGAAGAAGCGAGAAGCGGCGCTGGGCTCTTCGAACACCCCGTTTCCGCAAAAACCGCAGCATCCCGCTGTCTTAATTGAGTTAACAAATCGAGAGAGGACGGTCTAATAAAAAAAAAGAAAGAAAGAAAATGCGTCCCGACACCGAGGATTCGACTGCCGTCTCGGCCGATTGGAGACCACGACGAGAATCCCCGTGTCCGAATTGTCGGGGAGAATCTCGGGCACTGTTCGCGCGGGCATAAGGAGAGTGACGGATGGCTCGGTTAAACTCGTCGTGATTAGCGTCAATCACGAATGTTAGCACAGTCAAGCTCGGGCTGGTCGAGTGCCGCTCGAATCGATATCGGTTGTAAGTTAAGCGTGCAGGGTCGATTCCATCAACGTCACAATTGACTCGTCGCCCGTAGTTTCGATTCTCACTTTCCTTCCGAGGGGGGTGGCCCGCGGGGCGGGCGGCGGCAGGAAAGGTCGCGATTCCGGGTATAATGCGGAATGTATAGCGCGACGTGTCGGCACGGCGGACAGCGGCGGCGGCGGCGGTTAATGATTTAATAACACCGAGCGCGATCTGCCGTTTACTCCGCTTATCCCACGCCGACACCCGTCCGCCTCCCCGCCACCCCGCGTGCCTCTTTTCCGTCGATCGGCAAATTCAACGGCGCGCCAGATGACCGGCCAGCGAACGGGGACGTCGGTCGATCGCCTGGATTTCCCATCCGATTACGCCGATCAGCTCGTTCGATTATCCCTGGGGGGTTTTCTTTTCTCTTCGTTTTCGGGGTCGCAACGTCGGCGATTCAATACGAGCGGTTACCCGGAATTAGCGCTGAACTGGCGGAATCGGTTCTCGGAAGAGTCCGCGCGCGTAACAGCGGGTGCGATATACGTTGTCTGAACAAACGTCGGGATGCTCCACTGGGGAAAAGGCGTGTCGGCGCGACACCGGCGCGCTTCTACCCGCGCGTAATTTCGACGTCGAATTCGAGGAAGGCACCGAGGACGTCCTTTTCTCTCTCCCTTTCTCCTCCCTGCGCGACACCGTCCCTTTACGAAAAACAACGCCGGCCCTTCCTCCCGCTCAGATTAACTCGATTTTCCGAGTCTTTCTGATCCGATCAAGCCGGGAAATCTTCTTAAATCTCTCTCTCTCTCGCGGAGGAGACCCACGAGTGACAAATGCTTTTAGGATATTGCCGGGTCCCCTTTCGCTGTGGGCGAAAAGTGTTCCCCGATCCTCGCGTCTGTTCTTACGAAATTGCACGGATTATCAAACTTCATCCCCCGCCGGCTATTACGTCTTGACATTTCGGCGAACTCCGCCTCGCGGGAGAACGAAAATAGCAACGCCGGGGCTTGCGTTTCTTCTTCCTTATACGGTTATATGTATCTTCTTCCTACTTTTTCCAATTGTCTTGCCCCTGATTGCGCGCAGAGAGACGCCCTCGCGAGCCGACGTGTGTTGCGTCGCCGCGAGATTCGCGGAGAACTAATAATAAATTATGCCGGACTCGCGTTCTGAACTTTCGCGCCTCTCATCAGATCGCACGGGCCACAATCGATCGGGATTCCACCGGAAATTCGCGTGATTTCCTCCCCCTCCCTCTGTCTGTACGTTTATCTAGACGGATTTGGATTTTTCACAATATAAACAGTTGAAAAATTTGCGTTTTTTTTTTGTTAAAAAAACGCCGGTTAAAATTTCTTAATTTAACATATTGCTCTTGTGTTCCCGAGTAGAAATGAAATCATGCATGCCTTATGTATGGTCAGGGCCCGATAGGGAGGAAATAAGGAATCCCTGACATGTGCCTGATCCGGTACGCCTGATTCCCTCATGGAATTTGATAAACGTTAACCTGAATATATAGTACTAGTACCACTCACTGCCGCGACGTGGCGACCGCGCGGTAGTTTTTCTCGTAAGTAAAAATTATCCCGTATTAGTGTAAGAGGCGAGCCGATATGATGCGACAGCGAGTTGTCTGGATCATGGATAAACTTCAATAACCTGAATATACTTTTGATGACTGTGTAATTTAACACAATTTAAAAATTACTTTAAAAAATTGAGTGAAAAACAAAGGGCAAGTAATGAGGTCTTAATAAGGAAAACGTGATCATGCAATTTTACTTTTCGACGTTACATTTACAAATTTAACAGATATCACATGTCCCAAACGGTCCACACAAATTTTTGTGTTAATTTAACATAATAAGGATATGTTAAATAATCACACTAACACTCTGTTAATATTTTAACACCAAATAAATGCTGCAAATCTCAAAATAATTTGAGATAAATTTTGTGTAAAATTAACACACTTAATGACAAAATAAATTTTTGAAAATGTAATTTTTACATTTTACAGATGTAATAAGTTAAATGACGGTTCAAAAGCACTCTCACTTATATTATATAGAATAAAATCTACATTTTATTCTGTAAATTTTAACTTAAATCTTGTTACTAATAATATAGAACATATTATATGTATTGTGTAAAATTACAAAATAAGTACACATTATGTTGTTTTAACATTTCTTTTCAGGTATTTTAATAATTTTACATTTGAGGTCAATTAACACAAAAGAGAAATATGTTAAATTAACACATGAATGTGTTAAACATTTAACACAAAAATTTTAACCGGCATTTTTTGTAACAAGAAAACACCAATTTTCCATCTATGTAGTAAAATGCATGGTAAAATTTGTAAAAACTCTCGTAAAGTTGTTCCAAATGCTACGTTGCCCTGCGATTACACGATCTAACAATGAATTTTCCGCTAAATAGATTTCCGTACAAGAGTAATAAGTTCACGTGGGGTCAACAGATGATGCCTTATTAATTTAGCAGAAACCCCGCTGTCCCATATTAGGAGCCCGTCCCACGAGGGGACTTTCCTCTATTACTTGTTCTTTACTAGTATTTTTTACTTTGTATTAGTGCACTCATTAATTTCTTATTATTCCTCTCCTCTACATTTCATACGCGTGCATTGTTAATTTTCTGTTATTTTCTGCAATATTGTTCGTACGCTTCAGGGAAAACTTGTCCCAGAGCACTGAATAAATAAATCTACTCGTCCCGTCATCCTTTCCCTCCACCCCGGGGTGAGGGCTCGGACTCTAGACGTCGTCATCGCTCGAAGGGACAAAGGGGGGAGAGCGTCGCTTCTGGCGCTGCCGCGGAGTCTGACACCTCTTCTGGTAGGAGATACCACGCGCCGCTCCGGCTTCAAGTCTCGCAGCCGCAAGTCCGAACGTCGCTCGTCAGCTCGTGCTATACTTTCCGAGACCTGCGCGCGATTTGGGGAACCCGATCGTTCGCTCGGCCGCGCCAACGTGGTCCAGTCCAGTCCGGTCCGGTCAGGCGCTGTCGAGGCGCGAGACTCCTCGGATGCGCGGCGGTTTCGACAGTTCCTCGTCCAGCGCTCGGCCGGCACGGCGCGACACGGCGATCGTCTCGTCCGTGCGACGCGTCCCGACATCCCGGACATCGCGACTCCGCTTCGGCCGCGCTTCACGCCACGTGGTTCCTCGACGTCGTCCTCCCGCGGGCGAGGATCAGCGCGGACGCGATACCTCGCGGGTCGCTCTTTTCCCCCGAGTCCAAGTCGTAGGTTGAAAGCCACCCCGAGGAACGTTCGACTCTCGGGGCTGCTCGTTCCGGCGATCGTACGGCGAAGCGCTCGCGGGGATTAACGTGTAGGAGGCAAGAAGAGCGCCGAGCATCCATGCCGTCGCGTTCCGGAGTCGTGTACCGCGCGCCACATTGACTCCGTGTCGCGGCTTCCTCCCTTTCGTGACAAAATCGTGCTTGTGAATCCAGTGAGTAGACATACTTGTTTCGTGCCAAGTGAACGTGCCACCAGGAAGGACCAACGTGTCCCTCGTCTCTCCGCCGCGCGTGTTCCTCTCCTCCCGCGGGCCAAATGTCGCTCATCTCCGTCATCGAGCCGGTGGATGACACTCATGACAAAGGTGCGAGAGAACCGGGCGCACGCGGACCCCCCGTTGTCCGAGCTGGATATGGCAGGCGAGCTAATCGGATAATCGCGCTGCTACTTTCGCGACACTTGTTACTTCTGCGGGGAACAATAGGAGAAGGCGCGCAGTCTTGTGTGTCTCCGTTCGAGAAAGATGTCACGGGTCTTTTAAACGCGAGGGGTAAACCGCTGGCCAAAATCATGTACACCAATGCCTACTGACGCCCAGTGGGCATTACTCGTATCTTATCATCTTGTTTTATCTTATTTTATGTTTATAATGCCCAGAAAATGCCCGGTAATGCCGCAAATCTGTACGCCACAATGCCCTCAGCGGTTTGCCCCTCGTTTAAAGTTGCGTCTTCGCTCAACCCTTTCATAATTGAATTATTTTCGTCCTCCAATTTTTCGTTGATATAATGGTTTCTTTCACTAATAGAATGCCAAGACTCGGTGTCACGTCGCTTAACTTAAGTCTCACAATCAGTTTAATTCATCGTTTGCCCCTTTCCAAGGGAACAATTGGAAAGAGACGAAAGATAAGTTGCAAGATGAAAGTCTGTCTTTTTAAATTTCCTACGTCGGATCTGTGTGTCACGGGCTGCGGTCCACTTGACGCTACAAGTGCTTCGAGGCGTTCTTCCTCTTCTCTTTCCTTTTGGTAAAGAAAGAGGGGGAAAGGGAAGCATTTGTAGCGTCAAGTGGACCGCAGCCGTGAAAGAGTTAAAGTCGCGAGAGGAAAGGGGTATCGTTAGTCCTCGAAAGAATTTGTCCGAGGAGGACTGTTATTAATCTTTCAATCCTCAACTTCTCGGAAAGGATGCCGTGCATTTTCGCCTTATTTCCTCTAAAATTCCCGCCGCCGGTATTTCCGGGAGACTCGCGTGACAACGGGAAAATACGCCGTGATCGGGGCGAGATAAAATTTTCACCTTTCATGGAAATTCGTGTCTCCCGAGGAAGGACAGTGCCGACGTCGCGCTTCGACGTATCCGCACTCGATGTTCCAAGACGAAAGGTCAACACTTGAGAGAGACGTCGACGGTATGTCATTACAGAGGGAAAAAGTTCCGTCGAGACTCCGGCAGAAATTGCGAGGCGATCGAAGATGGAGCTTTATCGCGAGCTTCCGTCGCGTAAATTCTACCAAGGGAGGGACATTTTCCGCGACATCGTTCAAAGTGCTAATGTCGAAACTCCGAAAATCAACTCCTCCTGCCGTCGTTATCGGAGACCGGATATCGCCGCACTTAACCGAGCGCGCCTTTTGCATTTGCATAATTGAACGACAGGCCATTTTTTTTTTTCTTTACGCGACGGCTCTCGCGATCCATCGTCGAGTCCTCTTCGAGGCTCTTTTCGCGAAAACAATCGTCCAATTACGTAAATGTCAAACTTGACGCGGTAAACACGCGTAGAATTGCCATTTACAATAAAACGCCGGGGCCTTCGTTTTATCATCGTTCGCGAGAGCCGTGCGTTTCCCGATTCCAACCGCAGTCGACTAGACTGCGTAAAAATTCATTCGTCGAACAATACCGCCTCTTTTTCCCTTGTTCCTCTCGTTAACAGGGACCAGAGTTAAGCTGCGCCGTTCCTCGCCCCCCCTCGATTATAATCTTGCTTTGCGCTTTAATCAGTCGACGTGCAATCGATTTCACTGATTTCCATATCTTGCTCTTTTCTCAGCTCGATTGCGATTGCGTCCTCCGTTTAATCGAGGTGTCTCTATTGTGTTTCAGAGCCGCCAGTCGGTCGGTTTGCCTCCAGAAGGAAGAGCGTTTTCGCGGAGACTTACAATCCCGAGGAAGACGAGGAGGATGACGGCTTCAAGGTATGCCAGCCGCGTTATTGTCACCGTTCTACAAACTATCGCGTACGTTCCCGATAACGAGACCGCGCGCGTGTGACGCATCGTTTGCGAGGTCTCGCGTATCTATATCTTTTCGAAAAAGAGAAAAACGGCTGGAGTGACGGAGGAGCCCGAGCTGATTGAACGAATTACACGCCACGATATGAATTCTATCGATGCAATCACGCTGATGGTCGTAATGACGCTCTATTGGCTTAATGGTTGCTCGAACAACGGCAGATTTGTTCGTCTTAGAAAACGTGGTTTCGTCCTCTCGACACGCGTCGCCGTCGCGTTTCAGACTTTTGGACTTCTATTAGGGCGAGAGGGTGGGTAATCGGCGTGTGCAGTACTTGATGAATACTGTTACCAAAAAAAAAAATTACTAGTAAGGATATTCTTCGATGTCGCCAGCAGTAATTAACAACATCGGCGTTTTCTTGACCATGTCTGGCATTTTGTAATAATACAGAAAATTTATTGCGAAAAATATTACCTCAGCCAGAGTTTGAACCTGGACCTCCTCCCTACACTCTAGGCGGGCGCCTCACCAAATCGACCACTGAGGCATATTGCATTCTAGCTCTGGAAAAAGAGATTACATCTACAAGCGTGAACGTGTAACAATTGGAGACAGATCTGTTGCTCACGTGAATATGGTTCCGGTCGCTCGCAGCGTTTCGACGCGGAGTGAAGATATTTCGTCGCAACACAGAGATCCCTCGTACTTTTTCATGATTACGCAATAAGGAATAATATTGTTCGTGGGATTTTCAAAATGTGTATACCGCGCGTCTGCGGCGCGAGGAAAAACACGACAGGCTATTTCAACTTGTTTTGTATTATGTTTCTAACTTTTGAGTTTTTAATTTCGCCGAACAACTCGGGCAATCCCAGTCGGCCGAAGGTTGATGAGAAAATTTCGATTCAAGAAGTTGGGAAAGAAAGCACCGAACGGCATTGATTCTAACATCGCAGCGAACGAAAATTGGAGAAAGGAAGGAAAGGCCTAAAGTTCAAAAACAAGCTGACAAGAAGGGAAGAAGAGAAACCGTAGCAACGGGAGAGATACTGGAACAATTTTTAAGAAAAGTAGTTCACAGTCTAGTAAATTATGTCAAGGCGGACGATGGACTGCTATTGCCGATATACGCGACCCTTGTCTACTCTGGCAGTATCGGCCAAGTGCTATTTTTTTTTAAGATTTATTATGGAAATTGATAAAGATACAACTTCGATTTACCTAACAAAATAGTACACTGAAAAAAAAGTGATGTTGCAACTGCAGCAACAATTTTCTAGGTACGAAAAAAATAACTGAGATATGTAAATGAATAGACAATACTGCGAAATTGCATGTACTTTGTATTTAATCGATTTAAATAACAAACGGAATTTCTATCTGAACCGTTGGCGAATGTTGGGAAGGAAGTTCTGTAGCGCCCATCCATTATAATGTTTGATTGTGGTACACGAACAGTTAATATTCCTTACTAAGATTGTTCTACCTGTGGTACCGACATTCATTTTTATTCAGTGATTAAGATTTAATCGTGAAGCAAACTTTCCAGAAGATGTTACTAGAATGCTGCTGCTATAAATTTTGCAGGCTACTCTGGGGAAAAAAAAGACAGCAGCCCATTTTGGGGCCCGCAATTAGTAATCGAATTCTTTGGACTGTTCGTAAGAGTACAAACAGTTTTCTAATAGGTACAAACACTGGCGATAAATTTTCCTTGCAACAATCTACCTGCGTTAGCAAGATATTTTTTTGCGTGTAATAATAGGTCTGTTTTCTGTTCCCGCACTGATGAACTAGTGCAGTAAGCTAAAACGAGACGAAATATGCTTGTCTTACTCTAATTTATTGCACTAGTTCGCCAGTATAGGAACAGAAAACGAGCCTAATGTGTTGCTCCTCTACAAGTATGGTTGTCGTCAAACCATGAAGATATTCTTCGTTGCGCCTCATCGTGCGTCAAGCGATCGCTAGCTGTTACTCTAGCAGATGTCGCAACGACTGATATTTCGTTTCTACGCGGCGCGAGGCCTTCGGAAGCAGCCGCGCTTTTCACGCTCGTCACGTCCGTCGAATTGGCGAAAACCGATACGTCGATCGCCGAGGTTCTTCGCTGAGCGAGTGATTGCACGATCGCAAAAAAATGCGCCGAGGCGGCGATCGCTCGCTCGCGTCGACTAAACGCGGGAGGTTCTGTAGGCGCGCGGGTGTAAGAGCGGGCCGAAAATCCGACGTAGAGCGATAATCTTCCGCGGCGAATTAAAATACCGGGATCGATCGCCCGCTTTTGGCGCGCGGCGCTAATCGAAAACCGTCGCGCGCTCTTATACGTGTTACGTTAATTATTTCCGCGGGGCGGTCGCGCGTTTCTAAAATCGGTCGGCCCCGAAGAAACGCGTGGCCGCGCGCAGAGGGGGTTTATATAACGCATTCGCGCCGTGCGGTGCATCCGCGCGCACTTGTTATCGCCGGTATTTCGCTTCGACGAGGAGAGAAGAGCAACGGTGACGAGCGCGCGCCGTCTTCGACACGGAGGAAGTTTAGGTTTTTTTTTCGGTGGCGGCAGAAAATAGAGTCTCTCTCTCTCCCTCCCTCCTCCCTCCCTCCCTCTCTCTCTCTCTCCTCTCTCTCTCTCTCTCTCTCTCTCTCTCTCTCTCTCTCTCTCTCTCTCTCTCTCTCTCTCGCTCATTATGAAATGTCGTTATACGCCGCGCACGTACATGGTGTGTGAGTATATACACATCCACACGAGGTACATAATATATATCACAGTCTATTAAAGCATAGCTGGCGCACAGTCTCTCTCTCTCTCTCTCTCTTTCCCTCTCCCCCCTTCTCTCTCTCTCTCTCTCTCTCTCTCTCCCCCCCCTCTCCCTCTCCGTCTCTCCCGCGGCCTGCTGCCGCGCGAGTGACGAAACGCGAACGAAGAGAGTTACTTTGCTCGGCGATGCGAGGTCGGCGATGTACCTTTGTGACGTCAGGCCTCGTGTTCGATAACCTGGCACGGACATGATTTACATGTATGCATGCATCATCGCCGTGTGTACGTACCGTACATACGCGCACGTGAATGAGGGAGAAAGGAAGCGTGCACGGCGTAAACGCCTGTGCGCGCGCGCGCGCGAGAGAGAGCGCGCGAGCGCGCTTATATGTGTCCGTGGGGTAGTAAGGGGGTTTTGCGAAGGGTCGGCGGCGACGGGTCGGGTTCGACGGGAGAAAGAGAGAGCATTTTCACAAAGATAGCCCCGGTGAATCCGATTATCGTCACCCCGCTGGCGGCTGGTTACACGAGGAGGAAAAATCGGCCGTCTCCTCCTCCTCCTCCTCCTCTTCCTCCTCCCCCCTCCCCTCCTTCCGGTAGGCCAGGCCGGCCGATCGTATTTTCTCCCTATATATGCCGCGACCAAGAGGACAATAGCAAAGAAAACTGGGGCACTCGCGATTTTTAGTAAAGGCCGAGACAAGGCTGCGCGGACCTTCTTGGCCGTTTTTCCGATCAAAGGTGCAGCGCGTCATCATCTTTTCTCTTCGGGTTCTTCCACCATGATAATAAACAGGGCCGTATCTTGGGTGAGGCGGGGGAGGCGCTAGCTTGATAGGACGGGCTTAATAACATAATAACTTTTTGGCGGGGAAAATAATGGGCTGGGATCAGGATTTCAACGGCGAATCCCCCGGCCAATTTGGATCGTTCGATGGCAACGTCCGCGTTACGAGCCGAAGGGAGGGGCGCGGCTTCTCGCGAATTTAATTTCAGAAAACTCTGTACGTTGTCGGTTAATTTGGTTGACCGACGAACGAGAACCTTAACTTCCCGTTCAGGGAGAGACTCGGGAAAAGGGGTATACGAGATTAACTCCGAGGAGCCGAAGAGGTAGAGGAATCGAAAGCTGGAGAGATCGGTCGATTTCAAATATCGGAGCACCGCGAGGTGCTCGTCTCCCGTTAAAGTATAACGCGCGAGAAAACGGGACGGGTATCCCGGCGACGGGGAGAAAGAGAGAGAAAGAGACTAATCGCGCCGAATACACGGCGAAATAACAGCTTTGCAGGTGGCGAGCGTCGACGTGCGGTTGACCCTCGGCGAAGTTCTAATCGTACACGATACACGCGGCCCCGGCCGCACAATGGCGCGGCAGATGGGACGACGTCGGTAATGGGAACGTGGAGTAACGGTTCCCTGCGAAATTGATCGTTTCTGTGTGCAACAATTGGCGACGATAACGAAACAAAAGAGCTCGCGCGCGCGCGCGGCTCGCGGCGCGAGAGACCGATTGCCGCGTGTGCACTTGCCGAGCTGGCGGCCGCGAGACGCTACGCCCAACGTGACAATGCGAGAGTGCTGAGTTTTAAAGCCTCGTGTCCACGACCTGAAGAACTGTGCCCAGTCTTTTACGGAAAAGCAAGTTGATTGGCTACACATTTCCCGGAACGAGAGCTTCTTGGGAGACACAGTTCTTGGATCGTGGACCCAAAGCCTTGGGGTCCACGATGGTAGAAATTGGCCCGAGATCTCGATCCGAGAAAGATGCAGCCAATCAACTTGCATTTTTTTTACAGAATAGCCACAGTTTTTGGCCACACATTTCTCGAAACTAAAACTTGGACACAGTTATTGGGTCATGGACACAAGGCTTTAGGGTCCACGATCCTAGAAATTGGTCCGAGATCTCGACTCGAGGAAGAAGTAGCCAATTCTGCATCTTTTACAGGAAAGTTGCAGTTTCTCGGAATGAGAACTTGGACACAGTTCTTGGATCGTGGACACAAGGCTTTAAGGTCCACGACGCTAGAAATTGGCCCGAGATCTCGACCCGAGAAAGATGTAGCCAATCAACTTGCATCTTTTACGGAAAAGCTGCAGTTGCTTGGCTACACATCTCTCAGATCGAGATCTCGGAACGATTTCTAGCATTGCGGGCACAAGGCTTTAGGCCCGACGCGCAAAGGAGAAAATATTGGGAACAGGAGTGAACCCATATTGTAAATTCATGAGCTACAATAGAAATACCTTGAATCACGACACAGTTCCCATGTTTAGATCTTACATTATATTCTCTTGCATTACTGTACGTTATATTGATACTTAGTCTCCCTTATCTTTCCTCTCTTCAAATATTTAATACATATTCCTCTTTTGTGCGCAGGGCCTTAAAGGCGAATAATTTTTCATAGCAGAGGCACAAGCTTTCGCGGAGCGGAAGGATTAAGGCGCATTAAGCGAATAATGTATACGTAACGCGATATTAACCGCAGCCTCGGCGAGAACTCTTATCGAACGATACAACTTTTTTTTTTAACTTGTTTTTTCCCCGTTTTCTTTATGCGCGGAAAATTTAGAGCGATTACAGTGATTACGCGTCTCGTTCCGAGCGCGTTTAGACGCTGAAGATTCTGCACAGGTGTTAAAACGTCTTGAGCTTTACGTTGTTATTGCGCAAAAGAAGAAATACACGGCGAGAAGAGTGCTCCGTTGCGTAATTTTTACACGACCGCGTGGCCGTCTCGGTTATTAATAATTTCGCCAAGAATCCCAATTTCATTATAGCGTGATATATAGGCTTGATTATACCGCCTGATAATCCTTGGAATCTGACAAATGATGCACTTTGTCTCTGAAATAACGGCGAGTGGAGCGTGGGAGAGGTCAAAGGTCACCGTACCAAGAGTGTAGCATAAAGGGCAATATCTCAGGTTCCAGTCGAATTAACGAATTTACTCGTTGTAGCCTTTAGAGAGAATTGCACTCTTACGGGGGGCCCGTGTGGTGTTTCCGGAAGTTCAGAATTCAAGAATAACCCTAGGGGAATAAGTGACAAAATGTTGAAAATTGTAAATACGTCGATACACATAAAGTGTTAATTTAACATACCGCTCTTGTGTCGATTGACCTCAAATGTAAAATTATTAAAATAACTGAAAAGAAATAGTCAAAGCAACACAATGTGTACTTATTTTTTTAATCTGACACGATACATACGTTCTATATTATTAGTAACAGAATTTATCTGTTAAAATTTACAGAATAAAATGTAAATTTTATTCTACATAACATAAGTGAGAGTGATTTCGAACCGTCATTTGACTTATTACTGTAAAATGTAAAAATTACATTTGTTAAAATTCATTTTGTCATTAAAAGTATGTTAATTTTACACAAAATTTATTTCAAATTATTTTGAGATTTGCATTTATTTTGTGTTAAAATATTAACAGTGTTAGTGTGATTATTTAACATATTATGTTAAATTAACGCAAAAATTTGTGCGGACCGTTTGTGATATCTGTTAAGTTCAACACAAATTTTTCAACTGTGTACATGCAATACATGTTTTCTACACAATAATGCGTCTTATGAATAAACGATGCTTTAATATTGTCCGGTAAATAATAGGTGAAACGTCGTGCGCTGCGCTATTCTTGCTTGTTCGGACTCGAACCGCGTTAAATCTCTCTCTAATTATTCATTATTTCGCGGAGGGGCGACGTCTCGATTATTATGTATACGAGCGGTTTAACAGCGGATGTAGAAATTTCGTCCGAGCTGCATTTTACCTAAGCTTCATTTTGCCTTCATTGCGGCTCATTGGTTTCAGATGGTCCATCCAAAGAGCGACGAGCAACGACAAAGGCTCAGCGAGAGCGTCAAGAACATACTCCTGTTTCGCGCTCTAGACGAGGTAAGTTAAACATAGTGCGTTCATCAGCCGCGATCGCAAATAGGCATAAGGTGTAACGGCAACTTGGTGCGTACATCCGCGCCAGTTGGGCGAAATACCAAGAGACCCACGAATAATCTCTCATTAGGAACGATCGGTTTTTGCCAGCGAGACAATTCGCGTAATTGAGATATAATTGTCTCTCATTAGCGACTTGTTGATGCACTGGAGTATAAATTACCAGCCATCTGCTTCGACTATTAAATAATATTGAGCGTTATATGAGATACTTCATTTTTTAAAAATATATTTCATTTTAATTTATCTCAATTTTTTCTTGACGCGCACGCATTAAGTTCTATCTAACGGGGGACTAGTCTAAAAATTGCCGCTTGGCAAAAATCGATTTAGTCAAGAATCAATTATGTTAAGAGGAAACGTGTAATAATGAGACACCCTTGTATACGTATATAAACGTATTTATGTACGTAGGAGCGCGTACATCGATTATCAGCGCGATATTAACGTGCCTGTCCCTGCCTGCGTGCTACAATTTTAAAGCCGATATTTTAAATCCCGGATGATAATATCGCGCTAAAACGTATTTATACGTGTATAATAAAATTACTTTTGCAGGAACAAATGGCGGATGTACTGGACGCAATGTTCGAAAAAACCGTTCAACCGGGAGAATTTATTATCCGACAGGGCGACGATGGTGACAACTTTTATGTGATCGAGAGGTAATACTTTTTCTTTATATATTACAGTTAACGTATCGATAGGCTTCTCCCTTCAGCGGCAAGTTCCAGTGAACCAAGAGGGGATGCGCACAGTCGATCACTGCTTTTACTCAGAGCTGAAAATATTCGAACAATAACGTTTAGTAATTCAATTATTCGGTTGTTCATTTTGAAATTCGAGTTCACGCGGACATGAGCAGGAGTGTGTAGCTGCCTTACAGTCTGATCCTCTGTCCTATATATATATATATATATTTCCAATCGTCTCTATCTGTTCGCATTTCGTGTTCTAGGGGCAAATTCGAGGTGTACGTCAAAGATCCCGCGGGAATGGATAATCATATTCACACTTACGATAATCGCGGTGCTTTCGGAGAACTGGCCCTTCTGTATAACATGCCCAGAGCAGCCACTGTCAAAGCTTTCACGTCTGGCACACTCTGGGCCATGGACAGGCAAACCTTCCGACGTATTCTCCTTAAATCCGCGTACAAGAAGCGTAAAATGTATGAAAACCTTATTAATAAAATGCCGATGTTGAAGTCTCTGGAGGTAAATATTACGCAGCTATTTATATATACATCTAATTGTTTTTCCACGAGATTTATAGAATATATTTTGTGATTTAAAATCTTAAATAGCTCTTGAGTTCGTATTTTAAGATTAAATACAATTACCGCGTATCCCTTTTATTAAAGCTATTCCCTTTCTTTGATTAGAAAAAGTATATTCGAGCACAAAAGAAAAATCAGCTCCCACGCGATTTAAATTGTAATATATTGAAAAATTTTGCAGCCTTACGAGCGGATGAACTTAGCGGATGCCCTTGTACCGAAACAGTATTCCGATGGCGAGCAGATAATCAGGCAGGGCGACACCGCAGATGGAATGTACTTTGTCGAGGACGGCGTCATCAGGATCACCAGACTCGGCGAGCACGGCCGTGAAATTGAGGTGCATTTATTTATATTATACGTTAATCCGTTTCCCTCCCCGCGGAACGATCCGATTACGCTGGCGACGAGCCAAGAAAATTCCCTCCTTACTTAACCCAGCACCTTTAATATCCTGCAGATTACTCGTGTTCCGGCTGGCGGTTATTTAGGCGAGTTGGCACTCGTGACGCATAAACCACGCGCCGCTTCGGCCTACGCTGTGGGGGACATCAAACTGGCATGTAAGTTTATTTCATTACTGCCCACCGTTTCCCGAATTGATAGGTAATCAATAACATTGCGCCGAGTAATTGCGGATATCGATATTCACCGCAGTAATCGGGCTTATTAAAGGACGGCAGATGGTCGCGATATCTCTCCCTGCGCATTAAAATTGATTTTGAAAATTTCTATATACAGGATGCCACACTTCAGTGGATTCACAAAAATAGCAATTTTGTCTGCCTAAAGTGATTATTTCATTTATTCAACCGGTCATTCCTTACGCTTACAGTTTTGGACGTTGAAGCTTTCGAACGTTTGCTCGGCCCGTGTATGGAACTTATGAAACGTAATATCGACGATTACGAGGAACAACTAGTAAAAATTTTCGGCAGCAAAACCAACATCTCCGACATTCGATGAACTGCTTCCGGGTGGAGCTACATCGCCGTGCTGCTGTACTAAAGGACGCGACACTTTCGTACAGCGCATAATGTATATCAAGCACAAAAGAACTTGTACCACCTATTTCTGAATCTCATCCCGCGTGTTTCGGGTATCATCTCGGAATCAACAACTGTTTCATATGACTGTTCACTTAGACGTATACCGATTAAGATTCGTCGATAATAGTTACCAAGTTTATACCTACGGCACACATTGAACAAAGCTATAGGCTGCTCGATTATGTGCGCGTGTATAACGTAACGACACGGTATTAATGACTATTCTCTAAGACTGTATTGGATCAAAAAGAGAGTATTAGTGCATCCTGTCGCTCGCGCTCGATCGTTTGCAAAATGAATATTTTTTATTTCTTGTTGCCCCAGTGAAAAATCGGAATATAATATTTTGAGACACACGGTCATTATTACAGTATTTAACTTTATCCCCGGAATGACTCAATTTTATCTCAATGTATTCTATCTATATGCTCACACAATTCGTCTATACTCTCGTCCATTATCCATCTTTAGACAAATCAGCGGCTATATTTATAAGACATAGTAGGAGTATCGAATATTCGAAATCGAATGCTCTTCTAACGCGCTACTTTCTGGCAAAAGATAGATTACAAGAGAAACGACCACATTAGTAATTGAACATTGACACGAATCTCTTGCAAGGTGTTTGTACGAAATACCTAATATGCATATCACTCTTTCGAAGATAATGAAAGTAACATTGCCATTTTTAATGAGAACAGACAGAACTGTACAATATTCTTTGATACAGCCGTTTAACGATGTAAAATATCTTGATAAAATATCAGATCAGACAATCACGATTTTGTCTATGATTCGTGACGAGTAGTAGATACGCACTTTGCAAATATGCACATATACATACACAAAAATGTATCACATGCAACGTGCACACAATGGTAAAATAATTTTCTAATTCGTGTTTTTTTTTATATATATAAATGTGACTTGCGTATGAATTACTTTTTTTTTACGTACTAATATATCTTTCACGAAACAATGCATTTACATTATCGTAGTTTTGTGCATAATTATTTATAATTAAATTGGAATACAGTATCACTTAATAGATTTTTACTTGAAAAAATAATCAATTATTTTCTAACAAGTAACAAATTCTGATAAAAAATTTAATTTATGTTCTTTATTAATAGAATCGATAAACGCCAGAGTTGTACAAACGCATTCTATTTCGGATATAGAGTACTCTCAAAGAAATGCATAGAAAGTCCAGAACTAAAGGAGCCTTAAAATTAACTTAAATGCGCGGATATAACAATGCAAAAGGAATATATCGCATATACACATGTACAAAGTAATGTAAAAGAAAACATAAATGTGAAATGAGAGAAAAAAGGAGTGTAACATTTTCTAATTGCTTTGTACTTGTATGTATCAGATTAGGAATTTTAGCGTAAAAAGGTAACCGCGCGTTTAAGCTAACGTTAAATTCAAGTGTGTCTTGCCGATAAATAATGGTAACTCGAGGATCGATTACGAGAATCCGTCAACTTATTTTTATTACATGTGTACAAGACACGTTATGTGTATGATGATATACGTCTATCATCGTGATAAAAGTCCAGTCGAAAACCGATTCGATTATAGTAATGGACAGGTGCGAATGCTAGTCACTTTTTATGACCGTGTTTTTGTCACGTTGTCTTCTGACAATTACATCTGACACGAAAAAAGAAAGGATACTTTTTATTACGGTGAACTATGTGTATTTACCTCGTGACTGAAACTCGCGATAAAGCGGCAGGGCTTTTTAAATAATATCACAATCGTGTGAGGGAGAAAAGGGAGACTAGTACGAAAGTGAAATAGAGAGAGAAGCTAATATAGGAATTGTTAATAATGGTTGTATTATTCTTCAATGTGCGGCACTGATGCCTTGCATAGCCTTATTTTTTTTATGCATGGCCCATTTTCTTATAGCTGCTTGATCAAATCTCGTGAAATTTTTCAAATAAACAGTTAAATGAATTAAATGAAATCTAATATCTCTCAATGATCTAAAAATAATTCAGATTTTAAAACAGTTGAAAAACAATTTGTTTACAACATAGTATCAGTATCTTTAGTCTTCCACTGTATCTCCAGGCTGTGATATTATTTTCGACTGAGTATTTCATTCCTTTCTTGTAATCTCTTATAAGAGAAAATCGTAAAAAAATATCGTAATCGTTATGGAATTTGTGAGGCATTAAATTGATGGGTTTGTTTTAAATGATTCAATCAACGTATCTCGTATATGTAGATACGAGATTTTTATGGATTAACAAAAGTGACTTGATCATTGTTGGACACGAGAAACACTACACGTATCGCAAAAGAAAAAAAAAGAAAAAAGAGCTGATTCGCATACTGAATAAACTCAATACGCATAAGTACTTACTTGTGTTAGATTACATTCGCTAAATTAAGTGTGAAGTATTGAAGTTAGAATCTGTCCAATTCGCATTGCTGTATGTATCTATCATGAGATTTATCTTATGTGTTGCGTGTTGTCGTTTATGTATGAACGTGGATGTGTTTGCATGTGTGTATGTGACGATCGAGCCAGTAATTTGTTAATTTATGTTGCTACTATTGATAGTTTACACTCTCCAATAGTTGTATTCATGTTATCGTCATTAAATCGTAATGCAATACACCGAAATATATCCTACGGATAAATATTGTAACAGTAGTATACCTTATCGTGCCACTGGATCTTCGTCTTTCTGCTTTTAAAGAGAGAAAGATTTATGAAATATCGAAGATGCAGATTTCGTTGTACATCCGCGATCTACACTGCTGGATAAAACGATTAGACACTTTAGTAAATTTTCATAAATGCCTTTAATAAGTCAATAACGTTAGCGAATTAAAAATTACGATTTGACATGAACGGCATTGACGAGGATAACTAAGAATAAGATAACTAAGAAAAGATTCACTTAAAGAATGATTCAAAATAGCTTCCTTATTAATACAAGAAAAAGTATTAGAATTTTATTTTTAACTACAATATTTTTCTAAGAAAGTGTCTTGTAATGTAATTCAATTCAAATTCCGTCATTTTTCTTTCAACGAGAAATTGGTTGGAAATTTCATTTATTGAAATATCATTTAACACTGATATTTTTATTCGTCATATAATGCTATTTGATATAAAATCGTCTCCCAGTAATGTTCACGGTGTTTTATCATTATGTCCAGCAATGTATTATGTATCCACGTGCTATATCCAGCGATGGGCATTCGATTTTCCTTCTTGCAAGTTTTCAAACAATTCTAGCATAAAGTTTCGAATAATTTCGAATATTATGCGGAGATTATACGAAAATTATGAATTTTAGTGAATCTTTAACATTTTGACAAATTAATTTTAAGAAATCTTTAAAATTCTTTAGAAAAGTCGTCGAAAATCTTGTCATTTTTGTGAAATAATTTAACAGAGAGACATATTAATTTTATTTGAATATATTTATTTGAATATATTTATTGTAGCTACGAATTATTGCGATTAAGTTATTTATATTATATAAAAAATAATTTTAATATTTTCTTAACGTTGAAAAAAAAATATATATACATTTCATATACATGGTGTATGCGTTTATCATAAAAACTTTAATAAGTGCAAATGTTTTAGGATTTTTGAAACTTGAGAAGACTTAAAGCGATCTCTCACTAATCTCTCTCAAGAATTTTTTATTTCAGATATATACTCGAAATAATTCGAAATTTTTGTAATGATTCAAAGTACTTGTTTTAGCCCATCGCTAAAGTTACGTCGTAATTCTAGTCCAGAGCGACATAAAGAAATGTTTTCGACAAAATAGCACGTATCGAATCAGAGAGTTGACGGATTGAGGGCGGTAATATCTGTAATGGCTAATAATGTGCCAGTAATACTTAGTTTTCTCATTTGACGTGTGTTTTTCCTTGTGCAACGGTATATTCCTAATGTTGTTTTTTTAAGTTATCAAGCGTAGCGCGTTAGTAGCTGTTATGTATGTATTAGCAATGTGTCATTGTGCGTGTAACAGTGCACTTTGCATCGGACCAATTTCAAGGAGCAATTGAGCTTGCGACTTTCCTTCCTTTTGCTCGTAATCCTCCTCACCGTATATAGCTTCAGCGTATTTTTCGCCGATGTATAATCCTGTTGTACGGAATTTCAAAGTATCATGTGTAATAACTTTACTGTCCCTGAGTCATAATGATTTAAATATTGCCTATTATTTCTGTACGCGTGCTATTTATACGAAGTCAGAGCTCTATACATGGCTCGACAAATATCTGACGAAAAGTAAAGTTTCAAGTAATTATCAAATCCCCGTATTAATGCACTTAAGAAAAGCAATACGAGTCTCAAACTCGATTGCGTGCTGACAATCGTCCGGTGTCGTTGTACGAAAACGCTTGTATAATATTATTAAGAGTACCTTGGTACTTCCTGCCTTTTATTTCTTCTTTTAGGAATCTCTATTAGCATTTAAATCTTCGACACTCTCTCTTCGTTCTTGATCCATGCTATACTTGTCTCTCCATACTCGAATGCTGATAATATTAATGTTTCGCCATGAAAAAAAGAGATTATGCTTTTAAATTCCTTCGACAGCAACAGCATGTAAGTTAACGCGTCGCGGATACTTGCGTGCAATTAGAGTAAAATGAGAGAGAAGAGTACACTTCCTATATGCATTAAATATAAATAATCGGGCAAAAATTGGGACGTTCGAGGACCCAGAAGTGTACGTCTCTCCCTCTCTCTCTTTCTCTGCGTGTTCCCGTTGTGTCCCATTTTCCATTGTGTCTTCGAACCAAAGCATGGTAAAGAGGAACCTCTCTGATTGTACTGTGAATGTTGAATAAATCTAGAATATATAATTAGCCTTAAAATGTGTCTGTGTACACGTTGCTTGAAGCGTATTACATACATATAGCGGATAACATCAGAACGGTTCTCCTTGTGTTCCATTAGTAAAGTAAGTCTTTTAGCGAATTTCTCGGATGAGTTGTAACGTGTCGTTTAAAGTGAACCGCGTTCAAAGCTTACTGCAAAACGTATCTTTCATTTTGTAATTTATCCGCCTGGTGTGTCGAAATTCTTTGTATCTTCGCCAGAGGAGAAGCGACAAAAAAAGAGAAAACGGACACACACTTAGATATGTAAATTCTAAGTTCTTTAAGACCAATCGGTATATCCGTATACATATCGCTTATTTTATATTTTAACAAGACTCCGCAGTTTCTTTTAAACGCGCGTATATAGACCCATTATTACTGTCCAGCCTGTACCGTATACGTTTGATAATATTGTTTGGAGTGCGGCCCTCCCCCTCCCCTGTACATTTAATAGATTTTATACACATATGCGCATACGTAGGAACGTTTCTAGGTATAACAAACTGTTGTAAATTACAAGATAGTATGTACTTAACGCCCCTTCGTTTCGCAATGTGTTATAGTATTGTATAACGAAATATACGCATATATATATGTGTATATATATATATGCATATATCTATAGTATATTGTACACAATTGTTAGATATATATAGCATGTATATCTAAAGTGTACATACATACGTGTGTATATACACGTTGGGTATGCATGCAAATATACGAATATACATATAAAATAATATAAAATATCAGTATATATGTCGACACTCGTTTCCAGCTGGTCTGATCGGGTATCATTCTAATAATTATAATGTGTTGACCTGACAGCGATACGATTCGAAGTAATCTAGAGCCGAATGCGCAATCGCACGATCCGATTTATTGTACGATACGATGCAAATGTATGTCCATATATAATTTGTTAATATATATCGAGAAGTAAATAGATTTTACTAAAGATTTCTGTATGCTGAGCAGCAGGTTTATCTACGTACAATAGATAGATGTAAACTGAGATAATATCGATAATTGAAGGACGTGGGCAAATTGAACGAGTATTTTGTGCTTTGTAATATAAATTTGTAAGACGCGCGATCACATGTCGTCCAGTCTCTTTTTCTCTTTCCGATAAAATATAAAAGTTTATTTATACAAAGGAAACTAATCTCGCCGCAGGCGCTTACAGACTTGTAATGTTTATAACAATTATGCTTACATTGTATGGGCCAAGATAGAGCAACTCGATAACTGAAAATCAGAAAGTTCGCCTTTGTATGCCTGTACCTCAGCGATACTTGGGAGCTAATTATATTTTGAACCAGTGAGAACAGAAAGGAGACGTGTGACATTTTGGCCGAAATTAAATTAAGAAGGTCCCTTGCTCTTACTTTAATAGATCCTCTCTTCGAGACGAAGTGGTATAAAACTTACTGAAAAATTAATATTGCTTATAAAACAATTTTTTGCCTTTCTCAAATATATGCTGTTGTCACATATACCCTTTTTGTTCTAACCGATTCATTTCTTATTGAATTGTGTATTATTTTTCATTGTTACATTCGACGATTCAAATCACAATGTCTTCAGACGTATTTTCCATCTAACATACTCTAGAATCAAAGATTCGAGTCTTTAAAAAATCATTCTAATTTAAACGATTATTAATTATCATGCCAAGTTCTCTCTTGTTGCATATCTTATTGTTAAATATCTTTTCTAAACGTTTTTTGCTCGATACAAAAATGGGGGAACAGATTTCTAGCGACATATCTGCATTTGTTCAACAACAACGTATCACTATTGGCATGCACAGCTATACCGAGCTGTACCGAGAAACTGAAATTAACCGAATGAACTTGTTCATGCATACAGCTAATGTAATTATCATTATAATCATCTTCTCACACAGGATGTCGTAGAAAAGTTGGATGCTGTTTTAAAGGTTGTGCTTTATCGAAATAAGGAGAGCAACTCGCACAAACCGGATCTCCCAAGTTGAGTTACGTTACAATCCTTGCGTTTCTACGACCGTCGTCATTGCAGTTCGTTACGTATCTACTTTTACCATCGCAACATTCCCTTTAAACAGCTTCCAAATCCTTTCCGCGATACCGTACGCGTCTCTCGTTGCGCGTAAGCTGAGCTCGGACGTTCATGTGCGTATTCTCGCGATGGAGCCTAAGCGCGGTTGTAAACCAAAGTCAAGTCTCAGATGCATACAATGGAAAATAAATATTTGGTGTGTCTCCCTTTATGCTTGATCAGCTAACATTTCGTACACGCTTGTAACACAGCGTCACTGCCCGAGATTAAGTAGCGGCATTTGATATATTCCCCCCCCCCCCCCGTGTAACACCGTACCTCACAGTCGTCGTGGTTTCATATATTCGGCACGAAGAATTCTATAGACGGATGTATATTCAGTTCACCAGCAAACCCCTCGTGGCCCATTCGCGAGGCTTCGCCTCCTGCTCTCGTATACTCGTTCGGTGGCTCCGCAAAACATCGTCCGGGTGATCCTATTTTTTCTGGCAAACACCCCGGTACGTTGTACAATCTTATATGAAATAACCGGATGCGAGTTTGTATTCGAGCAGCGAGCAACAATATACACTTGGTATACTATAGATAACATAATAAAAAGTGAGAATATAATAAATGAATGGACCTGTACAGAAGTCTATTGTATTTGTCATTGTATTTTTTCTTGCCATTGCCTGTTAAATTATTGATAGGCAATATCGTGTTCTACAAATTCAGAGGAGACTCCCTCTCGCGAAGAATCATATCGGTTCTTTTATGTACAATTAATTCAATGAAAGCTAACGCTATTAATAACGACCAGCCAATTTGTTCTTTACAAACAGAACTCTGTGCGTTGTACATGTTTCTCAAATCTGGACCTATCAACACTTTCGGTTCCTTTGTTTCTATTAGTTCCTCGCTTTCTTGCAGCAGCTTTTGCAACATATACTGCGTGGAAATAGCCTCGTTGTCTATTATAAGACCATAGATTTTTAGTAATACACGCTGCCGAAGTATAAAAATATTGTTTGCCACAAACGTTGTGGTGTCTGAAAGATTTGTAACAAAAATTTATATTAGATTTTTCTTCCCCGTGTAATGTGTAATAAAAAAATACCAGCATTAAAACGAGTGCTAATCTTTCGAATAAAATCATGGTTGCAGCTGGCAATCTTTATTTTAGTCTAATCGATCTCTTAAATTGTTATTAAACTTGTATTTTCATAAAACAATAATTGACGTATATAAATTAGAAAAGAGAAAACTACATTTTGTATTCCTCAATCTTGACTTCCCCTCATAAGAAAAAAATAACAATTCTAATTAGTAAATTTTAGTCGTTGGAACATTCATATAATTAATAAAGTACATTTTCCATACCATTAAATCTACTATCCAACAACGTCAGATACGACAGAATGATAGCGCCTATTATAGACCGTTGTACAAAGTCCTGATGAAGGTGGCGATTTTGTACGTGGCCAATGTCACCATTGGCCTCTTGCATCACATACCGATCAGCCTTCGGTAATTTTCTAGCAATTGGTATTGTCTAAAAACCAATAGAGAGGCGCGATGTGATATCGTACGATTGACGGTAACTAAGATCTCTAAGCAACACAGTTTTACTGAGTGAATAAAAAAGCCTCTTGAAGGCTTGAATATTTACTTCTTGGAGTAAAGTGTGAATAGTTTCCTTCGTCCCTTTTCGCGGAAAAGATTTATAACCCCACTGTGATACCTCACAATCACGATTTAATAAAGACCAACTGACCAAGTCGTGTCCTACGTATATTCCTAATACTGTGTTGACATCCTGTAACATATAGATGAAATTGATCGAAGATTCATAGAAACGAGAGAGAGAGGAAAACCGTCGATACTTTTCACCCAATTCTTTAATGGGACAACTGAGGAGAGTCTGGCTTCTCGTACCTTTTGATTCCCAGTATTTTGTGGTGTTGCAATTAAACCCGGTATAATCTTCTTAGGTGGTTTCTTCTTGCCACATAAAATTGACTTATAAAAATTGAACACCCATTTATTATTCATACTCTGTATTTGTAACAAATCATCCAGCGATTCAAACGGCCCATTATTTGCACGGAGCAATTCTAATTTCTCTGCACGATTCTTCGTAATGGAGTATCTTCACAAAGATAATATTAACAGTAATAAATGCACCGGAAATTTATAATATATGACTGTACGTAAGTTCTTAAAGAAATGGTTAACTCACTTAAGTAAGTCCGTTGTGGCTTTGGTATTTATTACTTCAAGTATTTTCTCCTTATCTTCTGAAGAGAGAAGATTTATATCGAAAGCATCAGCGAGTTCATTTTTGTTCAGTTTAAAAACAGTTGTGCTCAGTGCTCGATGCTTGTGGATCTACAAAGAGGATAAAAGAGAGATAAAATGGAGACTAATGAATACCAAAGGGGGCAATTTTTCATTTTTTTTTGTTGTAAAATAATGGCATACTTATTATTCAAAAAATTATTAATCTCTGCAAGGTACGTAATCTAAAATCATACCTGCCCTCGTTGGTTTTTCATAACTGTATTAAAAAACCTCGTCAGCATACCGTTCCACATTTTGTTATTGATATTGTAAAGTCATAGACACAAAATATGACACAGTTGATCGCTAATTATCTGAAATCTTCGATATGTAGTAATATAATTATTAATTAGCTTTATAAATGTGTCCGACATCAGTTCAATTTGCAAGCAACACGGATAAATATTTACACGTGAGTGCCGAAGAGCATGCTTCGGCAACTGCGTTACAGAACAGACGAAAAGTAGAGAAAGTGCAGCTACGAAAAGGCACAACTGCGTGGACCTAACCTAATCTAACCTAACTTACAATGACTGGTATTTAAAAAATGCGCGAGATTCGAAATGCCAGATAAGAATAAAGGCTGGTTTGTGCAAGATCGTAATCGTTAACTTAGGCCGCAATCGGTAAAAATTGGCCAATTACAGTCAACTATTCTCTTTACTTTTAACGGTGATTGGACAATTTTTACCGATTCCGGTATAATTTAACAGTTACGGTCTTGCAAAAAGTATTTAAAAAATCGAGCGCGTTTTTCAATTTTACATAGAAATTCTATATTAGAAAATGTTAAGAATTTTGGAGAATATTATCGTGATTATCACGTGCCCTTGTGTTTTAACGTGAAACGGTTAACACTGCTGATTGAGTTATTATCTATTTTATTTTTCGTGTAATTTCCTTTACAATGTATACAATAATATAAAAGAAATAATTACAATATAAAATTAAATATATAATATCTATACAATACAATATTTCTCTCGACGTTACATATGAAATATTCGGTATGCATACAGTAACATGAAATTCTTGCAATGTAACATATACAGGGTGTCGGATTCGCTTTGGACGACTCCAAAGATTACAGTAGATTGGGTCAAGAAGAAAAGTTATATACCATTTTACAAAATTCGTAATTATTATCGCGTAATTAAGAAAAACGTCTGAGCCAATAAGTGCACGGAGGAACTGAAGACCGGACTCGGCAGCATGCAAAATACGATTGCAATTATAATGTGAATCCAGCCGTAGTCGTAAGAATAGTCGACTGTGATTGGTCAATTCTTATGTATCTGACGGAATTGACTAATCGCAGTCCATTATTCTTACGACTACGACTTTACGACTTCTATGTAGACGAGGCTTGGATGTCGTAAGTCGTGTCGGAAGAAATTGACCAATTACAGTTCATTATTCTTCGACCGTAAAGCCTCCGCTACAATGATTCTCGGTTCTGTCTACAATGGTCGTAGTCGTAAGAATAATCGACTGCGATTGGTCAATTCTTATGTGTCTGACGAAATTGACCAATCGCAGTCGATTATTCTTACGACTACGACTCTGCGACTTCTATGTAGACGAGGCTTAAATACTTGCGTGCGTACGTGCGCATGCGCCCAGAAATAGCGGGGTTATAGATACATCGTCGTAGTACGCCACGTTTTCTCTCAATCAGATCGGCTTCCATGATTGTCTCGCGTGCCGACGCTTAGCAGTATTCCGGATTTTGATTGCAGTCGCACGTATTTTAGCCAACTTCAAAATGGAGCAAGGTGAGTAACATCGCTCTTGTACGAATGTTTAATTTTTTTTCTCAAGAATTCGAGTTCTCTCTACGTTTATTCGGGATCGCGTCATTACTGTTATGAATTCCGCCCGATCCCACTACGAACACGTGTCTGCGGCATCGGTTTTGCCTACGATGATAGTACTGTATAAATCCTTGCACAAGTTGTTAAATCAGTAAACATTACTCACTACGTTTGCCTCTCCGAATGTAATTCGTGAAAATCGCTTGTTCCATTTTTTAAATAGGGGTTAGGGTAGATTAGGTTATATTCTCGATTACTTGCAGAGAAGAGTAAGAAGAAGGATAAGAAGAAGTCGCTCGGCGAGCTGCAGTTGGCGACGAAATGCGAGCTCGAGCCCTCCAACGTGGAGGTGAAGCTCGAGTGCAAGGACTGGCCGCTGCTGTTCAAGGTGATTTGCTTTAAATTGTTCGCCTCGAATCGCGGCGCATGGGGCTGCCATTGCAACGACAGCTAATTTCGTACCATATCTATTGCAGAATTTTGATAAGATGCTGACGCGCACGAAGCATTTTACCCCGTTGACAAGTGGTTCTACGCCGCTACATCGCAGCCTATCAGAATACATAAAGTCAGGCTGCATCAATCTAGATAAGCCGTGCAATCCGTCGTCGCACGAGGTGGTGGCTTGGATAAAGAAGATCCTAAAGGTGGAGAAGACCGGTCACTCCGGCACGTTGGATCCCAAGGTATCGGGAGTCCTGATAGTCTGCATAGACAGAGCGACGAGACTGGCCAAGTCGCAGCAGTCTGCTGGAAAGGAATACGTTGCTGTGTTTAAGCTCCATTCTGCTGCGGAAAGTACCCAGAAGGTAAATATGCATAACATATTATTATGGATAACACAGAATAAATGTTTGTACAAGCAAACGGATGTAAAACAGGATAAACAAGTATTTACATAATAAAATATAATATACAGATAATACATTGAGTGATAGGAAATTGAATGCGAGTCTCTCTGATTGTTGTATCGCTGCGCTAGCTTACGATAAATACAAAATGTGCAAAGCTCAAAAGTTTTTCTTCAGCATAAAATCCTTTATTCATTTATTCTTTGTTATCCAAATTGCATCTTTGTTGCGTGTATTAATTCTCTGTGATATTTTATATTTATGTCACACTGATACAATGATTTAGGTAAATCAAGCGTTGGAGAAATTGCGCGGTGCTCTCTTTCAAAGGCCGCCGTTGATATCGGCGGTCAAGAGACAGCTCCGCGTCAGGACAGTTTACGACAGTTGGTTCCTTGATTACGACAAAGAGCGCAATATGGGGGTGTTCCGCGTCAGCTGCGAAGCTGGCTCTTATATCAGAACTATGTGTGTCCATCTCGGGCTCTTCTTAGGTACTGGTTGTCACATGCAAGAACTTCGAAGAAGTCGCTCCGGCGTTCAGTCCGAACAGGATGGTATGGTTACCATGCACGATATCCTCGACGCCCAATGGCTGTACGAAAATCACGGGGACGAGTCGTATCTGAGGAGAGTTATAAAGCCGCTGGAATCGCTGCTAGTGAATCACAAAAGGATCGTCATAAAGGATAGCGCTGTATGTATCAGACTTTTGCACCGATAATGGAAATTGAATATTGTTTAACAGCACTTCATTTGTTTATGCGAACTTACTAGGTGAACGCAATCTGTTACGGAGCCAAGATCATGCTGCCGGGCGTCTTGATGTACGATCAAGGGATAGAGTTGAATCAGGAAATTGTAATTGTGTCTACTAAGGGCGAGGCTGTAGCACTTGGTAAGTATATTTTTGAAGTAACAGCGACATATGTCGCAGTTGTTTAATCGCTGATGATATTTATTAATGCTCAACTTATCATTTTTACACTTGTGTTCGCAATACTTGCCCTTATAATCTTGAAATAATATTTACCTTCTATATCAGCCATAGCTTTGATGTCTACTCCAACTATGACTACCTGTGATCATGGGGTAGTTGCGAAACTCAAAAGAGTAATCATGGAGAGAGATTCGTATCCAAGGAAGTGGGGTTTGGGACCTAAAGCAATGCAAAAAAAACGTATGATAGTTGATGGGACATTAGACAAACATGGGAAACCAAATGAGAACACGCCCACTGACTGGTTACAAAGTTATAAAGACTTTGCGGCAGCACCAGCAACCGAACCTGCAACGGTAAGTCATTTCACGTAGATCTTTTCGGATATGAATGTATATCACGAGCGTATATTTACGTGCAAATTAGTAACGATTGAAGAGTGAAAGAATGGCGCACCAAAGAAAATTCTACGCGTGCTCACATAAAAAATTTCCAATTTTTTTTATTTTAAGGCCTGGTAAAATTCCTTTAACGGTGCTAAAGAATTATCATCAGTGACACTAAAAGTTCAAAATTCATAAGACTTGATCAAGTGGTTTAGAAATAGCATTTTTTCAAAAGTACTCATGCTTCACTGAATTATCCTAAATATATATGAAATATTACATTTATATTTTCAATAATCAATAAATTTTCAATAATCAATATAGACGGAAAAGAATGGTGACGTAACCGTTAGTGGTAAGAAAAGGAAAAGAGAAGAAGATACGAGTACAGTGGAAGTAACAGTTAAAGAAGAAACGATGGAGAGTATAGAAACATCGTCGCCGAAAGATAAAAAGAAGAAAAAGGAGAAAAAGAAGAAAAAGGAAAAACCTGATCCAGAAGGCGAAGAGTCTGTTGTAGTGGAAGAAGCTACCAGTGGGGTAATTGAACTAGTCCTAATAATTAGATGTACAATCGGAAAATTTGAATAGTATTACAATATGCAATTTATGTATTTTAGGAATGTACAGGAAAGGAAGAGAAAAGGAAGAAGAAGAAGAAGAAGAAGGACAAAGATCGGGAACCTTCGTCGAGTTAGAATAATGTTTAATAAAGAATATTTTTAAGACTAAACTGTTACGTAAAGTGTACAGTTATTTTTTTATTGAATCGTCTATTGTCCTGAATTATATTGAGACTTTGCTCCAATTTTATATATTATATATAATACTTATAATTTTTCTTGATTTCATAAAAAAAACTTTTGTATTCCGAAATTATAAAGGAATACAAAGTATCTACGAGATTCTCTTTTACGGTTTCGAATGTTTCTCACGATATTCCTAACGTATATCTTTTCTTTTTAGATATGAATGAAGAACTCTGAACTAGTATTCTAGCTTGTATTCTGACTTTTCGTAAGACTAAGTTAGAAGAATTTATTGTACATATATCTTTTTCCTCATCATGTATATGTATTATATATGCATTTTTTTGTTTCCTCCAATACGTAAATCTACAAATCAATGATATAGATAGCAATCACAGGTGTCCAAGTATCAATAATAACTGATTGTACATGTCTATACTGTGTAACTTTATACACTACATTAAATTCATTTCCAGGTATCAGCAATATTTATTATGTATCGCTTGTTAAACATCACGTGCCATAATTTAACAACGTTTAATGTTCAGTTTGATAATTATATCAAATTTGTAAAGACAACGTACTTTTCAAGAAAAATAATTAAGTTGTGCTCGATTGTGTGCACGTCGGGGATACAAAATGTCATATCTATTTTAAAAAGATGTATATTTCCTTTAAATACCATATTGCGAATGACGTATCAGAAAACAGTTATTTAAATACAACCGTATCGAGCATAGCTCCCAAACACTGAACAATATTTGTAGCCATCAGTGTGTCGACCTTTTCTTCCAAATGCCGTTTTGGATCTTGCTTGCCCACATTCTTTATCGCTAATTGCTCGGGTGTCATCTTTTCCTCCTCCTCCAAAGCCTGCGAGGAAAACTCGGCGATTATTATAACAGATACTTAACATGTCCTCCAATGTGCACGTACCATACAAACAATATGGTGCGTGCGGCTTTCGCATGTTTTACCTTGTTATAATTCTTGGCGAGTTCAAGCATCTCGGAAACGATATTCTCATTGAGTCGACTGTGCTCCGAATACTCGGCAAGGGTAAGACCGTCCATCCAGGTTTTCTTATGCAGATTCAGCAGCATCTTCTGCTCCAGCTCGTTCTTGCGGTAATTAATACTAATACTGTAATAATGCCGATTCAATCCGTGTATCAGCGCTTGAACGGACGGTTTCTGTAGGTGGCCTAAATTCGATGTCGTTTGTCTCGGTTCTTGTCCCAACACCTGCAATCCGTACACAATGAAGTCGCAATCGGGGGGAGGACATAATTGTTACAAGTGTGCGCTCACCATCATATTTGGATTGATTAATCTAAATGCGTCGATAACAACTTTCCCTTTCACTGATTGTATAGGATCGATGACGACAGCTACCGCTCTCTCGCTAAGCGCCTCGAAGGACTGTTGAGTGTTGATGTCCACTCCGGACAGCCAGCAGCCGAATCCCGGATGGGAATGGTACCAGCCGACCACCATTTCCGGCCGACCGGTCTGCTTTAGCATGTCCAACATCTTCGCCTGAAACACCGGATCCACCGCTTCCACACTGACGCCCTGAGGAAACGCAAGGAGTGTCAGTACACAAATACACCCATTGTATTAAATCTTCCCGTCCCAGCACTTACCGTTCCCGTTTGCGGCATAGCGAAGACGTCGATAACGCGAACGGTGTAATCGTCAACGAACTCACCCAGCATCAGACCCATCACCTCCATCGGCACCCCGGCGCGGCCGTGTTTAAGCATTTTCAGGAGGGCCAAGGACGATATGTACACCTGTAACAGGGCGAAGAGGACGGTGAGGCGACACGAAGGTGGGCAGAGGCGCGAGGGATTCGTGACGGATACCTGTTCCGCTGTGTCCACAACAGGCGCGTCAGAGGGTGGTGGTCCCTGATTCAGGCCCGGCATCCCACCGCCCAGTCGTAACAGCCTGTCCATCCTGACGCGTCACTCGGGCTCGACACTGCAAATATTCGAAGGCTACTGTACAACCGCAACGCGGAGCCGTCGGAGATTCGGCCTGAACGCGCCTCTCCGTACGTACAGGCGGATGTTTGGAGGTTAGGAAAAGAACGCTACGTGATTCTCGGGCTATTCCTCGGCGAACCGCGGGGCAAGAGGGTCGCGCGCTTCTTATCGGGCCCAGGACGCAGCTGTTCGCACGGTTGCTCCGTTCTTCAGCGAGAGAATTTCCCCGTCGTCGCGGCAGACCGGGCGAGTATTCCCGTCACCGCTGACAAGCCTCAAAATCCTCAAAATGTGCACAATCACGAGCGCAGCGCAGCCTGCTGGTTGCTGCCAGCGTTGCGAGACGGCACTGACGGCAGGACGTAAACAGGGCTGTCTGACACGCCTGTGTATCTCGGGCACTCAGCTGACTCAGCACCGATTGTTCCGACACGGGATGAGAATGTCTCCGCCTCGGGTGCAGCTGCGCTCCGGGCTCGCCCCGCCTTGTTGAGCTTGAAAAGTTAGCTGGAATGAGAGTTGAAAGTAAAGCCCGCTGCAGACGATGCTATTTTTCCTGCTGGATTGCTTGCGATCTAATAAATTACTATCGTTGCTAGTAATTTAGTATAAATATATATAATAGCATCGTCTGCAGCGGGCTTTAGGCCCGGTTTCACCAGCGTTGTTTAACTTTAAGCCTGGCTTAATCCGTTCTTCGTTTCCTCCTAAGTTACTTTAGAAAGAGACAAACGTGAATTAAACTAAGATCAAAGTCAAACGACGTTTGGTGAAACCGGGTCTAAAGGCTCTGCGTCCATTTCTACCAATATAGATTAATCCTTGTTATTTAAAAAAAAAAGGATTGCTCGAAAATACAAGCGAAAGTCTAGGCACGAGTCTGTCGCGGCGATCACGTGGCCCGACGCACGTGTGACGGAAGTCGCCAAGTGGGGTGGAAAGAATATCTCCCCGCAATTCGTATCTCCGTGTGAGACTCCGTGCAGAAAAACGTCTGCTCCGAGAGCTACCGGACAGCATGAAGGAGGAACACTCGGTGCTCCCGCCGAAATTTGGCGGGGGACCTCAGGGACTGGGTAAACTTTCCATTCTGACACGCGTTCCCTGCGAACCTGTAGCGTCGCAAAACGGCAGATAACTTGGTTGCCGGCCCGGGACACCGGGGATACCGTCGGTAACAGGTTACACCTTCTAATCCCGTCGGTAGTCGAGCGCGACCGGGGTCTTGCGTTCCGCGCGAAATCCACTGACGCTAAAACAAAAAGAAAAGACAAAGAGCAAACGTTGCCCCTTCAGCGATTCGCGTGTTTACTCGAGGTTGCGCGACTTCCCCTCTCTTGGAGTCTATTTTCTGTGTCTGTTTCACTTCAGGCGACCCGGACGACAGAAGTTTGAGGAAGGTGGAGAAAGACGTGCTGGTGCCCAAGTTGATGCGAGAGCGGACCAAAGCCGAGAAGTGCGTCGACGAAGTTAGAGGTAAACGTCCCGGTTGACTTCCGGGGGTCAAGAGTACGGCGAGTGCGAATCACCCTCTCTTTTTCCGTAGACTTCCACGACTGCTGCCTCAAGGCCGGCCTGCTGCACGTCGTAAAGTGCAGGGGAGAAAACAACCGGATGAAGGCGTGCATGGAGAAGTGGTACTACAATCAGGACTTTATTAAAGAGTGCACGGAACAGTATCTGGACGAGCGGAATGAATTTAGGAGGACTGGACTTTCGAAAAAGCAGAAGGACACTAAATTGAAGACCTCAATGTGAATTGTACGAGTAGCGCGCGGACAGTGCCGAGATGGTCCATGCGCTTTTCGCTTGGCCGTTGAAATGTAACGTCTCTGTGATTGATACAGCGACAACTCTTCCAGCAGCTTTCGGGACGTCGCACAAGTTGCTTTGTGCAACGCCGGAAAGCCAAACGGTTTAGTTGGAAGTTATACAAGTCATGTTGCGATCCCTGCGACTCGAGTTACAGTCGAATGTCTATATGGCAAACTCGTGTATTCCGATTCCTGGGGCTCGATCGTGAATCCTTTCTAGGGCAAACTCGCGAGAAGTAACTACTATAATTTCATTGACTAATACAATATCATCAAGAATTGTCACACGCCAGCAAATGACTAACAACGATCGAGCTTCTAATCTTGCGCACCGATACGGGTTGTCGGCTGTACACAGCACTATCGAAAATATACGCGTAGACAGCATCTATACTGTTATTGCGACAAATATTATCACACGCCTCGGTGGTTGAATTGACGCCCGCCTGGAGAGTGTAGGGAAGTCCAGGTTCAAGTCCTGACTGAGGTAATATTTTTCGGAATAAATTTTCTGTGTTAGAAACACATCGCCAGTCATGGTCGATTAGAAGCTTGAGCATTGTTAATACAATAATAAAAACAATAATACAAATTTCATTGACGAATTCGATATCGTCAGTGAAACTTTTCACTTTTCATGCCGGAAGAAAAGATTCACAATCGAGCTCCTGGGACGTTGTTATCGCTTCCTATCGCTTGTACTTGGCGCGTTGGCAACGTAAAGAGTAGTGTTCTGTAAACGTCCATTGAAGCGTCGCGACAAGAACGTTGGTATACGGGGAGAGAATTTTCTTTTAAAATTTACCCCGGAAATCATGTAATCGTGGGGCAACATGGCATTTTGAGGAATCTATGAGAGTTTGTTTGAAAATTTATCCATTCTACTAGTAAAATGTATGGTGAAATTTCCAGAAATTCCTCAAAACGCGACGTTGTCCCACGATTGCATGATTTTCAGGGTGAGTTTTCAAAGAAAACGTGTAACACGGCGAATCGTTTTATCTTTGTTGCTTGTCATTATTGAACAAGGACAAAGTGATTCTCCGCGTTACACTGCGTCAATCTGGGTCTCTTGCTGGAAAGCACCCAGTGAATTCAGGATACCAACATCCTAATTGTAAGCCGTGGTACTTTGCAGAGGACGAAGACCCATGGTAGAGCAAAGGAGCGAGGAGGAAGGAGAGCGCGCAGACATTCGACCGTATCCCAGAACTGGCGTACGTGTTGTTTTAAATAAAAGCCCTGTTTAAAAGAAACGAGCACGACCGCGCCGAATCGCATTTGATCCCCAGAATCTCTCGTGACTTCCCAACCGTGTTTGTTGCACCGATTCAGATTGTCGCGTATAAATAAAGTTTCGACTTTATCCGACAATGAGATTAACTTGTCGAACAAACATCCGCAATACTTTTATTGACAAGAACGGAATTATCAGCGTTCGTCTGACACGCGAGAAAGTGGGGAACCGAGCGAATTGTACAGTTGATTTTTATCGCGGGCAATTCAATCTTTCGATCGAATTGATCGTCCACGAGGTCAGTCCGAGGCACGAGTATCCCCGGTGCAAATCCACAGAGGAAAGTTATGAGATAACGGAGTTTCTGCTAAATGCGATAGGCATCGTCTGTTGATTCCATCATCAATTTATTGCCCTTGGGGTGAAATCCGTTCGGTGGAAAATTCAATATTAAATCGTGTAATCGCAGCGTAGAAAGATTTGATTGAATTTAAACGATTAAAAGCCCGCTTTCACGGACGAGAAGCCTCTCTCGCAACAGGGGATCTTTTTCTACTTTATATCTTGAAATTCACCTTTAAGAACGCGTCGCGAGACCGAGAGATCTAAAATAAGAAGAGGGGGAAGCGCCACTCTCTCTCTCTCTCTGGTGTTTAAAGGGCGCCGCGCTCCCATAATAGAATCTCCGTTATCTCGTTATCTTCGCGGTCCACGTGGAGGCTGCGGATTCGCTTCTCGCGACGCGGGGCCGCGGAACGCCCGGCGTGCGCTCCTCGTCCGCCGTTAGCGAACGGCGGACGCGGCGGCGTGGTCGCCCCCCATAGACGAGCACGGGAAGTGGGGGTGGGCCGCGTACGTATGTACGAGTCTCTCGCCGCTCTTGCTGATGTGGAAGCCGCGAGGGCCGTGGAAGGGAGGTCTCTTCTCGTCCCGTCTTCTCCTCCGCGCGAGAGACGCCTCGAGAGACTCGACCCGCCGAGACGCTCTCAGTCTCGCGGCTGCGACGCGCGATCTCTCCCCTTTTTCTTCTCGCTCTCTCTCTCGTTCCCACCTCTCCCTCTCTCCCCCTGCGCCACGGTGGAATGCGAGCGCTCATGTTCCTCCAGGTCCTGATCGGCTTCTCGATCCTGGCGACGGCGGTCCCGGACGGCGAGCATCACGTCCTGAACAAGGTTAGAGAAACGACACCCTGTCGTTCGATCATTCGTTAACCCCGAGGGGGGAGACCGCTGGGGGGCCTTGTGGTGTGCAGATTCGCGGCGTTACTGGGCATTTTTTGGGCATTAGTTTGGGCGCTAGAAAGATAAAATAAGATGATGAGATAAAGAAATGCCCACTGGGCATTAGTGTACAAGATTTTTGTCAGCGGTTTTCCCCCTCGATCGACCCACTCTTATTTATTTTTGCTTCTCAAGCTTCTTGCTGCGTATGGTTTTTTTTTTCCAATGGAGTGCATGGAGCCTGGAGAATTTTTCATATAATTGTTTATGTGGAGATTTCATCATCTTTCAGACTTTCCTTCAATAATTTTAGAATTTTGCTAGAAAAGTTTTTACACAAATCGGCAGGTTTGTATCTCTTCTAGAATTTTTGCATATCTATTTGTTTGGAAATATTCCGAGTCTTCTAAGCCCTGATGAAAATAAAAATTGGAGCGTAAATCGAACGTAAGGGAAGAGTGACACAAGCGTAAACGAAATGTGTAGGAAGCGTAATTTGGAACAGTGAAGCGTAAAAGAAACCTCAAACACTTCTATTAACCTTCGCTGTTCCAAATTACGTTTCCTATGCATTTCGTTTACGCTTCTGTCACTCTCCCCTTACATTCGATTTACGCTCCAAATTCTATTTTCATCAGAGAGGGTGTCTTCCAGCAAAGTACACGGGAGACACTGCGTAACACAGCGAATCCTTTTATCCTTGTTGCCTGCCACTGTTGGCCCAAGGATGAAGGGAGCCTCGGTGTTACACAGGCCGTGTCTCTTGCTGGTAAGCACCTTAAGATCCCTCGTCCTGTAATGTCAGACGTGATTTTAGAGATCTTCAAAAGTTCAAGATATTTTTCAGAAACCATAGGAAGTAAAGTACTCGAGAATATTCACACATACGAAAAAAATTCTAAGAGAAACAAAGTAGACTCTCCCAGTATTTCTGACAAGTGTGCCACTTGGTGTAAAAATTCTGAGCCAGATTTTCGCCAGAGGAATCTTGGAATTTTTTTTAAAATTTCGCAAGTGGGACTTGTACGTCCCACTTGAATAATAAAGGTTCAGTCCTATCGTTAAGACAATTGCTTTTGACGACAGAATAGCAGATCGTGTTGGCGAGTAGCGTGAGATTTGCTTTCGTCCCGGTTAAGATTGTGGGGAGAAGAAGGGTGGCGATTTGAAGAGCATTGTATTCCAGGATGGAGGCAGTAAAGACCACTACGTCCACTCCCAGCACAACCCGGCCTACGATCACGAGGCTTTCCTCGGGGAAGAGGCCAAGACCTTCGACGAGCTTACACCCGAGGAGAGCACCAGGCGGCTGGGGATAATCGTCGACAAGATAGACAAAGACAGCGACGGCTACGTGACTCAGGAGGAGCTGAAAGATTGGATAATGTACACGCAACAACGGTACATCAGGGACGACGTGGAGCGCCAGTGGAGGTCCCACAATCCGCTGGGCAAGGAGAAATTGTCCTGGGCGGAGTACAAGGATATGGTCTACGGCAATATGGAGGAGCAGGAGGACGAGAAGGCGAACCACTCCTTCTCGTACGTTCAGATGTTCAAGAGGGACCGCCGTAGGTGGACCACCGCGGATCTGGACGGCGACGACGCCGTGACGAAGGAGGAATTCACCGCCTTCCTCCACGCGGAAGACGCGGAGCACATGAAGGACGTGATAGTGCTGGAGACGATGGAGGATATCGATAAGGACGGGGACGGGAAGATATCTCTCGCGGAGTACATTGGTAAGCGGGAATCGTCGTTGCCGCCCTTGAAGCCCGAGCGGTTCCTGAATCTTTGTTTTGTCCGCAGGCGACATGTACAGGGGCAAGGAAGATGAGGAGGAGCCGGAATGGGTGAAGAACGAGAAGGAACAGTTCTCGTTGTACAGGGACAAAGATGGCGATGGATTCTTGAACGCCGACGAGGTAACTGGCCGTTTCTTGCAGCGCTCGTCCCGAATAAGAACGCACGCCCGTAGGGCCGCGTCTCGGTGCGATTAAACTGATTCGTTCGGACCTGAAACAGGTGAAAACGTGGATCATCCCCGCGGAATTCGATCACGCCGAGGCGGAGTCGAGGCACTTGATTTACGAGGCGGACACCGACGCGGATCACAAGCTGACGAAGAACGAGATTTTGGAGAAGTACGACATCTTCGTCGGATCCCAGGCGACGGACTTCGGCGAGGCGTTGGCGAGGCACGACGAGTTTTAACGAGGTGCAATCTCATAAGAAAAAAAGAATCACTAACGAACAAATTACTTGTAACACTTAAGCCTACTTAAGATCTAGTTTACCCCTACGAAGAGAAAAGAATATTTATCTACTTGCTCCGATAAATAGATGTGTTTTTATATATCTTGGGTATTCACACAATTGATATCGTAGAGAGAATGCTATATCTGCCAAAAATTGTGAAGCTCGACTAGCTGTTGTTACAATAAATTTTTCATATTGTCATTGTATTAACTTTCCATTGTTCTCTTTGGATATTTTGAAAAGTATCAACCCTTCCTCGTCACGTCGGTACAGTATGCAAATAGGAAGCGGTCGCAGCGAGACAAATTCCGGCTGAATCGGTTTGAAGCAAAATGTTCAGGAGTATGTAAATAGCGCGTATGATTCACAAAAAGCAAAACTAGGGTCAGAACACAAAGCTTGTTCTTGCGGTGAATGGCGCCCAGGTCTCACACTGGACCCGACATGGCCAGCGTCCTACTCAGAGCACAAGCTTACGACAAGACATGAACGTAGTGCACAAGCTTTGATGTATATTGCACTTCCAGTTATATACGTCGTTTACGAAGCTTGTGCGCTATCTATACGTTTATAACGCAGCGCACGCACTTTTATATAAGCGCACAAGCATATGCATAAGGAATTTGATTGGTCCATCTCCTTATGCACTTGCTTACGGACCAATCGGTTTCTTTATGCATATGCTTATGCATTTATGCAAAAGTGTGCGCTCCACCCTTATGACTAACATCTCGTCGTAAGCTATTACGCCGCTCTTTGTGCTCTGACCCTTAACGCCTATTTTTTAAGCAGTTAATTATTTTTTATACCATCGTGGCCTTTTACTATCGCGCTGTACGTTGATAACGATTGTCATCGATAGGACGCTGTCATTATATGATAACGAATGACATTTATCAGATAAGCATAATCTCGTAGCAACATGAGCAATATCTGTAATATCGTCGCGCGAGTCAGCTCTCCAAGCATGCAAGAATGAAAGAGGTTTATTTGGCTGTACTCTTGACAGTTTGCACGTACGTGTTTTTAGGTAAGTATATTTATTTCTCTTTACAACATTGCACGCCTCTCGATAATACCGCTTACAAATACCGTAAGAATATAAATACCAAATAACACCTCGTAGCTTTTCAGGCCATCGATATTAACGATATACTTTCGTCTAAGACTCGCGCCGGAGCGGCCGATCAGAAAACATTTAAGCCGCCGCCAGTTTTTCGTTCGATATTCAGCCGATATAAGAATAGATCGCGGGAAACACCTATCAGCGTACATATACATGCACATGTAGAGCGTTAAGACAGTTCGCATTCGTATAAGTGTTGTGTGTGTACATGTATATATAATTAGATACACATTAGACATATAAATTATATATAAAAATACGAGAGATAGATTTGACTTAGTCTGTATCACATCGTGAATGAGAAAGATGATTCTTTGAGCTAGAACGCGATATATATGTGTGTGTATAAAGAAATTGTGAGACTTAATATACAAAGAAATGATGTAAAACTACTTGATGCAGTCTCTGCTTTAATTTACATTCGGTTGCTTCCGTTCAACGCTTCGCAATTTATCAACTGTAATCTGTTTTTCTCAGTTAGAACCAATTATTTTTATATACAGCGACTAGCGAGGAGCCACGTTGCTTTCACTTCACATGGCCAGGTATAATACACAGAGATGTAGACAAGAAGACATTTTGCGAGAAGTATAACGAAGTTAATCCATTTACACCGTGTATAAACCCATTATATCTTAGTGAGTCTAATATTCATGTTCATTCTCAGTTATAAATTCAATTCCGTTGCACGGTATTGCTTCAAAATATTTTCCAGGTGATACGAAGCCAAATGTAAGTGAGATATGGGAGAATAGAATAAGCAATGGCTATAATTATACCCAACCACTGGAACCCGGTAGCGTGTGTGTAAAGTATACATACACGTACAGTGGCGCAGGTAAGTGTAACAAAATGGAATTGACTTAAATCTTATGGTTGGATTTATGTGAATGAACGTAAATATTACACTTGCAGTTATAAACATCAGTTACTTCGTTGGGAGAGTTACAGAAGACCTGGTGAAGCCAATTGCATCAGACTGTTTCGTTAAATACGTATGTATCATGAGTGATTTGCAATTAGCTTTGTATTTTGCTTTACGACTGTACGATTACAACTCCAGCACTTTATAGCAAAGTACGACAGATACGACTTTGTGATACTTTTAGACTGAAGGATATATTCTCGAAGCGTGTGCCTGTGAATCTAAGGACAACTCTGCGCCCTGCAACTCAACAAGAAGAAATATGTATTCGTCGCTAATGATTTCCGTAGCTGCAGCCGTTTCGCTGTTCGTGTATAAAATTCTCGATATTCCCTGACAATTTCGGCTTATACTATTCCTTTGATATGAATGAAATCGTACAAATTATTGATATTTAATATTTATTACAATTTATGTGCAACTATGAATCAAGCGTATGTCTTTTTACAATTTTGTAGAACGCGCAATATATATTTAAATTATATACAGCGGCAAGCAAATCATATACCTTGTAACATATAACGCAATTGAGAAATAAATACTCATATGTGCGGAAATATGAGGAAAAAGATAATATAAACTCTGAAATAACAATAACATACACATAACAAAATTGACTAAGAATAATTCAATGTTATATTCAATTAAAACATGTTTTTTTTCGGAAAATAAATACTTCATTATTTCGTACATTCGAAAAAATGCTCGAACCTTAATATATATTACGTATGGAAGTATTACAAATTAGATTCCCGTATGTCGTCTTACGTTCCAAAGAAATGTTTATTAACAAAGGATACGAATAAAGTTACGTATGGCATTCTAGCTGCGTAGAAAATTAGGACTTATTCGCACATCTGAAGCAACGAATTAATTGTAACGTCCTTCTTGCCGTGATTGGCATCGTACACCGATTTGATGACTTCCTTGTCGACATTCGGAAACATTTCTGCGATCTGCAAGGTGTACACAGCGTTACAGTCACGTCTACATAACTGAAGGGACATAGGAACGGAAATCAAGACGGGACGGATACGTCAAGTACCTGCTTCAACTCGATCTCAGCATTTGGCAAAGAGCTTGGTGCGACCGCCGGTGTAACAGGCGGAGGTGCTGTATAAACGTTTACCGGGGCGTATGGTAAGCCGAACATTGTTGTTGCAGAGGGAACCATCATTACTGAAGAGGAGCCCATTTGGTACGGGTGATGATACTTGGTCTATTGCAAACACATCCCAATGAAAATCGAGACCTGCACTAATGTTGCGCGCAATTGTATTCGGAATTTAACAGCTATAGCTCTAGTTCGCGACAGTCCGCCTCCTTCAGATACAAGTACCGTAAGTTAAACAAAACTAACGAAGAACATAAAATAGCGTAACCATTGTTCTTTTACCGTGTAACTGAAAACTAAATTGATCATGCCCTCCTGATTATCTCCCTGCTTCCCACTGAGCATGTACCAGTCCTCGTGCGTCTCTCCCTTCTGAATAACCTGCGGTGGAATCTCTATGTGGCCCCACGCGATCAGCTCGTCCATCACGAAGGAACACTCGTCGTAAATTTCTACGTATATCTGGGAAACTCCGGGCGGAAGGTTGCTGCAACGACAAAGGCGCGATAATAAACGTCGGTACGTATCGCAACGGGGCTAAGCGTTACTCACCACTGGATCACTTTGTTCCAATGTGGATTTTTACCACCGTTAGAATCTGTATGCGTCTCGAACACCGAGTGCCCCACTCGTATCCTCGCGTAAGGGTCCATCCTCGTCATTCCATAATTTTTCACTAATTTGGCCTGAAAAAGAGTCAGCACGAGGAGGCGTGCACTGTAGCCGCTGTTAGGCCTAGGTTTGATCCGGACGCGCCGTGGCAAGGCAATTTACCTGAGAAATTGTTATGCTAAGTCTACCCACTCGAGGGTCGTGAGCCACCGACATGTTCTGCATCTGCTGCTGGAGGGCCAGCGCGGCCTGCTGATCCGCCGCCTCCTGCTGCAGCTGCGCATTGCGCTCCTCTACTCTCAGGAAGCTGTCCGGCAGTGGTCCCACAAAAGCCTGGATACGTCCGATTACAATTTCATAATTCGCCAAATCGCAAATGTAGCGCGTGGTGAAAGGAAAAAAAAAACCTGCTGCGTAACCCTCGAATTCAAATGCGAGAGATAGAGAGATTTCTCGCGGAGTGACTCATACGCTACGTTGTCAAGCGCGCAAATTAGACACTGAGAAGTCGTCGACGTCCGCCGACGTATCTCGCCGCGTGTATCGCGCGCGGGGGAAAAAAAAAACGCGCGCGCGGACTCGTTCGATTCCGCGCCCGGGTGCCCGTCGCGCGAGATCGCGGAGTATTCGTAGGGCTTCCCCGATTATCGCGTCCGCGGCCGAGCGACCCAGCCTGCGCGCCACATACCCGCTTCTTCCACTCCTCGTGCAGAGGCCTGTCCGTGTCCGTGTCCATGGCGGAGTTTTTTTATAAAAAAAAAAGAGAGGATCACTATCCCCTGGAGGAAAGGATGCCGCGTTCGACGTGCCGCATGCAGCCGTGAGGCTCCTGCCGTGGTCCGCGCTCCGAGGCTTGTCAAATACGTCAAGTCACACGAGCGTGCATCGCTCCTACCCGACTGTTTACCGATCGACTGCTGATGCGCACACGACGGGGTCGGGCGAGGCCGCGATTGGCCCGTCGCTCGCGGTGTCGACGCGAGTCGCGACGGCGTGGTGCACTCACCTCTCCCCCCTTCCGCCGACCCGCCGCTCCGTCGGCTCTACCCGTGGGCGCGAGTCTTGAGTTCATTCGAAGGAGAAACTTATAGCGTTTTCGATTTGCTGACTCGACCCGACTCCGAGTCAGAAAAGTTTGATCAAGAGTAAGATTTTTGTAGAAATTGTGGTTCAAATCTTGCTTTTGATCAAACTTTTCTGACTCGGGGTCGGGTCGAGTCAGAAAATCGAAAACGCTATTATACCCAGGGAGAAATGAAAATCGGGATGACGTCAATTTGATGTCATAGGCTGTGTTCTGCCGAAGTTAGCTAAGAATAAGCGCTTTATGCTGATTGGATAGATCTAGAAGAATAGCTCTATTTCAGCACAGATCTGAAAGTATAATCCAATGAACGCAAAGCGCTTAGCAAGCGCAAACTTCTGCTGGACACAGGCATATTGACCGAATTTACGTCATATTTTGTCTTTGGGTTTGTTTTCTGTTCCTGCACTGGTGAACTAGTGCAGTAAGCTAGAATGAGAAAAAATATGCTTGTCTTACTCCAATTTATTGCACTAGTTCATTAGTGTAGGAACAGAAAACAAGCCTATGGTCAATATGACATGAAATTGACGCCATCTTCACCTTTCATTTCAATTTCGTCAGACACATAAGAATTGACCAATCACAGTCGATTATTCTTACGACTACGACTTTACGACTTCTATGTAGACGAGGCTTTAAAACGTGCGGCGGTTCGGAGTAACGTCGGTAATGCAGCGCTCTGCGATCCTCGCCACGACGATTCGTGCTTGCACTTCTTTTCTCCAAGTTCACCCTCCCGCGGGAACATCCCTCGATCGCCAGGTTGTATCAGCGAGATCCCGAAAAATTCCTCGAAATTCATGCTCTTAATCTTGGGGTTGCTTTCCAGGAAGAGACGCGGATTGACGCGGTGTAAGATTCGCGTTTGCGCTTCACCTCCGGTTATCATGCCGACGCCGTGCGACTCTCGTCGCGACGGAGCCGCGGGACGTGGTGTCGCGTGAGCGTGAGCGGAACAACGAGCGTTTCATGGCGTGACACGCGCGTGCCAAGTCGCCATGGAGTGAAACGTCAGACGTGTGCGGACAGGGCGCACGCGGCCCAATTGCTGGCTTCTGAAGGAGGATGGCCCTCGTCAGTCAGGGTCAGGGAATTGGGGAGGCCGCGGATTTCTTAACGAGGTACCACAACATCTCGAACAAACTGAAGAAGTAAGTCCTCTCGGGGGTTGTTTTTCCGTTTAAGTTTGCCAACGATTATCCCTCATGCGTTTTGATCCCCTAGACGATTCCTGAGGAAGCCGAACGTCGCGGAGGCATGTGATCAGTTTAGTGAGTGTTCGACTTAACGTCAACTGAATGGAGAGTAATACGAGCCTTTCGGAAGCCCGACCGATCAGTTTCGCCTTTTATAAGTTTATTAAATTTAGTACGCGAATGGTTTGTATTTTATCAATTTTTTTCTCTTCACCTTTTCCTTGAAATTGACTAGCCTGGCTCTCGAAAGGCTTATATAGTTTTACCGAGGGGGAAACCGCTGGCCAAAATCTTGTACACCAATGCCCACTGGGCATTACTTCATCTTATTATCTTATTTTATCTTTCTAATGCCCAAAAAATGCCCAGTAATGCCGCAAATCTGTACACCACAAGCCCTCAGTGGTTTCCCCAGTCTGTGATAATTTAACTCTTAATTGTAGAAAACAAAGAATAAAGACAGTTGATTCTTTTTGCTTAGGTGCCTTAGCTACCGAATGCGAACAGAAGGAACTGTGGCAGTACGCAGGCTTGTGCTGGTTGGCGGCCGCTAGATGCCAGGGTACATTGGAGAACGCCTCTTCTGAAATAAATCTTCTGGTCAAGGCTGGGAGGCAATTCCTCACGGCTGAGAAAAAAGATAACGATGTGGGATGCCCCTCTATAGGCCAAGAGAACATACAGGTCTCTCATGCAATTTGAATTTGTAGTAAAAAAGAAAGTAAAAGGAAAGAACTAAATGTAACTCACAAATGTAATTACGTTCCAGGCGGCTGTGAGTTGCTTCGGCCATTCCATGGCTAGATGCAGCAATCAACCGGGATTCAACACAATTTCCGCCGGTTTATCAGTGGAGCTGGCGCTAGCGTTGGGCCCGGGTCCCGCTGGTATCCAACAGTTGCGCAAAGCCATCGACATCTTTCCTACATCAAAAGCTATCAATACCTTAGTGTCTTTCCATATAAAACAGGGTCGGTATTTGATCCGTTCCCATCTGCGTCTTGCTTAAAGTCAATCATTAGTTTATAACTGAGATATCGGCGACCGTTCGCTGCTTTTCAGTGATGACGCACTGATTGACTTTAAGAAAGTACGAATAACTAATATCTCTACAATTGTACCTTTTCCATCAATGTAGTAACATGCAGTGTTTTGCGTATTTTCATCCTCACAGGAGATTACGTAGCTGCATTACAAATTCTCAATGAATTTGTAGAATTTGTAGAAGCTTGTGTCGTGGCTGGCGCTAGAGGAAACTACAACGCAATCCTACATAGGTATGTGTCTATTTTTCGCGCTGTATATCCGTTACAAAACCAGCCATGTGTTAGCTACACAAAAAATTAACTTGGAAAAATCACAGTGAAAACAGCCCAGTTATTATCTTGTAAAGAAAATTCAGAGTGAGCCATCACTTTGTCCTGTGACTGGCTCCGTGATTGTAATTATTTGTAAAGTTCACTGCTATATTAAATTGCGATATTATATGTAATATCTTTCTCTATGACGGTGCGTTTAATGCAATCAAAAATATATACAATAAAATCTATAAAATTAGGTGCGAAGTGACGCGAGTGCTTCTGCTGCTCATTCTTCAGCCTTCACCTCAGAGATTGACACCATCTCTCGCCCAGGTCCTCGAAAAGTATGCGTGGGCAGAAGAGAATGTGAACAACGGTACAGATCACATGTTTAATTGTACATAGATAATTCCGTAAGAAATATATATTTCAAGTTAGTAATACGAATATCTTTTTTTTGCAGGTCTCAATATGAGCGAGGATGAACTATTATTGCTGCAATCCCTAGTATTAGCGTGCCAGTCTCACGATCATCAAGCGGTGTTGGAGCTCGAGAGCGAGCTTTATCCTTACTTCGACACAGAGCAAAAGGAACTGTTGCATAAACTGATACAAGTAGTATCGACGCAGTAAATATACAATAACGCCACGAGCTATGCGTACGAGATTTTTCTCCCGATTGCCTTCCCGCCGTGGACACTCCTCGCATCCCCGCTATGCGGTCCATCGAAATCGAAAATCGCATTCCTCGGGGGGGACTCGAGCGAGGGATGCCCCTCGGCCGGTTGTTTTTCTTTCGTTTTGCGCGCGATTACGTTATTTAGTCGCCTCGAAACAGGTTCCTGCGGCAAGAGGCCTGGGCTGTGTTGCTCAATCGAGACGCCAAGGATGAACCACTGCTTTTACTAATCCAGTAACGGTCGTGTTGGAAACGGTAAATTCACGCGAGACGATAACAAACTCGTCCCGCTTCTCGGGATCTCGTTCACGCGGTGGCAAAAGCGCGGCTTGAGATGTGAAAGGAGGAGGAGGAGGAGGAACTCTTTAAGCGAGAATCGTAGAACGGCTGGAGTGGAGCGAGACAAGGCTGGCAGGAAGGGCATAGTGTGCGTGCCGGTATGGCATCGCGGAGGAGGGGATGTCTCGTGCGTCCCACAATGTACTGAAGTCCTTCGCTCCTCCACGGCTGCTATTCAAGGCAGAGCCGCAGTCGGTGTCAGTTTATCGCGCAAAAGTGCCCAGGGAGTCCTTCGGATCAAAGTGTTCACCGAATTGTCTTGTTAGCACTTAATCCTGGATCAAGGTAACGATCTCTTCGTCCTTTCTTGCGTATTCTTAAGTCACCCAATCTTGCAACAAAAGCGATCGTTACATACCGCGATTAAAACTTCGCTGGGACGCTAAAGAATTCCAGGAACAATGCGTCAGCCTTAGTCTTAAGTTATAATGACAGGAAGTCTCTTCGAGGCGCGAACAATCCCTCGTGATCCAATGAGAAAAATCGGTTCCAAGGATGTCGATTAATTTCTTTAAAGGTCAAGGTTCGTAGAACGAGACTTTCGCATTCGAGTCGTTGCTGTTGCAAGAACACATTCCAAACGAAATGATGATTAATCAGTATGAATAGATTAAAATAAGTCTCGAATTATTTGCGATCAATTTCCGCTGAAAAACTGAATTTATTTAAACGAGTGCGAGTAAAATAATTGTTCGTCTAAATACAAATCTGTAATTTTTTTTTCAAAATTTACCTGGAAAATATTGCTAAAGATCAAGTAAGCGTCTAATGACCGTGCAATTTCGAATACCGTTAAGCGTGATTTCACGCGAGCTGAGTTGCAAGCTTAATGAATTGGAAAGATTCCTGAACGTAGACAATTGTGTTCGAAAACTCGAGTTTATACACTCGCGGGCATTGCATCTACCTCACATCCTTCGGATTCTGAAATCGTATGATTCGAGATATTTACAGCTTGAGCGTTAAAAAATTCTCAACTCAATTAAATTCTGATTTCAGATCGATTTATATTAATTTTGCTATGTTAATTTTAACATCCATACTTCTCCCTTGTACTCGCCGCGTATAATGCGTTCTTCCTCTTCAACTTCGTCGAGGTGCGAGAGCGCACCGCGTTCCCGCTGCGCTGATTTACCACGTGTTTCGGCGACCTTGAACTCTCTTTGCTCACCTGAACGAAGGTGAATGCCCCAAGCACCTGCACTCTTCGGTTTGCAAGCGTGCGTCCCTGTGGAGAAAAGTCCGACTCGTGTGCACTTGGAGCTTGAATTGCGAGTTTATCTACTCGAGAGATTCGTTTTGCAAGATACAATGTTAAAAATATTAAAAATTGGAATTCGAACCAACAGATACATACTGCGATATGATTATCAGTTGCATCTATTATCCTCATAATGACAAGATTCTCCTGTTATAAGGAAACTTCGTAAAGAAATTTACAAAATTCTTGGAAAAAATGCACTTTCTCTTAAAATTTATACAACACGGACGTTTAAAGTAAATTCATATATGATATTCTGCAAACGAGCCAATAATGGTTTTACACAAAACGTATCTATAACATTTGGTTCGTACGAGGGAGAATCTTCGATGAACAATCCGTAAATGAAAAACTCTCTCTAGTCGAGAAGATGTCGGCAGACTGGAGGACCATTTTCGTAACCGGGGGCGCCGGTTACATCGGCAGCCACTGCATCGTCGAGCTCCTGGAGTGCGGCTACGACGTGGTGGCTATAGACAACTTTGCAAACAGCGTGACCGAAACAGACGGCGAGTCCGCGGCGCTCAAAAGGGTCGAGCAAATAACGGGAAAAAAAGTCACGTTCTACAACTGCGATCTGCTCGACAGAGAGAAGCTCGAGGCCGTATTTAATCAGGTACAACGTTTGCTGATGGTTCCCTATTGTACATTCCATTTATCATTATTATTCCGCTGTATATTGTGCATGGCGTATAGTTGAAAGGTTTGAAAAGGAATTTTTTTTTCCTGAAAAGAGTAATTTGTCACTTTCAGCACAAAATAGATTGCGTGATTCATTTCGCGGCTATTAAAGCCGTCGGCGAGTCGATGCAAATTCCGCTTCATTACTATCGAAATAACATAATAGGAGCGATTAATCTCCTCGAGGTAAGAAGATTATATTACGGAGCGTACGCGCGCGCCGCTCTGACCAGTTCTACAATTCGACCCCTTGTTTTCAGGTGATGAAGGCGGCTGGCTGCTTTCAGCTTGTATTCAGCAGCTCTTGCACGGTTTACGGCGAGCCTACGGAACTGCCCATCACGGAGGAACACGAAACCGGCAGCATCACCAATGTCTACGGCCGAACGAAATACTTTATCGAGGAGATGCTCAAAGATATATCCAGAGCTGAAAAGGTTCGCGTATATATCTGGAAAGTCTCGACTTTACGCGAAGCTACTTCAGTTTCGCACGACTAAAATTTTACTTGCACAACTCGTGTACTCGCACAAATATTTACTCCAGATTAAGAAAAAGAGATCAAATTGTTTTACTTTTGGTTTTCCCCTTCGGAAAGAAATCGTACGTTATTTGCAGTCTAGTTTGCACTTAGTCTTTCATCTAAGTTTTATTTTTAAACATTTCTTTCGTGTTTAACAGAGTTGGAACATTATATCTCTAAGATACTTCAATCCGGTGGGTGCTCATCGATCGGGACTGATCGGGGAGGACCCGACAAAGCCATTCACAAACCTGATGCCGTATATCGCTCAGGTCGCTTTGAGGCACAAGCCGGAGTTGATCATATTCGGCGGTGATTATCCTACGAATGATGGCACAGGTAACAATTACTTTGATAATATCAAATAGTAAGAGAAGGTTTTACACCCTCGTATACTCACGCTTCATACCTCTCCAGGCGTACGCGATTACATCCACGTTATGGACTTGGCAGCCGGCCACGTGGCGGCATTGAATGCTTTGCACAAACAGCATCTCAGGCTAAAGATTTACAACTTGGGCACCGGCAACGGCGTGACTGTGTTGGAGTTGATAAAAACGTTCGAGAAAGTCACTGGTACTACCGTGCCGTACGTCGTGAAGGAGAGAAGGGAGGGCGACATCGTGTCCATGTACGCTAACACGGATTTGGCGAAAAAAGAATTGAGCTGGACAGCGAAGTACAACGTTGAGCAAATGTGTGAGTAACGCGCCCCAGCTTAAACGCGGGTTTGATCTCAGATAATCGATGCCTAACGGTGAAACGTTCGGACACAGGTCAGGACTTCTGGAGGTGGCAAACGATGAATCCGCACGGTTACCGAACATCGTTAAAGAACGGAACTACGGAGCACCTGAACAATACATCGTAAAAAGTTGTATCGAGGAAACCATGCAGATAATTTATAATAAAGGATCGATACGCGATTTGTCTGATGAATCACGCATTTATAATGTCCACAGGTCTGTCGCTTACATTTTACAGCTGCTCTTTACACTCATTCTCGGCCCTTGTGTCGTCAGCGTCACTTCCATCTTTCTTACACTCGTCCAGAATTTCATAAAGCGACAGATGCTGGAACTTTAAGATTTCCAGACCCCAGCTCGTCCATCCAGGCAACAGATACCTCGCGAAAATTTCCAGACACCTCGGCTCGCCCGGAAGATATTCCTTTATGATTTCTAGGGACGCGAACAAATCCTCTGTCGTAATACGCTGAATGCTTTTCGTCGAATGTATTTCTCGTGTAAATCTCCAATCGTACCTGTGAGAGGTGGTTTGTGAGAGTGTACCGCACTAGGTATGCTAATCATCAGCCTGCCGTCAGGGATGTCCACTTTGCCCTTTTCCAATGCAGACCCTAGTATCAGTAATTCATAAGGTTGCTTCCCAGGTGTCGAGTTAAAATTACATATTGTATCACCTGCTTGTGTCACCTAGAGTGGCAGTTGTTATCTAACACTTATCGCATTGCATTCCTAACATTATTGAGACACTACTTACCTTGAGCCAGTACCACTTAGCTCTATAAGTAATACCCCAAGACGGAAATATCTCGTTGAAGATACTGTTCAAATGATTGGACGAATTGGTGCACCATACGGCTACAATGCCGCTCGAGTGTAACAGCTTTCTTATCGGTATCTTAGCCAACTCCTCGTTGTACATCATCTTGTAGCTGCAAGAGCGTACAATCATGCCGCCAGATATCTCACGCAATTGATTATGTGTATGTAAAATAATTAAGAACGAGTTTAAATCTGTAGATCAATTGTATTCTCTCCGAGCATACCGAAGATTTTGTTCGCTCGTCAACTCGCGACCGATCTCGTGGGATTACCTGGCCTCTGCGCACTTCGTCTTCTTCCTTCTGATCGACTTGTTCCACCAAGGTGGATCCAGCACTATGAAATCGTACTGGTTGCACAGTTCCATCTTCTTTTCTATGTCTCTCACGTCGTAGCAGTAAAACGTGCATTTCCTCGGGAACACATATTTCTTATTGTGAGCCTCGGACACGATAGCGTCGTCGGTGTCATTGGAGCCGTACAGGCTCTCGTCCTTGGCGGCGTAAGTGTCCTGGTAGAACTTCATGGACGCCAAGCGCGCCAACTCGTTGTTATCGAGGAAGTTGTTTCGACAGAAGAGCCCCTTGTCCCTCGCAGCAGACATCATTGCGTCGAACGTTCGTTTAACGCCATCGACCTGTTCCGAGAAGGAAACGGTGAGATGCCACGCGAGGCAAAGCGCGATTCCTATCGGTGGACATTTTAAAGCGCAGGTGTCAATTCTGTATCTTACACAATAATGAAAATGCTAAACGTGAATAGCTTTGTCTCTTTCCAGCCGTCCCCTTAGAAGGAAACAAAGCCGCTCACTTTTTAGCACTTTCACTATCCCAAGTTAGCAAAGTGTTAATGGATTGTCGGCGAATTCATCAGAGACCCACGTCGAAACCATAGCCGTCTGTGTCCTTTGGCTTTCGCTCCGGCAATAGAGTCTGTAAAACATACGCTGTAAACAGATAGTCAGCAGAAGCCGAGTAGGTCCAGTTACGTGAGCAGATTTTGCTGTATCTCTACCGACACGCCGGCAACGTGTCGAGCATATCAGTTCTTGTACGCAACCTGCAGTCTTTCCGCCTTCAAAATTTCTAGTGGGCATTTGACGAAATCTGTTCCAACAGATTTGGCTATCCGGGATATCACGGTAATAGCTGCTCTCCTTTTACACTCAAGTGATACTCAGTCACTCAGTTATGTGAGTATTTTATACTCAGATATGACATCATTAATGTGAGTCTATTAAACTCACTAAAGGTCTCGATCGTGTGCAAAAACTCAGTTAAATCTGGTTGAGTCTCACTTCTCAAGAGTCAAAAGGAACATGCATTCAACTGAGTTATGACGTCACAAGTGAGATTTATCCGAGCTTTCATGTAAAAGGAAAGCAACCAATGTCTCGCGCCAAGTATAAGCGTAGCTAGAACCGCGTTATAAGATACAGAACCGAGGGGGGAAACCGCCGAGGGCACTGTGGTGTGCAGATTCGTGGCATTACTAGGCACTTTCTGGGCATTAGGCCTTGCCGGGGCACTGTATAAAGATAAAATAAGATAACAAGATAAAGTGACGCCCACTGGGCATTGACGGGCTTTGGTGTACAAGATCTTGGCCAGCGGTTTTCCCCTCGTACAGGCCTGACCACCCCCGGGACGTGAACGTTACGCCCGATGAACCTACTTCCTCCAGCTCTTTTTGCGGCAATCGCTGCGAGCGCTTCCTCTTCTTTCTACTGCTGTGCGTTGCAATACTGTCCTGAGGCTCCTGGACGGACTGCGCTACCTGATTCTGCCTCAGGTACTGAGAATTGATCTCGAATATCATTTTGTTAAAGCCTAAAGCGCAAAATCCATCTTCACTCTTGACCCTCTTGTACACCTCGTCGAGGTACTTGGAGTGGGACACGATCCAGCCTTCCTCGCCGGCATAAAGAAGACTCATAGTCGGCCTCGGAGATCAGCGCGGACGTGCACACGCATACGATACTTATCACAGATCCTTACGATACGTTCTACTCTACTCAATCTGCCGTTGTGCCAATTCGTCTGACACACGATCGTCGATTCAATTAGAATGTAGTACGCGATTGTTGTGTACGCATAAACATTTGATCGGGAACAATGACAACCACAATCACAACCGCGTTAAGAGATTCCAGAGAGGTTATATCCCTCGCGTCGGCGAGACGCGCCTACTTGTCGCACGTATTCCGCAGCATCCGCGAGATAACGTTTACATAAGCATTGCCGAGAGTCCTCGCGCCGGGCGGCGGTCGTCGCGCTCTCCGCGATAAATTACGTCGCGAGACCGTCGGCGTCTACCCCCGAGAGGGACGGGACCAGTGCGGCCGGTTGGCTGCGAGCCGTGCGAGTGACGTATCGACGTCGCGTGTCGCGATATCTTGTAATGTAAACCGCGAAATAAATTCACCCGCCTGGAGAAAGAGAGTAATTAAGGTAGACTCTTTGTTTTAGGGTGGACGCGTCACAGCGTCGAAGTTTACGTCGCACCGCTGATAACTCCGTAGATATACGTCAATAGATATGCGATATAACTGATCCCGCACGGCGTACGATCAACAATGCGATAAGAATGATACGCGCGTGGTCCATTATCGCCCAGTCGTTCACCGTGAGATGTTGCAGGTGAGGGATTGGTGTCGTGACGATGAAAGTAGAGAATAGGACGTCAGCAAGTAGGCCCGCTTTATTTTTTGTAGCCTTCGCAGCTAACCATTGTTCAGATTCTATACTTCTCGTTGAAGAGTCCAGAGTCCAGATGTATGTGTTCTATGTAACTCTTTGAGTTGGAAGCAAATAAAAAAGAACACCATTCGTCGAGCGGATCCCAGGTAGAACAGTGGGTCCTGATGACATTAAAGTGCACAGCTAACCATTATTTAGATTCTATACTTCTCGTTGAAGAATCCAGATATATGTGTTTCATGTAACTCTTTGAGTTGGAAGCAAGTAAAATAAAAACACTCTTTGAGCGGACCCCAGGTAGAACAGTGGGTCCTGATGACATCAAAGTGCACAGCTAACCATTATTTAGATGCCTATATTTCTCATTAAAGAGTCCAGAGTCCAGATGTAATATGTGCCATGTAACTCTTTGAGTTGGAAGCAAATAAAAGGAAACACTCCTCGAGTGGATCCCAGGTAGAACAGTGGGTCCTGATGACATCAAAGTGACGTTGAAATGACATTATGAATAAATTCATGATGTCATTATGACGTTATTATGAATTTTATGTTCTACCTGGGAAGACGTTTAAATATTTTAAGGGCTGCCCTCGTTACATCAGAGCTATGTCGTTACGTCTGTAAGACAACGAGGTTGTTGCGTTTCAGCGTGGACCCGGCGAGACGTTGCATCGGTACGATGGCGCATCCTCTGGTCGCAGTGTGCCAAATGAGGTCGATAGCCGACAAGGCGAAGAATCTGGAGGTCGTGGCCGAGTTGGCGGCCGAGGCAAAACGCCGATCGGCCACGGTATGTACTTGCGGCAGCTAACGTTGCACGACGATAACTTCCTCCTCTTAATTTTAACAATATCGTTCGCATACATTTTGTAACACGCATTACAGATAGCGTTCTTTCCCGAGGCCTGCGACTTTCTGGCGGACAACAAGAGGGACATTGTCGCCATGGCTGAACCGCTAACCGGGCAGACAGTGGCGGCTTATAAAGAGATCGCTGTCAAAAATGACATCTGGTTATCCTTGGGCGGGATTCACGAAGCTGTGAATATCTTGATTTGTTTTACATAGAGATGACGATAATTAATTTTTCTAATACATAAGACTTGCCATTTCAGTCGGATAATGCGGAAAAGATCTACAACACGCATGTATTGATGAATAGCGAGGGACAATTAGTGGCCACTTACAGAAAGATACATTTGTTCGACATGGATAACAAGGATACCGGAGTGCGCCTGATGGAGTCGGATTACGTGCTGAGAGGGACCGAGATCGTGCCACCTGTGCCCACGCCGATCGGCAGCCTCGCGCTCAGCATTGTATCCTTGGCTGGAGAACAAATCGTTCTTCTTTTCTTTATGTAAAATTGAATGGTTACTTAACAACGATCGCAGTGCTACGACATGCGGTTTCCCGAGTTGTCGCTAACTCTGCGAAACATGGGGGCGCAGATTCTCACGTATCCGTCGGCGTTTACGTATCAGACTGGCGCCGCGCACTGGGAGGTGATGCTGCGAGCGCGAGCGATAGAAAACCAGTGTTATGTCATAGCCGCGGCGCAAACCGGCGCGCACAACAAAAAGAGAGTGAGCTGGGGTCACGCGATGGTAAACAATTCTAATATATTCGTCTTTTCGGTGAGATTAAAGAGAATTGCTCCCGAGATTGAAATCGGAATCCGCTCGTTCTCAGATCGTGGACCCCTGGGGCGCCGTCGTAGCGCAGTGTGCAGAAAAAACGGGTGTAGCTGTGGCAGAGATTGATCTCGCGTTGCTGGAAAAGATCAGGAAGAATATGCCGTGCGAGGAACACCGTCGCACCGATTTGTACTCCAGAATGGAGTGTTGAGAGTCCTCGTAAGGACGTTCATCGGCAAATCGATTTTTCACTTGCTTCAAATTTGAACCACGTGCTATTAATAGTGTTATATTATATGCCTGCTCAATTTTAAAAACCGTGCCCGTATCAAAGTCGAGATATTTAATATCGAAGTTACTCGTACGGTATAGGCGAAACGTGGGATATTTTAATTTATTGTGATAGAACTTGTTTGTGTATTTTGCTAAATACATAAATTAATCTATGATGCACAAAACAGGAATACGCAGCCGTACCGTTTATGCGTAATTGTAATCCGAAATTCTCCATCTGACAATATTTTGAAGCGTGTCGCCCAGTACATTCACAAAGGCAACACTGTCCGATCTTCGTTTTTCCCAAGGCGTGCTAGTGTATGCATACTGCGTAGTGTGTATTATTTATGCTAAAAGTCGTGAATTAGGAAGTCGTGTTGTACGGAAAGAAAGCCGAACGTAGGCGAAGACTTTTGGCTACGATTACAGCCGATGAACGTCCTTAACGCAAACAGTTTAATAAATAAATAAGCGATCATAAGAAGTTGTAATTAATCCATTTTTTAATGGATTTGTATATTTAGCTGAACCCCCGATGTAAAAATCTAGAATAATTATATATTGTATTATATAGAATATAATAATATACATATATATTATTATATTATACAGAACATATATTATTGTTATAAATTTTATACTTCCTAGTAAACACCGAGTATCAATTACATTGCATTTATGTTAAAATTTCTCAATCAACAACGTAATACATGTGTCACGTTGCATTTACGTTGAGTGAGAGATTGTAACATAAATGCAATGTAACTGATGCTCGGTGTTCACTGGGTTAAGCTTGTATCGTTATCGCAATTTATTAAAGTTAAGATACGCTCATCATATTTTATAATTTTATTTATTTAAAAAAACAAAGTTTCTTTATATTACCGTTTCAAGTAGATAAATGCTGCAAATTGACATTTAACACATAAATAAATTAGATTTCTTTTGGAATTTGTACAGTAAATAATTTGATTGCTAAATATCAATTTGCTTTTCCTTGATGATATATATTATCGGCTAGGTCCTTCGACTGGATACCCAGGATCTCAACGTCCACTCCCTGTAGCGCCCAATTATGTTCGCAGATCTCCAACGCTTCCCATTCGGACTTGAAAGCTGCCTTCGGATCGGGCGGCATGGACATCGCGGCCCCCGATACTTGATCCTGCACCAGTCTCGTGGTATCCGCAGCGTTATTCTCGCCAAGTACAAGCGTGTAAATGGATCTCAGTCCAAACACATTGAGAAAGTACCACGAGGCTGAAGAGACCCACGCAGCGTCCAGCGTAATTAATTCTATACCCCGTTGCAACATCGGCTTGAAGCGTAGCGTCAACGGAAATGGCACTTTAGCTACAATTAAAGCGTTTACATTAAATTACGTGTAATCTTGAGAAAGAGTCTAAAAGTCTAAAGTCTAGCTTGAAGGGTCAACAGGCATCTTGCAATATAAATATTCGACAATGTCACAACGCCATATGTACTTGTCACAAATCCAGAGAACATCCAGTTGATCCAACCACCGATCAGTACCATAGGCAGGACATTGGTCACGTTTCCCTTCAGCATTTCCGTCATCATACTCGGATCGGTCATGGGATTTTGGGATACGGGAGGACGCTTCTGAGTCTTAAAATACCCAGTCTCCTCGTTGTTGAAGAAATGCCTCCTCGTCATAAAACCTACTTTCGGTATGTACTGCCCGTTCTCCCGGAGCAGTCTGGAGCGTATCATGACTTGACTGCAAGATATTTAATTTAATACAGTCATCAGTTTTAGGCTTCGCGCGAGAAACCTCCGAGGTTAATCGGACGTGTGTGCGTGCGTGCGTGCGTGCGAATATTTACCTATCTTGCACTTGATGGAGCTCGACCTTCTTCTGCGAGGAGAGCAATATCGAAACGTAGTGGCGTATTATACCGACTAGAAACGTGATCACTACTATAGGCAGGAATACCCAGCCTCGGATATTCGGGTCTAGCAACAACTCGGCCATGTCGACTGTCTCTGCTGCGATAAATCTATCCGCGAGAACGAAAATAAGAAACGGAGCAGCAGCACACGAACCTCGGCTAACATTACAGGTTATGTCAACTAATTCTCCCCTCCCTCCCTCAACGGCGTCAGCCGCGTCACAACAAACGATAGTGGTAGAAATGTGCAGCCAATCAGCCTGCAGCTTTTACGGAAAAGCTGTGCAAGTTGATTGGCCACACATTTCTCGGAACTAGAGGTGCGTTCCGTTTCGCGCATGAGGCTGCTATTACATTTGTCGTGCGATAAATTTTTCACATGTCAAAAACAACTCCTTGTTTAAATTTATATCTCGCGGACCGCATGGCAGAACATTTTCATACTTAAAACACTCAGGTCAGAAGTCTAATGAAAAAGATATTGGTCTTAAACATTTTCAATTTTTAACCTTGAGCAATTTGAAATTGGCTCTATAAGATTACAAAATTCTTCCACGCGATTGTAGTACGCGATTGTAGTACGCGCAAAAACAAAGCGGGGGGTTCACGACTTTATATAAAGAACAAAGGGAAATTAAAAATATCGCTTTATAAGATAATTGTGGTTAGGTTAGGTGACAGCTTCACACGCTGATCAAACTTCTTACAAATTTTTAATAAACATATTATTTTCGCCGGGGCAATGCAGATTAACTTTCATCTCGGTTTAAATTGCGTCTTATCTTTTTTTTTCAGAAAAAAAAGTATAATTGTTGAAACGGATATACGTATCGACGCTCAAGTAGGATGCTTCCTTACCGACTGACGCTAAGTACCGCGGCAGGTAAACGCGGTTACGTCTCGTGCGGTACCGGCGCGAGGGCGCCACTAATACGATCCCCTCCCTCCGCGGCGGGAGAGAAATCCCTGCCGACTCCGCTCCGTCGCGCGTCCCCGGCCATGGGCGGCGCGCGATGGTTTGCGCATGATACGACTCAGTCTCTCTGGCGCACCGTTACCGTGGTGAGGAGGAGGATCGTCGCGTCGTCGTCGCCGCCGCCGCCGTCGCCGCCGCCGCCGCCGTCGCCGTCGCCGCCGTCGCCGCCGTCGTCGTCGCCGTCGTCGTCGCCGCGCGAGAGCGAGCGCTCGTCGTCCGGTCGTCAGTCAGCGTTCCACCCAAGTGCCGTCGACCGCCCGTGCGGGCGCGATACACGCACAATCGCGGTGAATAATCTCGGCGGTCCACAACGCGCCGCATCGCATCGCATCGCGCATCGCGCAGCGAGCCGCGACAGCACGTCTCCTCGTGCGCGCGTGGCGTAATGATCGAGTGAACGGGAGAGCGGCACACGGGGGTTTACGCCTGCGGACGACAGCCGCGCGGTGACAGCCCGCGTCCGCGGGCGGACATGGAGGTCTTGTGAGGGCGGCATCGCGGGAACCTCGGGGGACCCCCTGGACCACTAAGGGGTGGTCGTGCAGCCACGCGAGAGGGGCGAGGACGACGCGGACGCAGGAAGCGCGTGTTAGGTGGGGTAGCGACGGGAGGAGGGGGCTTGGCCGCTGCCACCGGGAGCAGCGAAAGGCGGAGAGCGTCGGCGACTCACTCGCCGACGCGACGCGACGCGCCGCACGCCCGCACGCCCGGCCGTCCGTCCGTCCAGCCGACCCCGGCCCGGCCTGTCACGACCGCCATGTTATCCTGGAGCGGTGGTGTTACATCGCTGGCGCCGCTGCTCTGCTGCCTCCTCGTGCTCGGCGCGGCCGGCGTCGACGAGTCCGGTGAGTCAATCCCCGTCGGCGCGGCGCACACGCCTCCCACGCGGGACGCCGTGGGTACACGGCGGCGCGAGAGGGGAAGGCGCGACGAGGCGCGCCGCACCGCGCCGGGACGCGCCTCTCCGCGGGCCGTCCATAGAGCCCCGCGCTCTCGCGATCGCCTCGCGCTACCCTCTAGGGCCCCGACTTCCGCGTCGAGAGTGAAAACGCGCGGAGGGAGAAGCCCGCGCGGCCGGCGCGACCGCGAGCGATGCGGTCTCCTTTGGATTGATTTTTTTTTCCTTCCTTTTTATGTAGGAGAAGGAGGAGGTGGAAGCGCGATATGATAACTCGCGAGATAAACCGGGGTTGAATTTCGATGACGGGTCTTCCGCAAAGTCTCCCTTCCGAGTATTTCTCTTTCCGTGTCGTGTCGCGTTATTGTGTCCGAGGGTGGGGGGGGGGGGAGGAGAGCGAGAGAGAGAGAGAGAGAAAAAGAGAGAGTTTCAGCGTCGCGAGCCGGGAAAGAGCACGTGGAAAATCGCGCGCCGTGCGGATCGATCGAACCGGCCGCGCGGCCGGAGGACTCGTCGGGCAGTGACACGAGATTCGGAGGTTCTGCGGAGGCTCTTTCAGAGCCAGGCGATTCACGGGCTTTTCCGACCCCTCTCGGATTGCCGAGGCCGCACGCTCGAGCGTGCGTGTGTCGTGAAAATAATTGTACACAGCGTTCACACGACACTTCCGTCTCACCTCTTTCTCATTCCATTTATCTGTTCAGGATCAGGACAATTTGGGATTTTTTTTATAGGAGGATTAAATTCCCGGATCTCGGGACCAGGCGTATTTTACGCTCCAGACTTGGGGGATCTGAAGGGTCCGCGTTGACCCTAGATCTTCCGTGGAGCAGAGCAGAGCTGGATCTCTCTCTCTCTCTTTCTCTCGCTCTTTTTCTCTCTCTGTTCAGGTGTCCGTCGCGGATTCTCTCTCGTTTCTCGAAACGAGGAAAGCGTGACTGGTGCCATTGTTCCAGCCAACGAGATAACTCGCCTGTGACTAAAACGGATGGGACTTGTCTCACTTGGTCGAGAGAGACCCAATTCCGGCGGCCGATCCCGAGCCGGCGCGAACGCCCGCGTACCACCGCGATTGTCCGGCGCGTTGCACGAACGCGCGGCACTGTCCGCGAATCGTGTTGCAATCGTTCCGAATAATCGTCTCCACTCGCGCGATCCACGTTCCCGGCGTCAGCGACGTGCCAGGTGGTTGTCGAGGCAGAGAGACCGCGGGAGAGACGAGTCTGTACGCGCCAACTCCGCGAGTGTCCGCTTCGCAGCTCGCGGATGAAAATAACCGCTCGCGTAGACGCCACCACTCGAGTCGCGAGTCGGGGCAATGGCATTGAACTGGTTTAGGGAAATGTATGTATTTATACGGGCTGTGTGGTAATAGGTTTGTCCTCTGCGCCTCGTGACGGCACACGTCGCGAGGGAAAAGCGATTTCTTCCTTGAAAACAGCCCGACCGCTCCCCGAGCGGTTTTCCGCTCGCCGATGAATCGCGCTGTTGAAACACCCAGAGATACGCGCGGCTAATGAAGATTTAATCTACGCGGTAATTTTAGATAAGCCTCCCCTTGACCGGGATCGCGATCGCGGTGCATTCATCAGGATGATAATTTCGAAATTTCAGAAGACAGACGAGAAGACGCGCGCGGTTCAATTACATCTTTGTTAGACAAGAGGGGTCCCATTCGTCGGACGCGCAACGTTATCGCACGCGCTGTACGTTATCATTTACCACCGATCGTGCGTGTACCACGTATTGGGTGTACATTATCTTGCGCCATAGGTGTATGAATCGTGCTCTCACGTGGTCGAATTGCACCGATTCGAATTGAACTTGCACTCATACTTGAACTTGAATCGAGTCTTCCCTTCGTTTCAATTCGAATCAATCTTTCGCGGGCTCGTTATATCTTGATTTCGGGTGCGTTCGGGAGCGCACAATTAGCGTTACTTAGCGATAAAAGCGTCATTCTGTCTTCGTTGCTCATTATGCGTCGAAGAAGGATAGAACGGCGCTTCCAGCGCCAAGTAGCGCTGATAGCGAGCTCCCGAACGCACCCTTGGAAATAGAACCGCAAACTTGACCGTTTCCTCAATGACGTTGTTTATTTTAAAAGCGACTTCGTTATTACCAAGTATTACGTTTATTAAACCTTGTGTCCACAGTTGGAAAATTTATAGTTTTGTTAAAAAAAATGCCGGTTAAAATTTTGGTGTTAAATGTTTAACACGTTCATGTGTTAATTTAACATATTGCTCCTGTGTTGATTGACCTCGAATGTAAAATTGTAAAAATAACTGAAAAGAAGTGTTGAAACAACACAATGTGTACTTATAATATTTTTTAATCTGACACAATACATATGTTCTATATTGTCAGTAACAAAATTTGTCTGTTAAAATTTACAGAGTATAATGTTGATTTTATTCTACATAACATAAGTGAGAGTAATTTCGAACCGTCATTTGACTTATTACTGTAAAATGTAAAAATTGCATTTGTTAAAATTCATTTTGTCATTAAAAGTACGTTAATTTTATACAGAATTTATCTCAAATTATTTTGAAACTTGCATTTATTTTGTGTTAAAGTATTATCAGAGTATTAGCGTGATTATTGAACATATCTATATGTTAAATTAACACAAACATTTGTGTGGACCGTTTGGGACATGTGATATCTGTTAAATTTAACACAAATTTTTCAACTGTGCACCCTGAAATCCCATACAGCACTAAAGCTTTCAGAAACACTTCAGAAACATTGCAAATTGCAATGTATTGCACAGACGGTTCAGAGACGCTCAATTGTAGCATTTCGCCGGCAATGTTTCAGTAATCTTGTAGAAATATTATTTATGCAAAATATATTTGTAACGTGTCATAATATTGTTTAGATTTTGCAAATTTTTATTATTTCTCGTATATTCCAAACGCAGCTTAACAGCATGAAATAGCAACGTCACCCAATTAAACATTTTTTAAACGCTAACATTTCAAAAACTCGTAAAATTCTTCGAAATGCCACGTTGTCCCGCGATCACATGATTTTCAGGATAAATTTTGAGAAAAAACATTTTCCGTGTGGAGATACAGGAATGTCTGTAGAGGCAGGAGCGTGTTTGCGGGCGTGTGCGTGAGGCACGCGGGGGCGGTCGTTGGCATTGGACATGACACATTGTGGAAATAATTCAGCGAGATGCACGAGAGAAGTGAATCCGCCAATTACGGTGTTTTCCTCCGTTTCGCTGCGTTACATGAGAAGTCCGAGAGAGAGAGAGAGAGGGGTGGAGGGATATGTTCGTGTGTGATAAAACGCGAGCAAAATCAGTCGATATTCTCGGGAGAATATCCAGTTGATTTTGGTCTTTATCCTCGACACGCGCCCGGCAGCGCGACACTTCATAGTAAATAAACCGTATTTACATTATTAATCGTCGAACGGCGCGGAAAAAAAAAGAAAGATCGATAACGAAGTACTGCGGAGGAGATAAGGCCCGCACGTGGACGGGGAGATCTGACGGAGCGTAGAAACGCCGCGACGAGAGAGATTCGTTAATTAAGAGAACACACGCGTTCTCCTATCCATCTTTCTATTCATCAGGAACGAGCGCTCGGCCGAGCTGTGTCGACCCGAGCTGCGCGCCTTAATTTGATTTCATTGATCGCGCAAGAATAGCGTATCGGAATTAAAGGGCCGCCCGGTTCGGGCGCAACCCGAATACTCGATAGCATCGCGCGGGCTCTCGCGAAATTACGAATCTCGAGTTTAGCTTTCGAATTTATTTTCACTCGCTTTTACGTGATTTAATACGAGGTCGTCGTATTTCGTTGCGACAGGTGTGGATAAACCGGCAGCAGCAGCAGCAGCAGCAGCAGAGCCAGCAGCAGCAGCAGCAGAAGAGCCGAAGTCCGAGCGAGCCGTGTCGCTGGAGGTTCGCTCGTCGCAGGATACCGAGGGCATCGAGGCGGGCAGCACGCCGTCGCTGTTATGCAACCTGAACGCACCGGGCCAGGTCTGGTGGAGCACGGCCGACGGCAGGAATCTCACGACCATCAAGGACCTGTACAGCGGACGGCTCGACATAAAGAAGGCCAGCAGAAACGACACGGGCGACTACAAGTGCTCCGCGCAGACTGCCGACGGCAAATTCCTCGAGAAAAACATTCATATCAGAGTGATTGGTGCGTAACGAGCCGATTTAAATGCCCTATCTCCCTTGAGCGCGCGCTCGCGTATTTGGAATCTCACCTTGGATAACACCTGGATCTCTCTAGTATGTCGCGCGAGATAAAAACAAAGGTCCCGAGAGTCAAAGATGAATTTCACTTTGGACAATTCCCGATCTCTCTAAAGGTCGAATCAGACTAGTACAGCCCGTATCAGACTGCAGGTCGAGATTGGGATTTGATGGAAGTTTGACCAATCAGAGTAAAGTTTAGTGAATTTTACTCTGATTGGTCAAATGTTAATCTAATCTCAATCTCAATCCGTAGTCTGATACGGGCTTGCCATTGTCACGCGAGATTAATAAAATTTTTGAGATTCGAAGACGAATTTCACTTTGGATAATACTCGAGCTCTCTAACATTGTCGCGCGAAATAAAAAGAAATTTTTTTGAGAGTCAAAAAATTTAACTTTGGATAATACCCGATCTCTCTGACGTTGTCACGCGAGATAAAAGAAAAGATTTCGAGAGTCAAAGATACATTTTACTTTGAATAATATCCTATCTCTCTGATACCGGCACGCGAGATAAAAAAGAAACAGGTTTCGAGAGTCGAAGATTCAGAAGTCGAGCGGCCCTTCGTCAAAAAGTCATCTCTGCTCGGTTTTTCAGAACCCGGCAAGACAGTGTCCGGCGGGGACGTGAGAGCGAGAGTGTCAGAAGCGGCCAACTTGACGTGCCACATACACGGTTATCCATTATCCCAATTTACTTGGTTAAAAGGGAATGATTCAGAGAGCAGCGAACACTTGAAGGATCTCACTGTCGTCGCGCAGATAAACGAGACCTATGCCGTCTTGGTCTTGGAATTCGAGAGTCTGGCGCGCAAAGACAACGGCACGTACGTGTGTCAGGCGAGCGACTACAACGGGGTGGTGAGCGCCTTGACGCACTTGTTCGTCACCGACGTGCCGAAGGTCAGCATAGATTTCATGAAGGCGGTCGGGGCCGGCAGTATATTTCTAAATTGGACCGTCAACGACGGCAACGAGCCGATCAAGAAGTACTTCATCCAGCACATGAAGGAGGGCACGGATCAGCGCCAGTACTACGCCGAGCAGATCGGCGGCGGTAACTCGAGTTACGTCCTCAAGGGATTCGAGAGCGGCACCGCGTACCAAATCGGCATCAGCGCCATCAACGCGCTGGGCACGTCGCACATGCAATTAGATCCGCGATGGATCACCACGCTTGAGAAAGGTATTTTTGCGGTAGATACGCCGAGGTTTCTCCTACCGTTTCGTATCTCTTGAAGCTTTCAGCTTGAAAAATAGATTTGACTCGATAGAACTGAAAGGAACTATTGAGTCTCATTTGATAATCTTGAATTTGCAATTGAAGAAACAACAATTGCAGAATAACTGTAGGATTATTTAGCGTGCGCGGATATAATTAATTACCCTGATTAACGATTCTGCGTTTAACTTCTGCACGGCAGGGCAAAACCGTGTACTTACATTTGGCTATACTCGAAACTTAATTTTATATTGTTTCATTGGGTACAGCTTGAAAAATCTATTGCAGATCCGGTGTTTGTGCCGAAAGTGTCCGTGAACGGCGTGACGGAGAATTCGATCACGATAGGCTGGACAGTGCCGCCGCCAGATCTGAAGGAACACGTGCACTATTACAATCTGATGGCCACTCACGCCGATCAGAAGAGAGAAGCGGTGTATCCCGCCCAGCCGTTCCCCGTGTACGCGTTCGTGGATCTCGATCCGGCGACCACGTACAAATTCAAGATAGCCGCCTGCAGCGAGTACACGAAGCAGTGCGGCAATTGGAGCGCCGAGGTCAACGGCACCACCCTGGACGGAGGTACGTCGGCGCGTGAGGAAAAATACATTTGTTTCGCGCACGCTCGGCAAATATTCAAGTGTACTCGTTGCTTTCCCAGTGGCCAGTCCGCCCAAGAATCTCGTCGTCATTTGTCGCTACGACAATATAAGCAGCCACAGCACCATGTTCGTCACGTGGAGCTCTCCGGATAAACCGAACGGCATTATACAGCGCTACGACATAAAACTGACCGGCATGGCGAGGTTTAAGAACGACCTGGGACGTCTGGACATCCAAAGTTTCGAGCTGCCCATGTGGAGCGTCAAGAAGAACAGCGCGTTTTACAACGAGATACGTCCGAATACGAATTATACGGTACATAGCTAGTTGTTGAAGCTTAAGTCATCCCTCCCGGTATTTTTATTAGAATAACATTGTCGAAATTATTTCGACATTTAATTTTAGAGCAATTTCTAGTTTGAGATTGTCGGACGGTCAATTATCGCGCTAAAATAAAATGTACTTGATTGAAGGTCCGGGTGCACGGTGTTACGAGGTCCCGCACCTTTGGTAAAAACGTCGTAGGAAACTGTACGACGCCGGTCACGATTCCGGAGCGCGACAATCTGAACATGCGCAACTGGCGGAAGATCGAGAGCCAGGATAAGCAGCTGTTCAAGCTCTACCTACCGCGCATCTCCGAGCGTAACGGCCCGATCTGCTGCTACCGTGTCTACCTGGTGAAGCTACCGCCGCACAAATCGGTCGGCGATCTACCGTCGCCCGAGGAGATCGCGGTGTACTCTTATCATTACGTGCACAGTTCGCCTACCGGCGGTGCTTACGTCGCCGAGGTATTCGACAGCGATCAGCTGTTACCGGAGGTCTTCCTCGGCGACGAGAAGTCGTCTAACGGTGGTGCCATGTGCGACAAGTGCGTCGGCCTGCGGCCCAAGCCGGCGCCGCCGTTGTTACACTTTGTTCCGGAAATCCCGTCGACTACAGCCGCGAGTAACACGAGCAGTACCGTTACCAGCACAACGGTGACTACGTCAGCGCCAACGACAACTGTGACTAACAGTGGCAGCAGCACGACCACCAGCCCGTCTACCACATCGACGACGAGTGCTGTCGACACCACGAAAATCGACACGACCACGGCCGTACCTGTGATTATTAATACCACGGAAAAGGCGGAGAGACGGAAGAGAGAAGACACGCCGCTGCAGAAGGCATCCGTGGATGGATCCGGCGAGCTTAGCTTGCTATCGCCTTACGATGGCCCTCTCGACAAAACGTCCAACTACACTGGTTTCATCGAAGTCATCGGTATGTACGATTGTCGACGGATGTGCGAAATACTTTAGGTTTCGTGGCGTACTGTCTGACGGTGGATTTTTTGCAGTATTCGATAGCGAGAAGGATCAGTTTCTACCGGCTTACAGCAACTACTTCAGTCCCCTTTACGGCGGGGTCGATCCTCTCAGCGTAATGGCCACGGAAGCTACCACTGTCAGAGAAATGATAATACAGCTCTTCATCGCCCTGATTTTAACTCTCACAATTCTGTTTATCGCGCTCTGCGTGTTATATAGATTTACAAAGCGTGCACAAGAGAGGGAGGAAGTTATAACGCTGCGCAATAGTTTCAGGTGAGTTCTAGGAAGACGCGCGTTTTTCTCTCGGAAGATTTTTGTACGAATCTTCTGTTACTGAATTATTTTAATAATGTGGTAGATTTTGCATTATTTTAAAGTTCCATTTTAACAGCCGTATTCTTAAAAGACTTCTTTCTCTTTTTGTTCAAAGCTGTTATCGCAAATACAATACGATGTATGTAAAAACATTAAGTATATAATTTTTTTTTCTGTATAATTATACGACTCTTATTAATAATATCAATTATTAATACTGGTATCTCATCGAAATGTTTATGAAAAATGCAATACTCACGAATGCCTTTTTCCGTAGGCACCTCTGTAGAAGTCTCAGAGGTAGGCATCAACTTGTGGCAGCGAGTCCGCCGGACATGCCGCCCGTACCCAAGGGCGAGTTGTTGCAGGCGTACTTGGAACGCCATCGGGACTCGGATTATGGTTTCCAGCACGAGTTCGAGCTGCTGCCCGACCGATTCACGGACCGGACGACGCGTGCGTCCGAGGCGCAGGAGAACCTCTACAAAAATCGTTATCCGGACATCAAGTGTTACGATCAGACGAGGGTGCGTTTGGCGCAGATGGACGGTATCTGCGGCTCCGACTACATCAACGCCAACTTCGTGCTGGGCTACAAGGAGCGCAAGAAGTTCATCTGCGCCCAGGGCCCGATGGAGAACACGGTGTGCGACTACTGGCGCATGATCTGGGAGCAGCATCTCGAGCTGATTCTCATGCTGACGAATCTCGAAGAATATTCCAAGACCAAGTGCGCCAAGTACTGGCCGGACAAGCGCGAGACCAAGAACTTTGGTGACATCACGGTAGAGCACGTTAAGGAGCGCGCCTACTCGGACTACGTGGTGCGCGAGCTGAAGATGACGCGACTGGGCGAGCGCGACGCCCGCACGATCGTGCAGTACCATTTCCTCGTGTGGAAGGACTTCGTCGCCCCCGAGCATCCGCACGCGATTCTACGCTTCATCAAGCGCGTCAACGAGGCGTACTCGCTCGAGAAGGGACCGATCCTGGTGCACTGCAGCGCCGGCGTGGGCCGCACCGGCACGCTCGTGGCGTTGGATTCCCTGCTGCAGCAGCTGGCCGAGGAGGGCCAGGTGTCTATCTTCAACACCGTGTGCGACCTGCGGCACCAGCGCAACTTCCTTGTGCAATCGCTCAAGCAATACATCTTCATCTACCGCGCGCTCATGGAGATGGCGCAGTACGGCGACACGGAGATCCCGGCGCCGCAGCTCAAGACCACGGTCGCCAAACTGAGACAGCGGGACAACGGGAAGGAGAAGTGCAGGATGGAGGAGGAGTATGATGTGAGTTACGGGCCGGAGTTGGATGCCACAAGTAGCTTTTACTTCTTCTATCAACTTAATTTCGTCTTCGTATCAAAATTGTTTATCGTATCGGTTTGTCTCGTTGTTATTTTTTTAATCTCCCTTTTCCCCGGCGTGTTTTACTTGTGTATTGGATACGTTAACGAATCACTTGCGAAAAAGCGATTATATATTTTAAATAACCGATATCCAATAAAGTAGAATAGACTGCATGTATGTATATATAGACATATATACACATGTATATAACATGCTATGAATACGTTGCACTTTTACATTTCCCTAACAATTTCGTTGAAGAATGAACGTCTCTCTTTTTCTCTCTCTCTCTTAGAGTTTACGTTATACAAACAATTTTTGTTTATAGAAAATCAGTTCCGTGCTGGAAGATCGGAAATCCTTCTCCGTCGGCGGCGGAGACGAAAATAGATCAAAGAATCGTAGCGAAATGGTGATACCGTATGACAGGAATCGCGTGATACTCACCCCCGTTCCGGGAAAAGAACATTCAACGTACATAAATGCATCGTTCATCGAAGGCTATGATAATTCCGAGTCGTTTGTCATTACGCAAGACCCACTGGAGACCACCGTAACGGATTTCTGGCGAATGATCTCGGAACAATGCATCTCTACGATAGTTATGTTATCTGATGTAAGTGTGTATACATTTTTATTTTTCTCCTCACGTTCGGTCGCACTTAATGAAGATATCGGTTTCGTTAAGTGTATCTTGATTTTTGCAAGAAATTATATAACTGTATGAATATTGCGTTGATACAATACACATGGTATGCAATTTCATACGACAAACTTTCAGGGAATTAATTGATGACATTTTTTTTATAGTACACTCTTTTGCTGTATAACTCGAGTAGAGAATGTTAATTTCCTATTAGCACAAATACGTAGCAATATTTCTGCGATTATATCGACGGAATAAGATACGTGAAATTATACAATCGGGTGAAAGAGGTGCCAGGGTCCCCGATCTTGATAATAAGAAAGAAGCACGTATAAAAGAAAAAAGGAATTGGAATACCAGGATGAATATTATAGTCGCGTATGAAACAAATGATGTCTTTTCCAGTCGAACGAAGGCCCGCGGAAATGTCCACGCTACTGGCCCGACGACGAGACCGATTACGATCACATAAGGGTGCGCTACATCCACAGCGAGAGCTGTCCGTACTACACGCGTCGCGAGTTTTGCATTTTGAACACGAAGACTGACGAGAGCGGGGTCGTGAAGCAGTATCAGTATCACGGCTGGCCGACGGTGGAGGGTGAAGTACCTGAGGTGACGCGCGGTCTCATAGAGGTGGTGGACCAGACGCTGGCGAACGACACCGAGACGAGCGGCTCGCTGGTCGTGCACTGCAGCTACGGGTCAGACCGGAGTTCCATGTTCGTCGCATTTAGCATACTGGTCCAGCAGCTGCGCACTGAGAAGCGCGTGGATATTTTCACGACGACGAAGAAGCTGCGCTCTCAGCGGCATGGCATGATCAGCACCTTCGTAAGTGTTCTCGCGACGTTCTCCGTGCCGACTGTGTTGTAATGAAAGATTTTCTATCAATCTTGGCACGAAAAGAGTTGGCCACTCCGCCTGAAAAATAGACGATAGTTAGTCAAATTCACAAGGCTCTAGTGTGAAAACGCAAAAACGAAGTAATAAAAACGATAATCTTGATATATCGCAACAATTTAAATAGAGGAAGGTCCTCTATTGTGAGATAGCAGGTTTTCAACATCCAATTTTGATCACAAATCTCTTTTCGCAACGATCACACGATCTAACAATGAATTTTCCACTAAACAGATTTCACTCCAAGGGCAATAAATTCGTGATGGAACTAAAAAAGATGATGACTAAGTATTAATTTAGCAGAAACTCCGCTATCTCATAATATAGGACTCTCCTCTATATAAAATAATGACAATAACGTAACAGTGAAAGTATAAAATAAATATTACATATCCATGTATTTTTCATTCTTCATTATTCAACTTTTTTAAGAAGCTCACCTGTTTGCGATGAAATAATTAATCACACGTTTTGAGGATTCTAATTCAGTATCACTTATTGCGTTTATTGTATCATATTGCAATTGCATTTTGTGTAATGTTTGTCGTTGTACGTGTTGCAGGCGCAATATGAGTTTCTTCATCGTGCCATCGTGAACTATTCGGATCTTCACAATTTGGCCGATGAGGAAACGGCGTCATAATGCTTGAAAACTAGCAAGAGCGAGACTAGATTGTTCTAAATATCGTTCGGGCGGACATGTGCGTGAGGAAGTTCCGTGGCGGGTGTCCGACGGAATCCACGAACGTTCGAACAAGCGTACATTGCCCCAACCAAAGATGAATAAACATCGATAAAGAATCATTGATGTCATCCTCATCACCATCGTCATCATCGTCATGACAAGCGGATCGCGGTGCACAACGCGGATCTAGAGACTACTTGTACATAATATATCCGCCAATTTTACATGTGCTGACTATAAGTTAAGTGTGGAGGAAGAGCATTGACTGGAGATTTAAACTGGAAATCGACTCGTCGTGATGTTCACGCGGATTTCCGACGTCGTTGGCGAGAGCCGCAAAGTGCAGTGCGTGACTTCGTCATGAAACCGTTTACAGAAGCTTATTTTTTATCGGTAATCTAACGATTCAGCCAGAGCTAGTAATGTATCAGTGCGACAAAGTTTTTGATATCGAAATTTGACGTCGAGCAGACAGGGACGCTCCCGTCGGAATCCTCCAATGTGGCTGTACAGCGAAGGACTGTTACGGGAACGAACGGATGTAACTTGTATAGGTATGACAATTCATTCTTGTGACAAGTAGATACGCAACTCCGAACCGCTTCACTCTTGCGAATCGCAACTAAAGCCAATTGACAAGAGAGCTCATCACGATTAATCGCACAATTCGCGAAGCCAATCGCGAAAACTTCCCCGAGGTTCCCATTAATATTATCCTGGCGTTTGCCACAGGACGTTCCGTTTCGAAGCGAGCGAAATGAGGATGAGCCGAGACGCAGTTATCTTCGTTTTACAGAAAGACCTTCGGTAGAAAGCGTCTTCTTCGCAACGACGCGAGACATCGCCGTTTTACGATCTGTCGCGCTGGAAATTATTAGCGCAGATTGCGCGCGCGTTGCGTACATTTGTACGTTTCTTCAACAATGTATGCGTTTTTATTACGATGTATTACGCATATCACGCTGCTTTCTCTTCTAAAAAGGAAAAAAAAGACTGATAGTCTTATTCAGTTCGACTATACGCGATTAAAGCACGTACCTCGTTTGCACGACATTTAGATTTCGCTGTGAATCGTAATATCGCGGCTACGGATAGGCGGCCGTTCTCTATGTTTGCTTTTCATATTTGGGAAAAAGTTTATAACACGTATACGATACATGGCATATATGCACGATGTGCTTTTTTCCACCATGCGACACGAAAATTATGTTCGTGACTTAAATCGAATACTGAACGGGCTGGGCAAACTATGCCATTTCAAAATATCGATATGGAACATATTCGATATTTCGGAGACGGTGGCAGGAGAGACGATTCGACACGGGAATGTGATTCAGAATACAAGATACAGAGCGTGACTTGATGTGCGTTCGCTAATTAGCGCGCGTTCGAAATACCGCCCGGCCCTGCGAGAAAAGACGACGGCGGAAAAATTGGTGGGATCGATCTGGATAAACGAAAACTGAAAGAGCTAAATTTGTAGATTAAGCCGCAAGCGAGAGGAGGGGGGGGGAAGGGGGAAGAGTAGAATTATATGTTTGTATTCCTCCGCACGTTCGTTTAGTTCTAGTCAAGTTTAAGCTTCAGCACGTGCGCTGCCAAGCCATAACGCCGACCTTTCGCAGGAGGCAGAAGACAATCAGGTTAATTACGATTCGCATCGCGAATGTATCCCGATCATTTCCTTTTTTTCTTTCCTTCTGCGCAGCCTCATTCCATTTCAATCGGAGACCCTCCGGTGAGAGACATGAAGTAACGCGTTTCCGATTTCTAACATCACGAATGTTTTAATTGTATTAAATTACGTGATTCTCGGCCAAATTTTACAAGGATATAGAAACGCGGGATTGTCGACAAATACAAAAGCTGAAGCGTTGAAAATCCAAGTTATTTTTGTACTTGTTTAATACCGTCATCTCTTTAGTAAGGTAATTGTACTCTTCTCAAAACCAGTAAAAAGAGAACTTCACGTTATTGCGTGAATCACATCGGAGGACTCATTTTAATGTTAAACACGCTGGATGGATGTGTTCCGCCTTATTACGCGACAAATAGACACATTAGTTTTTAGTCGTTATCTCGCATGAATAACTCGCTTCGGTTATGTTGTAGTTGATAGAGAGTCTCTAAAAAGATAGGGGGATACTCGCCGCCTGTATTTATAAATATATATAGTATATATATATATACATTGTTACACTATCGCCTATCGCTGTTAATATTTGTATCGATGAATGGTGTGACAATACTTGTTTCGTGCTCCCTCTCAATAATACCTGTTGTTATACGTGCGTTCTCCGCAGGGTCACGCGACGTTTCGTTCCATTCTTAATTATTATCACCCGTTATAATATTATTCTGTAGCTTTCCTTCACTCACAAGCAGCAGCGACGCAAATGACTGCAAAATGAGGAGAGTCGTGTGAATAAAACTGACGCAAATGCACGTGTTTCCGTAGAATTTGATACAATCGCTGTTTTTTTTTATCGGGAAAAACACTGTATTTTATTACAATTTTAATACGAGTAACATTAATTATTCATATTTAATTTTTAATATGAATAATCATTTGCATTTTTTATATAATTAATAATTATCTACATTATATTTTTAATATAAATAATTATTAATGTGATATAATTATTATTGCTAATACGCTTTTGGAAGATCTTTTGTCGCCTTTTATTACAAGTTTACACCACGTTTATTCACACGAACTCGCTAATTACGGCTTCCTCTTATTTACAGCGGATAATATTAAAGCGTCGATCCGATCGATCAGTAAACCTTAAAAAGGATTGTGAGACGAGCGATTGTCGTTCCGACTGCTATTGCAAACGCGCGTACCTTCCACGCTTAGTATTTTATTTCATTGCGCCACGTTTATTATTATAGCTTTACAATACACGTCACGCGGACGGAAAGTCCGACGATTTGCGATCAGTCGTACTTTCGTATTTGTTCTCTCACGGGTTAATCCGTAATCTCCGAACGCCTAATCGACAAGATGCTACTGCGAGAAGAGGCGACGAAACAGGAGCCCTGTTGATAGCACCTGACAATTCTTCGCGCGCGATCCGCATGACATCCACGTTTTTCGTTCGGATCGGATGGGTGTTTCGAAACCTTTTCCCTACGTCTACCGACCACGATTCCCGCGCGATCGTTTTAGTCTCGATGTAGAGATTAGCGAGCGAGATCATTCCGCCAGAGATCTTTCGGCGAGACGTGAGATCCGACCGACGTACTTCTTAACTATAGATCGGCGAGAAAGATTAATCGATTAAGACTAGAATTAAATTTGTATTGAAGAGTGATGAGAGACAGTGAAGCGAAAAAATGCGAAGGAGATCCGTATGCGTCTCTAGTTCAGAATGCACAAAATAGTCCTAAGAGAAGAGACAAGTCAAGAAAGAGACCGGTAGAGAAATTAATCTGAAATTTCGAAGCTGGCTTTTTTGTAAATTCGAGAAATCTTACAACGTTTTTTTACCTTTTTTTTATATCTTCTGTTTTCCGATTCTCTTATTTTACGGAATTAAATAATTTATCTTCGCAATAGGAATGAAAATGTATTATTCTGATACACGTGAGTTTGTGAAGCTCCAAGATTAGAAATTGAATTTATAATAGGGAACTCCAGAAAAATAAGATATAAAATAAATATATCGTTCAACACAATTTCCGTCACGTAACTAATTTTATTTTATATCTTATTTTTCACAAGTATCTTACGGCCGACGTAACAAACAAACTGTACATGTACTCTACACTCGACAAAATAAGATAATTTGTGAGCAATAATTTCGTGACTGTTCCTGAATTGGAAATTATGTTCCTTCATGAATTCGCGGCGCGGTTTCAAGCGGAACGACACGATGCGAGACACCGAATCTTGACGAAAGAATGACATTTCCCCAATTGTATAGCGTAGCCAGAATAATATTCTTTTATCGTCTGTAATAATAACGGAACTAATGTCCCGTCGAACTAACTTACATTCGCATTCGAGGAGGAAAGAGTGGTAGCTACTCGGAAATAAGATTCACACATACACATACACACACGTACATTCGAAACGCATATTAATCGCTACCGTTAACTAGCATGGTAACAATTCCTTTTTGATAAATCGGGTGACTGGCGCCGACTCTTCCTGGTCACGCGCGATCCCTCGCCCGGGGACAAGCCCCGCTCCTTTGCGGTCGACTGTCGTCGACTGCAAGTGTAACTCTATTTTTACATTAAAAATTTTCTACGTTCGCAAGGCGAACAGGACTGGAGGAAACTGCTCATCCGGAGTAGAAGGCGACGGTCCGCTCTTGGCTCGAGACGCGAATCGTCTCGCGGGGTCCACTGGACCACTCTGTCGCGGCCAGGAAGGGTGGCGCGGGTTATTCACCACTGCGACTGAGGTTCGATACGCGGATAATACGCTCGGCTATTTGCAAAGCGGTAATTTAATAAAACTTGATAACTGTGAAGTTCCCACCGGTGTCGCATGCGTGCAAGATTACGTTGAAGATTAAAGCGAGGCCTACAGATGCGAGAGCGAAGGGTTGCTAAAATAAATTGACCCTCGACGATCACCCTGCGATATTCACACAATCTGCCCGACAGCCCCGTTCAACTGGTTGCATTAAAAAAGAAACTTCTGCCTAGAAAAAAACAAAATTGTATATGTCAATAATATATGTACGTGGCCTAATTCTTTATTACTCGTTGTGTGATTTTAATAAGTCAACCGTCCACGAGACGCCGTAACGTTGCATCTAAGAAACAAATTGATTAATTTCAAGGCTTCTTTCGCATCAAAGATTGATGAGATAAAAGAAACAATAGGCAATTTCTTCACGTGACCGTACATATATTTATTTGTATAAAATGATGAAGATGTGAATAGCGCAGAGGTGATCCTTATTCCTGTCTTTCCATTATCACATTCTGACTACCAGGGAAACATCTCGAATTGCAAGTCGCTGACGAAACATTAGACACTCTCTGAAAGATTAACCTATTAATTTTGAATCACGATTAAACATTCATTTGCGTATGCGATCTATCTTTTCAATATAATTTTTATAACAAGTACATTTTGAAGAAGATAGAAGTTTAGTTAAGATTAATCAATTATAGTCACACGATTCACATGGTCAGTCAAATTACGAAGGTCATTTGATAAGTTCTCGGAATGAAATGGAAAAAAACAGTTCATATCTTTTTATAATTATTTTTCTTCTTCAACATAATCTTTATATCAAAATGCACTTGAGCTCCTAGGTCATTATTACGTTACGAAATTCCGATTTGTCAAGTGGTGCAAAAGAAAGCGGTCGAGAATCTCTTCCCCAGCAAGGAAGGTTTCTTCAACCGTGGGAATAGACGAAAGTCCGACAGAGCCAAGTCAGGCGAGTAAGGATAACGTGGCGAATCGTACCGTAATTCGTGGGTACTAACTGCAAGCTGTTCGAGCTTATTCATTTTTCGAACATCATGGATCGTTCAAAGATCCGTAAAAAAGTTTAATCCACTTGAAACGCTCGTAGAAGGGTAGAATATTTTATTTGACGTACATCTGTGCGCCGTCGTAACTCCGAGAACTTTTCAAGTGACAATGAAAATACCTTTTATCTTCGAAATTGGATCCCCTTGATTCTTACTCCTACCTGAAAAGGGGATTGTAAAGCGCACAAACGGATCGGTTTTATCTAATTGAATAATTTTACATTTGCTCCCGCAAGATATTCGAGGTATTCCCTTCCAAGTGAGATTTTAATTTAGAGGGTGTACATGCGCACACCATCATCGGCTGGAACGTGTTGCGCGAATGGCAGAGGTGCGTGCCCTGTGAAGACGTATGCGTGACGTGTGTTTTATTATGTCTAAGAGGATCCGCGAGGATCAGAGGAGACGGCGGTTCGAAACGCGAGGTAAAAGAATATTCAGCACGGAAAAGCGTTTATCGAGCGCGCCAACGTCGACGCTGCGTATTCGCTCCGAGAGCAACGACGTGCATCGAGCTGCGATACCATTTGTATTCTAATTGTTGTAGATTTACCTTTACACCTGTATCGAGTAGAGACCGGAGTTGCTTTCTCCGTTGCTTTTTTTTTTATACGAACGTGTAAAAGAGATTCTTTCGTTCTTTTATTGGAACTCCGTAGACCGCGAACGAGCCGCAATTTTTTTTAGCGGAAGGACGCGAGCCACCGTCGTCTCCGTGCTCGTCGATTACCGATAGGCTCGAATTTTGTAAAATAACTTAACGATTAAGGTAGCACACACGGGAAGTACCGCCGCGCATTACATTAACAATTACGTTCGTACATGATAACGAGATATAATTGTAAGAGACATTTGCATATATATAGTCTTAGTCTTTTGTATGATATTCACATGAAGGAGGTAAACAAGGTGGGATCACGCTGAGAGATCTATATCTGAGATATTAAGTGTACTGATAAGGAGAGGCAATCGGGATAATTGACGCGCGTGCGAGATTACGATCGAGAGTCCAGATACGCGCAATCTCGAGAGTTTCGCTGTCGAGCGTCAGTCTCCGAGAGTAGAACTCGCGAGAGCGCGCGCCCCGAATTTTGCGACAGCGCTCACCATCGAATCATTCTTTTGTATGAAAAAGTTGTAAAGCGATATCGGTAACAGTGCACTCGATGTGAAAGGAAATACATGACACAATAATGAGCCGTACGCATGTCTCTCGCTTCTTTCCCGATTATATCTCTCTCCTTTATGATTATGTTATACAAATGTGGTCCGCGGAAACCCGTACGTAGCGAAGCGTTAAACTCGGTAGGAAAAGAGCTTCGATATTGTACTTAATTTTTGTCTTCTGAAACGTTCGCAGCTTCAGTGAGAAGGGAATTCAAAAAAGTTGTACCAAATAATTTAATAACATATACATGAAAGACGATACTTTCAGTTTGCTCGCGCAATTATCTTTTCTTAACGTTTCAACACTTTTCTTCGTAAAATATTTGAAAAGTTTATGAATTTCCTCCTTGTATTTGTGTCTTCCGTTTTCGTAAAGTTTCTAAAAGTGAAGAAATTTGTCATTTGTAAAATATGTATAATGCACGTACATATCTAAACGTAATGTATATAATTTATATAATATCCTACCGCGGAAAATGTGCCACTTAATGCAATGCTTTACCATGGTAAAGCAAAGACAAGTGACCCTAACGGACGCATACATCATTACTAATAATTAAGCAACGGTTCATTGCCTGCAGTAAAGCACAGCATGCGCAAGTGCGCTTTATTTAGGCGAATCGCAGTTATCTGCACGACACTTCCAAGAATTTTATTCGGAAGCTTCTCACAGTGCAGCCGCCACGGAACGTCAAGATTTACATTAACACATTCTACTAATGTGTGTACTTTTAACAATGACGAAACACGAAGCAATGACAATTTCATTATTTATGACACTAATCATTTTATCATTTTAATTATTTTTTAAAGCTTGTTAGACTATACATAGATGATTATATTGATAGAAAAAATAAATCAGCATTTATCTAAAAAAAAGAGAATATAATTTAAAAAAATATTGAGTGCAATAATTTATTTTATTTTAAATTTCTTAAGTAAATGTATTAAAAAATAATAGTAAAAGGAACGATACACTCTGAAAAAATATAAAACATGAATTTAATATGTGCGCTAACAAAGAGGAAAAAAAAATGATAGAAGTAATACTGGAACCTAAAAGTCAAAGTCGAGTAATAATTTCGAATTTAATATTGACAATATTTGATTACACAGACATGAATTATTTTCTTGCCTTTTAATTAATTGACGTTTTGCGCTGGTTCGACATAAATATACGCTACCGATTCTTCCCGTAACAGCTTATGAAAAGAATCGGAAGGCGTAATGCATCGTGTTCGCCGAGTGTATCAGGATTTCTAGTCCACGGAGACGCGGAAGGTCCTTTCCTATAATAATAATCAGGAATAATCAACGGGCACCTGTCACTTAACGGCTTGCACCGGTCGATCGACGAACCGCGATTCCGCACTGTGAATGCCGTTTCGTTATTTCGTTAGCGCTTCTCCAGCGCGCTTCCTTCTTTCCTTTCACGGCAAATAAATTGCGGCGAATTTTAAAACTGACATATAATTGCGGTTGAATTTCGCAATTACGGTAAATACGAGAGAACGTTGCCCCGTATTCATCCGGAAATGAATTGAAACGCGATAAGCGGCATCGCAGACTCCTCTTCAGATCCTCCTCTCTTTTCAAATTTCTCCTTCGCGTGTATTTGCAACGTCAGATATTACGCTCAGCGAAGTTATACCGGTTTCGGTCCTTTCGTCGATTCGCTGTTGCGGTAGCTACACGGAGTTTGTCGTGGTCTTCTTTTTATCCGGTGTAACGAAGTGCAACTGAAATATTTTTGCCCGACACGGCCGATGAAGATTCGTAGGGCAAATCAGGTTGCCGACATACATTCGAAATTCCGAAAGTAAATTCGTCCCGTCTGCTCGCGTCGGAACGGAATCGGCAGACGTCTCGGGAATTAAAACTCTCCTTCTCCTCAAACTTCATCACGTCGCAGCGTCACAAAGAATTGTCAAACGGTTGCGTCACGTCTAGGACGCTGACATCTGCGAGTGATTGTCGCGACGAAAGCTGAAAGTATACAAATTGTTTGTGTCGTTGAAGCCTGAAGCGGCTCCTGGCGCGAAAGTTTACAAAATTATTAGAGTTTCTCGATTATTTTTTCGATATCGGTCAGACGTCAATTTTGATTTTACTCCGCAAGTCAGTGGATTATCACTGAAAACAGTGACTAGTCACTGCGATTTTCAGTGGTACACTTATACCTGTAAATTAGTGACTATTCATTGTTTTCAGTGACAACCCACTGGTTGACTTTTAGAGAGTAAAATAAAAATTGGCGTCTGATTGACCGCAATTTTCAGTGGTGTACTTATAACTGTAAATTAGTGACTGTTCACTGTTTTCAGTGATAACCCACTGACTTTTAGAGAGTAGTGGCGGATTAATTAAATTTCGAATTTAAAATGTCCGCCAGCGGACGAGGTCTTGAAAAAATTTGATCTACAAGTTAGTCGTGTATATAGAGTCTTCTTGCTGTACTTTGTCAGTCGATATCGTTCTCCGAGGTAAAGATCGTCCATTACTTTACAGAGGAAGCTCGAAACAAGCGCCTCGTAGATAGATAGAACCTCTTTTAAACGTCCTTTTAAAATTGAACTTGCTTCGCGGGACGATGATACGTCGGCAAACGATACTTGACGAGACGGTAATCAGCACGAAGCCTCTCTCGCGGAATTAGGGGCACGTGTCAAGGCTATAGCTGTCTCGAGTTGACGATCGTCGCCGTCTCGCACGGATCTCACGTACGCAAATATAGATCTTATCAATTCACCGGCGATTATGCACTCTGCGTCGGACGACGATGCCCATCGAATGCGAGTCGTCACGGATCATACGATTCAGGTCCCGAGGGTTTCGGGTACATCCGTTATATTGCCCGCATACGCACACGAGCCGAATAAAATACTGGTTTCACGACACACCGGGATACAATATTATATATATTCGTAAGCGGGTCATTTTGATCGAAGGGACTGTCATTACGGGAGTTTACATTGGTAGGAACAGGCTATCTCGATCCATGGTGTTCCATAATATATACGCAACTCCGCATATGAATTCTCGCGAGCTGCGATCCCGGCAAACCGACACCGACGATGAAATAAAAGGGTTAAAGGTTTATTCTGTAAGATAAACCATATCTCCGTAACACGGATGGATTTGAACAAGTCGAAAGAAATTGAATCCACGAATATTTCTGTCTTTCGAAGTCAGAAATTAATTGAATAAAATGAATGTCTTTCTTTTCCGTTCTCCATTGTTCTTAATGCGTTAATAATTATATTATGCCGTTTGTTAACAATGAAAAAACAGCAATTTTCCATTCGAAATGATTCTATTCCCATAGCAAGGAGAATTAGATGCTTAATATATGAGAGAAGACAATAATTTTGAGATACTTTAATTCTTCTCGTTAAAAAATTCAATTATGCAAAAGTTAACTGTAGATTCTACTTTTCCCCCGTAGAATAATTCAAATAAATATTGAATAACATTCAACTTCTCGGAAAAAAGATTAAAAAATTGGACAGCTCTCGGTAAGTCCCTGAATTCGGAGGTGGGAAGAATTCATATAATACTGAAGAACAAACTTTTGAACCAACGATTTCTCTCGTCGGGCCTGTAGAAAATATACGATGAAACACTTAAAACCAAATTAACAATGGGTAATCTTCATTGTCGCCAGTGGTAATTAAAAGACTTCAGTGACGACTTGACCGTGTCAATGAATAAATAAGACACCACGAAAAACCACCTCAAGCCAGCTTAACGTCGTCAATTGTTCCTCCTGTTTTCAATCAATTACTGGCGGCAATAATATTCTTCCGAAGATAAACCTTAATTAAAATAAAAAAAAACCGTGTAGAAAGAAAACTGGGTGGCACTCGATCGATTTTGTCCGTTTATTCCGGCCGAATTGTGTGGTGTCCGTGCGTCCGCGAGGATTCGAACACGCATATGGGGGGGAATATGTACCGGTGAAGGAAGTTAATTCAGTGCGTTCGCGATAGTACCTTCGCGAACGAGCGCGACGATCCACCTCGATCGGGCACGCGAGTTTCCCGACGTGCGTCCGCGCCGCGTGATACCGGATACCGCGATTTCGATCCGCGACGCGGGTCGTTTTGTTTTAAACCCTTTGATCACCGCGGGTGGCCGCGCGCACAGCCGCGCGCCGGACCGACCGGACAAATCTCTTCCTTTTCGTGCAAATGAATTGTAAATTGATTCATCGTTGAAGAACAGACGTGTCGTCTATTCTGCTCTTCCTCTCCTTCGAGGGAGAAACCCGATTCTCCTGCGTGCACGCGTCTTCGAATATCTTGCTTCAATTAAAAGCGGTTTAACTTCCAAATGATGTAACACTTTCATCGTGTAACTTGCGCAACTGGCTGATTTCCCGCATCATATCCGGTTTTCTTTTGATCTCATCGTTCGGAGGCCGACGAGATGGTATCGCGAGACATTTGGTTCTTTATTTTTCGCGAGGTACCCGCGTGATTTCTAAGGAAGTGAAAATGTGTTTCGGCTGCGTTATCGAAGACGCGGAGATTAGAAGATTTTCTAACAAATACGTGAGAAACTCTCTACACACGATACTTCGGTACGATAACAGGCAGAAATATTGATAATAATCTATTGTCAATTATTTCGATCAAGTTTTGAGTACTCGTAAGAACGCTCGAGTACAATGTGCAAACGCACGTGACCACTGTAGCATCTCTTGCTAAAATTTTTAAGAAAATAAAAAGTAGCGTACGAAAACTATTAAATGACAATTCTAGACAGTTTATCATTTTTCGAGAGCTATAAATTTATAAATTTTAAATCCTTCACGCACGTCCAGTTTACCCTAGCGAAAAACATTTCTATAACTACAAAAAATTGACTTGAAATAAAAATTTGTAGAAATTTTTATATCTTCGTTGAAGCATTAATTGTTTTGTAGAAATATCTACGAAATAGTATCACAAATTACAATGTTCTCAAATCAAGAAATTATCGCAAGTATTTCATGAAGATGTACAATTTTGTGAAAATTAGTACAAAATTTTACTAGTGTTTGCAAATTGAAGAAACAACACAATCTTAAAGAATTAAAACGTCTGCTTACTTGTAGAATATTACAAAAATTAACAAAAGTGTTCCAATTCTAGCATTTTCATGGTGATTTTGCTAGCACTTTTTAAATTAACGTAGAGTTTCTTAGATCCTGGCAGTTATATTTAAGTTTTTTGTAGAATTTTGTAGAATTATTTCCGGCAGGGTACATGTGAGAAATACGGTAAAATGGTTTAAATGAACGACAAAAAGGGAGGGAATCGTGTTAATTAGTCATGTATTGAATCAGACGACACTTCCGACAGGTACTCTCTAAAAGTTAATCAGTGGATCATCACTGATAATAGTGAATATTCACTGATTCACAGTACAGCACTGAATTATTCAGTGCTATATAAGCGTTTTCGGTGATAATCGATTGATTTTTAGAAAGTAAGATTCCACGTAAGCGATTCGGCATGAACTCGTCAAAGCTGTCGCGGCTCGCCGCGATAATATCGTTGGTGATCGTCAACGCGCGATCGTGCGGCGCCGAGTCGAGCGGCGAGTATCTTCAGAAGGTGATGCTCGAGCTCCAGGAATTAAATGTGCCGTCCAACAGCCTGACGATGTACGACCGGTTGTCGTCGATGAACCTGGGTTATCGGCAGGCGGCCTATCACGGTCAGGACAACAGGTATCGCAAGGTCAGCACCAACAACGTCCATCAGGATGTGCAGAAGCCGATCGCGGTTGTGCCTGTCGAGCACGTGGACGTGGCTCACTCCACCGCGAACAATATAGCGCAGTATTACGCGGTACGTATACCTCGGACGAATCTAATTAACGGAAAAGTGTGGGAAGGATTAATTGCAGGGGGAAATTTTCTCGCGGAGATTCATCGCGCCAAGTTACCCTAGTAGCACAGTGCATTGGCTAAACATCGGCCCAACTACTGGACCAATGTTTAACCAACGTTTGGTCAATGCGCTGTGCTACTGGGATACGCGTCTTTGAAACACGCGCTAATTCTTTTCCGCTCCTCTGTACCCTCTTTTCATTCGGATTAATTCTTCAAATTGTCAACTTCTGCGATTCCAATCACTCTTTTTTCCGTTTAACTGGTAGTTTTTGGTGTCCTGGAAATTTGACAGTTCTTTATCGTGGCCTTCCATTCATGGAATTCTTCAAAATGTCAGCTCTTCCAACTTCAATCTCTTGCCCAGCTTTTTATCTTTGGCAACCTGGAAAGTTAACAACTGTGCGGTCTTTCTGTGTTCCTTCCTATTTATTTCAATTCTTCAAAAATTGATTCTTTAAATTTTTATCGCTAATTTCTAGGCGGTTTTTTCATCACTTCCCATTTATTTTAATTCTTCTACAGTCAATTCTTTCAGTCTCAATTCTTTTTCAACTTAACTGTTCGATCTAATCTGGGAACTTGACAAGTGTCTATAATATTCCTTTTCCAGCCACTTTAACTTTGCAAAAGTTTGTCTGATTCCAACTTCTTTCCCCAATTCAATTGCCAGACAGGCGAATGATACTCGCAAATTTTCCAGGTACGCGACCCCACCGCCGCGGCCAGTTACCCGAAGACGAAGCAGCCGGAGCCGCTGGCGTTCACGCGAGCGGAGCTGGCCGCGTTATACAAAAAGGCCTTGGAAAAAGGGTCAGCGATCAGCGTGGCGTCGTTAACGCAGGCTCTCAACGGCAACGCGCCGGCCCAGGCCGACCATCCGGAGCTACCGGTTAAACCGATGTACAACTACTACTTCTTCCCGCTGAAGAGTTTCGCGTCCGAGCTGCAGAGGGATCATCACCAGGCCGCGGTAAGCGAAAGTCATCGGAATCCGTTGCGCCGTCCGTTAGGCGCGAGCCCGGCGAGCCGGTGTAACCAGATTTTCACGCATATGCATATCGACGTTCGCCAATGATTTTATTGCCGAGATCAGCTAGCACGAGCTTGTGTAACGCGAGACACCGCTTAGGATTTTCATATCCGCGAAACATCGTGCGCGACGGGTACTTGATGGGGTGTACTCGGCGCGAAAAATTGTTACGATTTTAAAAACTGGCGAGACGCCCGGCTAGAGTGTAAGGAAGTCCAGGTTCAAACCCTGGCTGAGGTGATACTTTTTCGCAATAAATTTTCTCCAAGTAAAATTGCCAGTTGTGTCGGTTATCAATTTTCCTACACTGCTCGTAAAAAAATAACATTTATAAATCTTTTCAATATTGAAGCAATAATCTAAAGTAACAAATACATCAAGTATTACATAATTTTGCACAATTCAGTTAATACTTCATCGAGATTTAATAGTGGGCCTAATGGTCAACTCTGTATCTTACAATATAGTGAAAATGCTAAAAGTGAGCGGCTTTGTCTCTTTCCCATGGGGCGGCTAGAAAGAGACAAGGCTATTCACTTTTAGCATTTTCACTACGGCGTAAGATACAGAATTGACACCCTGGCGTTCAACGTGTTGCGTACAAATCTCTAATATTTACAAAAATTCAATTTTTATTGTTTATATTAGACGAAGATTATCCTATAGGTTCTTTTATAGGATTAATCTTCATAATCTCGTAGAAGTTATTCTAACATATGTAGTTTTATTATCGTATCGTACGTCGTCACGTTGAATGTAGAACACGATAGCCAACAGCTATGTGTAATTCGCACTTTACAGATCGTTCCAATGTACGCGGCTACGGAAACCGTAGAGAGCACGCAAAAGCAGCTTATGAATCCGCTCTTCGTGGCGATCGGCACATTCATCAGCATGGCGCTCCTGTTTATGATGGGCGTGCTGTTTTTACCGAAACTGCCTCACTTGATTTACAACGCGCGATTAGCTGACAACGACGACTTTCTGCGTCTGACAACTCTTGTGATGAATGCCATAGACGGACGCAATCGCTGGCAGAACTTCAGCACAGCCAGCTGAGGATACGTAATGCAAAATCCAAAGCACTGCATTCTTACACTAGAGATTGAAAATACCTGTGAACGTATATGTCGCGCTGTGCGCGAAACGTTTGGGCCGCAAACGACAGAGAGAAACGAGTTAACGGCTGCTAATTGCAAAAGGGAGGAATGTTTAGTGTATATACTAGTACGAAGTAAATGTATTATAAATATCATTGTAGGAACTTACGTTATCACTAGGTATTACAAGACACTTAATCTAAAGCTGTATTTGTTCAATCAGTAAGGATTGATAGATCGGCATTAACAAAAGATAATATTTATTTAGTATAACATTATCATATACTGTATACTTTTATTTTTAAAAACGTGGTAAACTTTTGTACATAAATATTGAGATAATACTAATCATGAAGATGATCAACTAGAAATAAACTATAAATATGAGAAAATACCATTAAATAGTACTACGTGAACCTACGAACGTGTTGCTGTGCTCCTTTCTCTTTTTATAGTACACGTACTAATAATGAAGACTAATAATAAAGGAAGTAGAGATAAATAATGCACTCCGGCTGCTCGGGGAATGTGGGCATGAGTATGTATGCGTGCACCAAGTATATGGAAAATCACTTTCTATTTTGCGAGCGTACGTACCTATCCGCTTTTCGCCATATCTCTCGACCTCGTGATACGAAAGAGAACTCTAAACATGTAAATCGCGGAATCTGTACAGTATCAGAAGAACGGAAAGGAAGGCACACGTTGGGACGTTGCACATTAAATGTATCATTTCGCCCCATATCTTCTAACTACTTAATCATCAGTCAGTTCGGTTGGCAGTTTCCCTCTCCGCCGCCTTTCGTTTCAACATTTGCCTCTGATGCTCGTATTCGAAATCCTCCTCGCTCAAATTCAACCTCTGTATCTGTAACATTAAGTCATTGATGTACGATAATATCTCGCATGATTTTATCGGCGAAACACAAAAGCGATTAAAAAACTTTTTGAAAGATATACAGAGATTATAAATTTAAATGCATTCACTAATTTTCTACAATCTCTAAATTCAACTAGATCATTAAACAATAGATTAGTTTATCTTGTAACAGTTGTTTTACATTGAAAAAATGTTTACCTGATAAACCAAGGCTTCCTCCTCCATGATATGTTGGGGCGGGTTTCTTAAAACTTGGAGAGTTTCGTACGTCGTTGGGCAACGTTTGGTAAAGGAAGAGCGACCTAGACTGCCTTTCAACAGTATCAAGCCTACTTTGAAGATCACTTTCACGCCCTCGCAGAGGAACATATCCCATATGCGCAGGATACTTTCCCACGGCAATGTTCGCGTGTAAACGCACAAGAACCATTCCGTCATATACAAGATCGGCTCCATTTTTTGTTTTTTCTAAAATAACAAATATCTGATTAAATTAAGTTCCTATTTCTAATCTACGGTCAAGCTATAAAGAATGTCGTTTAAAATTCTTATCATTTACACTTTTCGAGAAACGTAAAAATTATACTGACGACTGCTTTTATCATTTATATTTGTAGAATAAAATCTTTTACGAAATCTGCGTTACGGCAATGGAAGCTTGCACGAGGATTCGTGTGTACTAACTAGATGTTTGTACGCAACAGGGGAGACTCTCTTCAGAAGCGCGAACAGGATGTCACCGTCGCGCAGCAACGTTTCCATGCCCTGGCTGTAGTAACCGACGAGATACTTGTCGCATATCGCGACGAGGCACCAGAACGCCTGGACCGCCGGCATGTGCATCAGCAAGAACGCGGCGATGGGCGCCTGCGCCTGGCAGTAGCCTACTTTGCTGTTCAGGATGGAGTACGCCTTGAGGACTTGGAACAGCTCCTGCTGCCCGGGCGCGTTCTCAACGAACATCTCGTGATGCGGAAACTGACGATGCAGATCCTTCTTGATGTCCTCTATGTACTTGGGATCGCCAGGCCGTTTGATCAGTTCCTCGTACAAATTCGGGTTCTCGTTCATCAGGAGCTGGCCGCCGCACAGGTTCAGCCAGGCGCGCAGTCTTACAGACGGTGGTATACCCTTGCGGCATCTCTCGCGGACCTTGCGATAATTCGTGGTCATGAAGAGGCTCCAGTTGTTCAGCATCTGTATCCATTTTCTCTCCCGCCGCAGTATCACATCGGGCGGTATGGCCTGCTTCCTGTCCCACAAAGTTGTTGCGCGTTCGAATGAAATTCAATCTCATCGCAACGCTGATTCCATTCAAATGTTTTACGTGTAAAAACGGTCAAATTACCTCTCTGGACTGTATTGCGAGCCACCCAGGAATCCATGGCGGTCAGGCACGGTGGAGATCACCGAGCCCTGGCATATACTACTGGCCTCCGATTCCGTTTCCCCATTCAACTCCTCCTCGTCGTTGCGCGATACAACCGAGACAGCCATAGCATCTTTCTACTCCTCTGAAGCGCGACACAAACAATACAGTTGTAAAATATAAACGTCAATATCCATAAACTCTAGAAGACTAGTATAATTTAAACAATATATGTATAACTGTATAATAAAGTATATAAAACAAATACGAACGCAAATCTGTTAATAAATTTTAAAGGCGTAAAAAAACACTACAAATTTTATCCCAAATCAACTGCATAAGAAAAGCACGGGTCAAAGCCAGGCTAAAGCAGCGCTCACAACAACGTCCCGGCAGACAGCGCGAGTAACACGTCGCAACTCGCAGTAGTTCCGTTATCCGTTTATCTCGCCATTTGGCACTTTATCGAGGCTCGCGCACGCAAGGTAAACATCGAAACACGGGGGGTCCGCCGCAGGATCGCATCTCGCGTCGCCCCGTCGCTGAGCGGCCGCGCGTCGCCAGCGCGCATGTATCGTAAACGCCTACTCCGCCAATTGACAGATCGCGGTAATCAGGAATCTACCACGCAGGGGGGGCCACCGAGTCCTCCCCTTCTCGATTTCCGTCTCACAAGCATGCAGGAAGCGCGGCGTGGTACGGGTTTCTTCTTTTTACGGCCCGCCGCGGCGATCAGCCCCGCGACACCTCCGCGTTATCCGCGGTGGGCTGCGAGGGACGGCGAGGGGAGAACGGGGGGAGACACGGGATTTTTTCATCCCGATTTTTAGGTCGACGAAGAGAGAGCGAGAGACAAATATGCAACGTGCGTCGCAGATCGGGCGCGACCGCGAAATTGTGCGGGCGTATCACTCGCGTCGCACGGTGACAACGCCGTGAACGCTTACCGTGAATCTTCGTCGAATCTGACATTCTCGAGGTATCACAGATGTGTATCCGTACGGCTACGGCTCGCCTCGCCGTTGTGTACACCGCACGATTGCGCGTGCGCACGCGCATCTCCACGCGCGCTCGCTACGCCCCGCCTGCGACGAACGTGCGCGGGTGTCGTGAAGGTAGGCAACTGCGCGTTGGATGGGACCGACGTACGGTGTCGACTGTACGTGCTGGTGATACCGACCGGTCGCGTTCCCGCTTATACCCACGGTCGGTATCACGAGGGGAAGAGCGAGCTGCAAACCGGTGATCTAGGTCTGTTCTTTTCTCGCCTGGGGCCCGATTCTCGAAATCATTCGAAGAAGAAACGTATACGAATATTCTGCTCTGACGGAAAAGTTGAAAGTCGATTGGTTAAAGCCATGCGAATAGCCAATCAACTTGCAACTTTTTTGTAAGAGCAGAATTTTCGCATACGTTTCTCCTTCGAATAAAGCCCGCTGCATTTAGTAAATTACTAGGAATCCTGAGTGCTGAGTGGTGCAACGATAGTAATTTATTAGATTGCAAGCAATCCAGCAGGAAAAATAGCATCGTCTGCAGCGGGCTTAAATTCAAGAATCGAGCCCCGTTCATCTTTTCTTTCCCGTGAACTCTATGCCGGAGAGAGGCCCGCGAGCTGCCGCGGCCGGGTTTTAGGCGATCCGCGAATGCGATACGACCTCTAGATCTGTGGACATTGGAAAACGTGGACGTAAAGTATAATACGTAGCCAATAATGTGAGTCTATTAAACTCGTTAAAGCACCACGGTCTTGATCGTGTGCAGAAATTACTCAGTTAAATCTGGTTGAAGCTCAACTTCTCAAGAATCAAAAGGAACATGCATTCAACTGAGTTATGACGTCACAAGTGAGATTTATCTGAGTTTTCATGTAAAAGGAAAGCAACTGTAATCCACATTTTGTCAAGCGGGCGACGCGATTTACGAAATTTTGCGTGAATTTTGTTCTCGATAAACTCGGTTGTCTACATACATATATGTATACATTTTATTACAACTTTGCACTTTTCTGCTTATAAGTAAAATGACGCCTCTCTTTCAGGTTTGAATTAAATTTTTATCCGATAAAAACAGACCAACTTGTAGAGGCCCTCCACCACCCCCGCCGAATTCTCACCGACGGTCCTCTTTTCTTTGCGAGGAATCCGAGAAATCGCTGACGAACATTCGCCAATTTAAACTCGACTCTCTCGGCTGGACGCGGCGCCATTGCGTCGATCGAATGTCGGTTTCCTACGTCGCGTCGACAGATGTCGCGACAACACGCGACAACCTTTCACCGAGCTTACCGACCGTGCCGGACGCGCGTATGCGTGCGTGCATACGCTCGTAATAAGGGCGGCGGCGTAATATATACGTATGCAATATGCAGTCAGTCAACGCGTACATCTCGAGCGTGTATCGCGGTACGCTCCATCGCCATGTTGGCTTAGCCCAGCGGTTGACGTCAGCGGCGTGCAATCAACAAAGACGGACAACAAAGACAGCGCGCGCCGTCGAACGCGCGCAAGCTTCCCGAGAGAAAGAGAGAGAGAGAGAGAAAAGAGGCGTGCGCGCGATCACGGTGCACGGCGGTGCACACGACGGGTGCAGTCTTCGTCGTTGTCGACGGCGACGCGAAGGAACGGGGGCGGGAGGGAACCCGATACGTGGTATGTGGGTTCGGCTGCTCGGCTCGGCTCGGTTCGCCTCGGCTCCGAATTCGCCCGCATCCGCTGCGCGACACGGTGGGTATCGGTGAACCAGCGGCGCTGGGCGCACCACTCCGCGTCTTCTTCTCCGGCACGTCGTCGCTCTTCTCCCCGGTGTAAGGGCAAGAAAGAGAGAGAGAGAAAACGCGATATATATCGAGCTCGGCGCACCCTTCGCGTCGCGTGCGAGAAAAAAGCCGGGAGAGGGAGAAGGAGGAGGAGGAGGAGGAGGAGGAGGAGAAGGTGGTGGAGGTGGAGGTGGAGGTGGAGAGAGTGAGCGAGAGGGAGAGAGGGAACGAAACGAGCGATGGAGGCGCGACGCTGTCCGGTTTGACCGCTAGACGGCCTCCTCCGGTGTATCCTCGCTCTCCTCGGCGCGCGACGGCCTCTCCTCCGGTTCTCTCAGTGTGTGTTCCGCGCGCGCCATGTGCCGCACCGTCGTCGCCGCTCCGCGTGCGTCTCCGCCCTGCTGCAGATCGCCGTCGCCGCGGTTCGATAGGCCGCTCGCGTAGTCGGCTCTCGGACAGCTCCAGGACCTGTCGCCCTCCCTCCCGCGCGCGCGCGCGCGAGCTATGAGCCGCTGGTGCTGGTGCGCTCGTCGTCGGTGCTCCTCGATGCTCCGCGTGTCCCTGTAGTGCGACGGGAGAGTGCCGAGACCTCTCGCTCCCGCTGCCTCTCGCCGCCCTTCAGTATTTTCGTTCAGCCCGCGAGCCGTCGGTGGAGACAGCGCGAGGGAGGAAGGGAGAGAGGAAAGGGAGGAAGAAAGAAGGAGAAAGGACACCCGCCAGCGGTCCAAGGAGGAGAGAGCGAGAGCGGCTGGCGACTCGCTCCAACGGTGTTCTCGGTGTAATAATCGGTGTGCCGCGAGACGAGCGAGCGTAGAAGAGCAGCGAGACACGACGGGGGGGGAGCGCGTATCAAGATGGCGCATAATTTGACACCGAGCGTTAACTGCTCGCTCGACGACATTGACCTGAACGCCCTGAAGGTACGTACAGATACGCGACAATTATTCGTCGAGTGCGCGCCTTCTCCTTTTTCGTCGCCGGAAACCGCGCGCGCGCGCGCGCGCGGCCGAGAGTCAACCCGGGCGGCGATCGCCGCGTCGCGCGACCGTGCTCTCCCTCGGCGGCCGTTCTTCCGGACCCGCCTGGTGTCACACGCGCGCGCGTGTGTCCGTCGTCGCGACCGTCCTCGGCGACAACTGCTTTTATTGACAACCACGAGTTGGCGCCAGTTTTCGATCCCCTCGGGTCTCTCGCGCGGAGCGTTTGAACGTTGCGCTCCGTACCTTTTTTTTTTCGTTTTTAAAAAAAAGAAAAGATCACCCCGATTGGTGATTAACCTCGCGAGAGCCGAGGGGGAGAAGGGGGAACCGACGTTGAACCCTTCCCTCCCTCTCTCTCTCTCTCGCTCGCCACCCGAGACGTCGTCGAAGAAGTCGCGCGATGATGCATCACGCGCGCGACGCGTCGCTGACAGTCGACGCGCTGTCCGGAGTAGGACATCGCCGACCTTTCCCCTTCCCTCCCCCTCCTCCAGTCCCGCGAACTACGCACCGTGTAGCACGCGATCGACGTTCCCCGCCGCGGATTCCTCTTTTCTCTGTCTCTGTCTCTCTCTCTCTCTAGTGCGCGCGAGGAATCCGCGTCTCGCCGCTCGAAACCGCGAGGACACGCGCCCATCCGCCGCTCGTGTTTCCACTGTGGCGACGCTGTTGACAGACGTCACGCGAGATCGCGTCTCTCGAGCGCAGGCTCTTTTTCTTTTATTCCGCGTCTCCCCCTCGTTCCCGAGGAAAAAAAAGGGGGGAAAAAGGTCGAGTGCAAGGGGGAGAATCGATGTCCGGCGACGTCGGTCGTTATCGGCGGGAATGCCCGCGAGGGAAACTGTGACGCGCGTCGCGATAAAAACAGACGGAGACGGGCGCGGAGGAGAGACCGGACGAATGTTCGCGCTGCTCCCCCGAGAAGCCGGGTCGGCCGCGAGGTTTGAAACGCCGAAACACTCCCGTCCGCAGCCGCCGCGCTCCGTTTCCTCCGTCCCTTTCTTTTTTCCACGTCCGCGCGATCTAGCCTCGCGACCGGCCTTTAACCCGTAAGGCCGGCATTTTTCCATTGGAATTTGTAATTTTTTAAACAGAAAATTTATGCACACGTGTAAGGGATGCTAAAGTCGTCTGTTTTACCGACACATTCGAATATAGTTTTTGCGCTGCTGAATCTTTTTATTACTTTTTACGCCTAAAATAATATCAGGATAAGTTGCGGACCGCATAGCAGAACGTTTTTATACTTGAAACACTCGGGTCAGAAGTCTAATGAGAAAGATTGATATTTGAAATTTTCGATTTTTTAATCGTGAGCAATTTCAATTTGGCTTTATAAAATTACAAAATTCTTCCACGCGATTACAGTACGCGTAAAAACAAAGACGGGGGTTCACGACTTTATATAAAAAACGAAGAGAAATTAAAAATATCGCTCTATAAGTAATTGTGGTTAGGCTTCACATGCTGATATTTTTAATTTCTCTTCGTTTTTTTATATAAAGTCATGAACCCCCCGCTTTGTTTTTACGGGTACTGTAATCGCGTGGAAGAATTTTGTAATTTTATAAAGCCAAATTCAAATTGCTCACGATTAAAAACTTTAAAATTTCAAATACCAATATCTTTCTCATTAGACTTCTGACCCGAGTGTTTCAAGTATAAAAACGTTCTGCTATGCGGTCCGCAACTTATCCTGGTATTATTTTAGGCGTAAAAACTAATAAAAAGATTCAGCAGCGCAAAAACTATATTCGAATGTGTCGGTAAATTAAGGGGATCCTGGAGTGACGGCTGAACTTCGAAACTGTCGATAATTCAACGTCCTATATTGTCACTCAGCCCAGGACATGAAAAGATGCGTTGGAAACAAAAGGGATGAGACCAGAGATATCTATCCTTGTCTAACACATTGTAGCGCCATCTGTTGCAAGGTCTGACACCTATAGTTTGTCATCCCGTAACTACTTCGGGTGTAGAGATGCGTTTTTACATAAAATAAAGTTCGGGTAATCCTTTTCATTAGACTTTCAATCTTAGTTTTACTGATTCGACGCTATTCTTTGATCTGATCCGAATGGCAGACTGCTTTCGACTTGTGCAAACAGTTCGTATACAAGCGAACGTTCCTTTGAATTACAGCTTCGCGTGCAACAACAAGAAGTATTTTATAATTTTTGTTCGTTTTGCAGTCTCAAACTGACCAGTCCCTGCGATGTATTTCTGTGCGTACTTTAAGTGTACGAAAGGATCTTCAATTCTGTAAAACCTGTTCGAATTGCGGTCCGCAACTTATCCTGGTATTACTTGTGTGGAGAAAAGCTAACAGGAAGAATTACAAGTGCAAAAACTACATTTGACTGTGTCGGTAAAAAAGATGGCTGAGGGATTCCCCGACAGAGTCGCATGCAGTTTTTGCGTTTGTAAATCTTATATTATTGGCTTTTATATACAAAATAATACCAGAGCGGCGTGTGGACCGCACAGTACAACATTTTCATAAAAAAAACATTGAGGTTTGAAGTCTAATTCGTATCGCATTATGTCTGTGAAATTTTCAAACTGTCCCGTCGGAGTTCAGCCGTCACTCCAGCAACCCCCTTAAGATGGCTGACCGTCGTGTGTTTCCCGTCGCCAATTTTCGTCGCCGAGAGACGTCGGGACGCCGACCTCACTTTTCTTTTTCGCCCGCGCCGGAATTAAGTCGTCCCCAAGTTGTCAAAGAGCAAGCGGCGTCCGAACGCCGAGAATCGGGCTCGTTTTCTCGCGGCCGCGTCTTTCCCTCTTATCTCTTCCCTCTCGTTCCGAGCGCGCGCGAGATAACGTGAAGCGACTGCATAAAGAAAAATAAATCGAGCCCAACCGGAAGCTCGCGGCGACGTTTTCTATTTATATGTAATATCGACCCGCGGATCCTCGAGCTCGGAAACATGTCCCGTTGTCCTCCTCGCTTCGCCAAATAATCGCTCGGGAAGCTGCACATCGCTCCTTTCCGTCGCTTCATTCCGATTCTACTTCGTTTTTATCCGCTGCCAAGTTGCCAGGGAGCTCGGGGAAGTTTTAATCGCCCGCTCGCGCGCGGACAATCGCGGAAAATTAACGCGGCGGCTCACCGGGCCGCAAGCTTTTCCTCCCTTTAACGACGAGGAGGAGACGTTTCTCCGAGGATTAATCGGCCGTTCGTGTTTCCAGGAGCCCGCTGGAATCTTCGAGCTGATAGAAGTGGTCGGCAATGGAACGTACGGCCAGGTTTACAAGGTGAGTACACGGTCTGCGAGCCGCAGCCCGCGACGCCCTCGAACAGCTGTGCGTGAGATTTTTGCCGTCGCGACTTTCCGCCGCGTCGTAGCTGTTCCGGATGTTTACCGGTTGTGTTCGACCGGCCCGGAGATACGTACGTCAATTATAATTATCGATTCCACGGCGGCGCGTGACGACCTTTTCTGTGATATTTTAAATTAACGCGTACGCGTCAAAACGGTCGGAAGGTGAGGAAAATGTCCGCGGCACGTGTGCGACGTTGCCGCGAGGTAGGTAAAGTCTGCTCTACAATGTGCGCTGATTGCGAGAAGAAACCAGTTATTGAAATGACCAGGTGCCGACTTTTCCAACCTCTTGGTAAGCTGACTGATAGTTAAATTATGTTACACTAACATCGCTATCGATTCACAGACACCGAAAATTTTTATGTAATCTACGACCGCGTAATCAAGTCTTTGTAGGTCGTAATATCGCCCTGTTATGTTTTTCTGACGGTACCTACGAACCAGCTCGAATCGAGCATCCATAGTGTTCAGATGTGCACAGTAGAAAAATTTGTTTTTTTTGTTAAAGAAAATGCCGGTTAAAATTTTGGTGTTAAATGTTTAACACATTCATGTGTTAATTTAACATATCGCTCTTGTGTTAATTGACCTCAAATGTAAAATTATTAAAATAACTGAAAAGAAATGTTAAAGCAACACAATGTGTACTTATTTTTAATCTCACAGAGTACATATGTTCAATATTATCAGTAACAAGATTTATCTGTTAAAATTTACAGAATAAAATGTTGATTTTATTCCATATAACATAAGTGAAAGTGAGTTTGAACTGTCATTTGACTTACTACATCTGTCAAATGTAAAAATTATGTTGTTTTAAATTCATTTCGTCGCTAAAAAATACGTTAATTTTACACAGAATTTATTTCAAATTATTTTGAGATTTGCATTTATTTCGTGTTAAAATATTAACAGAGTATTAGCGTGGTCATTGAACATATCCACATTATGTTTAATTAACACAAAAATTTGTGTGGGCCGTTTGGGACATGTGATAGCTGTTAAATTTAACACAACTTTTTCAACTGTGTAGTAGCCGGAACATCTGACTGCAAATTAAACATGCCGATATTTATATTTTCAAAAACTAACTATTGTGTGTTCTGGTTCTTTCCATCTTATTACAAATTCATCGTCAAATATTGTACTATTCGTCATATGCTCATATCGCTCTTATCACAATTAATGACATTGTCTAACTACAGTTAACAAGAGGTTGGGACAACCTGCCCTAAACGCGTTTAGTACTTAGCAGTGTTTCGTTGATTCAAATATATAGATTTTTATACGCGCGGTCGCTTATCGAAACCTGTACGGTCGTGGTCGGAAAGGTTGGCCGACCGTTTATGGTAAGTTTTGGAACGTAGTCCATCATGTTAGAAATTACAGCTTCTGCTCACGAAATACTCGTACGTGTCATTCCACGGGTATTTGTATGTGTCATTCCTTTGCCCTAATAATGCGTCACTACACATACCTGGGAGGAGAAGCTATAAACCTCTCGCATGGTAGACTGCGTCGTCGTGTAAAGTCGGACAATCTTATGACCACTCTGTACTCTCTAAAAGTCAGTCAATGGACTGTCACTGCAGACAGTGAATGTTCACCGATTCACATTTATAAGCGTAGCGCTGAATTATTCAGTGCTATACTTATAACTGTCTTCAGTGATAGCGCACCGATTGACTTTTAGAGAGTATTCTTTGAGTCGATAAATATTGTTGTGGATTGATAAATATTTGCTTGGCAGCCCGTGATCGCCGCATGTACAATAGTAAGAAATAGTTCTTGATTCAACACGCTTCCTCGGTGTGCTCGTTGCATCTAGGAACGTTTCTGTTCCGTAGCCAATAGATACTCTCTAAAAATCAATCGGTGTATTATCACTGAAAACAGTTATAGCGCTGAATTATTCGGTGCTACACTCATAACTGTGAATCAGTGAACATTTAAGTCAACGGCACACGATACACTGAGAGAAAAGTGCGTAGTATTTGCGACTATAATTGCATAGTAAAATAATTATAGTCAGG